AGCGAAACAGCAGGCGCAGGCATACATTTTCACTGCGCCGTAGAAAGAGAGAGGGATACGTCCTCTCCTACGCCGCGCCGGCTGTCTACTCTCCATCGGTCTTACGAATTTTCGATCAGGATCACGTGTCCTGACGCGAGTTTAAAATTTTTTACCAATTACAAAAAAAGTGTACAACGCCGCTAAAGAAGTTTTCACTTCAAAAAAAACCGGTCAGCTACGAGTCGAACTCGTGCGCCGAGGGTTCCGTACCTACCCAGATTTTACGTAGATTTTCGCGAAAATTTGTAAGTACCTTACCTTACCTTACTTAGTAACTTACAAGTTGCGAAAATCGAAATTTGCCCATTTCTTTTTATCGTGTTGACTCAGAACCTTGATTTTTATACAACTAATAGGGACCATAGACCTCAGTATCTGGTATAAATTTTAACTTGCTAGGTCTACCCGTTCCTGAGAAAATCGGTGGTGACACACGGACAGACGGACAAGAAAGTGATCTTATAAGGGTTCCTTTTTTACTTTTTAAGGTACGGAACACTAAAAATATATTTTAGTATTGGATAGCCCATTTTTCAGAAATGTTGTGTAAACGGGAGCAATTTATTCCTTTTGAAATGTCTTTTATCATCATCAACAGCCTTTAATAGTCCTCTCCTTAGGAAGAAGGGTTTGGCATACTATACCACGCTGGCCAGACGGGTTGGTATAGGGTTTGTGTCTACGGTCTAAGGAAGGAGGTCTACTGGTGGTCCCAGGAGCTGGCGGACCTCCGTGCGGCCTGTACACGTGCCCGGAGGTCCTACACGCGCAGTCGGCGGCTTCACCGTGGAGACGGTGAGGAGGACCGGCTTCATGAGGAGTACCGACAGGCGCGGAAAACTCTGAAGCTGGCCATTAGCCGCGCCAAAGAAGAAAAGAGAGAGGAGATGCTGGAGGGTCTTAATCGTGGCGGAACACACTCCCCCGGCGATGGCCTCCTTGGCCGGAGACGACGGGGAGCACATGGAGGATAATGTTCCGCCCGTCCGGGAATCGGAGGTAGGGGCGGCTGTTCTACGGATCCGTTCCAAGAACACCGCCCCTGGGCCAGACGGGGTACCGGCCCGAGTGCTGGCCCTGGCCCTCAACCACATGGCAGACCGCCTCGGGGAGGTGTTCGACGCTAGCTTGGCGTCGGGACGCTTCCCTGAGTGCTGGAAGAGCGGGAAGCTGGTCCTATTGAGGAAGCCGGGACGGCCTGCCGATTCGGTCGCGGCCTATAGGCCCATCGTGCTGCTGGACGAGGCGGGCAAATTGTTTGAGAGGGTTCTTTCTGCCCGCATCGTCCGGCACCTCTGCGAGGTGGGCCCCGATCTGTCGGACGCCCAATTTGGTTTTCGGGCGGGGCGTTCGACGGTCGACGCCGTGTTGCGCCTGAGGGCCGTGACCGAAGAGGCCGTGAGCTGTGGCGGCGTGCTGTTGGCGGTGTCATTGGACATCGCCAACGCATTCAATAGTCTGCCATTCAGCTGCATCAGGGAAGCACTCCACTATCATGGGGTGCCAAAGTACCTGAGGCGGCTGGTGGCAGACTATTTAGAGGAGCGTACCGTCGTGTACGAGGACCGAGAAGGTTATTTGAGGTGTCGGCCCATGTCGTGCGATGTTCCACAGGGGTCTGTTCTTGGACCCCTCTTGTGGAACATAGGTTACGACTGGGCCCTTCGCGCCGATTTCCCCCCCGGGCTATGTGTAATCTGTTACGCAGACGATACCCTGGTGACAGCCCGGGGGGCAAACTTCCAAGAGTCGGCGCGCCTGGCCACAGGGGGTGTCTCCCTGATGGTCGGGCGCATTGAGGCGCTGGGCTTACGGGTGGCCCTAGATAAGACGGAGGCCCTGTTATTTCATGGGCCCCGTCGTGGTCCACCCCCTGGCGCCTCCATCGTGGTCAACTCGGTCCTCGTACCGGTTCGGGCCCAGATGAAATATCTGGGCCTGATCCTCGACGGGAGGTGGCTCTTCGACGAGCACTTCCGACAGCTTGCTCCAAAGCTGGTCGGCGCTGCGTCTGCCCTAGGGCGACTTTTGCCCAATATGGGTGGACCCAGCGTCGCGACAAGACGGCTGTACACGGGGGTTGTCCGGTCAATGGCACTGTACGGTGCACCGGTGTGGGCGGCGGCTCTGACCGCCCAGAATAGGGTACGCCTCTGGCGCCCTCAGAGGGTAATGGCGGTCAGAGCCATACGCGGTTACCGCACCGTTTCGACCGAGGTGGCGTGCGCGTTGGCCGGAACTCCCCCGTGGGATTTGGAGGCGGAAGTGCTCGCCGAAGCTTATCGGCGAGTGGCTGACTCCCGGGCGGAGAGCGGATTTCGCCCTCCGTCCGAGGATGTGCGCGAGTGGCGCGAAGCCGCTCGCCGAGCCACGATGGCTCGTTGGTCGTTCCGGCTGGAGACTCCACGCGCTGGCTTCGCTGCCGTGGAGGCTCTCCAGCCGGTCATCGCCGAGTGGGCAGGGCGGCAGCACGGGACCCTTTCCTTCCGGCTGACGCAGGTGCTTTCCGGGCACGGTTGCTTCGGGAAGTACCTGCACTCGGTCGCTAGGAGGGAACTGAGTCCCGCCTGCCACCACTGCGACTGCAGTGAGGACTCGGCCCAGCACACGCTGGCGGTCTGCCCCGCATGGGCGGCGCAGCGCCGGGCCCTCACTGCAGTCATCGGAGTGGATCTCTCGCTACCGGCCGTAGTACGCTCCATGGCCGGTAGCGACAGTTGTTTTACCGCGGTCGCAACCTTCTGCGAGGTAGTAATCTCGCGGAAGGAGGCGGCGGAGAGGGCCCGGGAGGACGACCTCCACTCGGACCCGATCCGCCGCCGGCGAACCGGGCGGCGGAGGCCCGCCTATCACAGCCTCATGCCGCCCTGAGTGTGGCCGCGGGTGGACGGGGTGGGTTTCCCCTCCACCCGCATTAGTTTGGCCAGCCGCGAGGGGGCGGCGTCCGCGTGTGCCGGACGTCGCCTAAAGAGAGGAAAACAAATATATTGAGACGGAGCCCGCACCAGGAGCGGGCTGGCGCTAGGAGGGGTCCGGATGTCTTAACAACAGCTGTTCCCGGATCCCTCCTGTTACAGGCGCAGAGTGGCACATCGTGTGGTTTTAGTCGGTCCGAGTCCGACACACCACCCCGCCGCAAACCCCGGAGGGGTGACGGTCCGAGGGGATTTCCACACGTTAAAAAAAAAAAAAAAAAAAAAAAAAAAAGGGTTTGTGTCAAATTTTCCTTCTCTCTGCAGTGCTGTTGTTCTGCGTAGTTTTTTCCGTTAGTCGACCAAAGGCCCAGCGTGGTATAGTTTGCCAAAACCTCCTGTCTAAGGAGAGGCCTATGTCCAACAGTAGACTATTATAAGCTGTTGATGATGTGATGATTGTTTCAGGAGACAAGAAGTTTCAATACAGGATAGACAGGAAAATGGAGATTAGAGAGCCCATATACTTGATGGAGGCTATTAGAAAAAGAGAAGCTATATGCCAAGCAAAAACACGATAAAGCGAAAATTCATGCGAAACAACTAAACCTGTGATAACAAAAATAATTTGAAAAAAAAAGTATAGAATATAATTGGTAATTTACCCTCTTTAGGCTCTACCCCTTGGAAACTTGTTTGCTATAAGTATACATTTATTTTGCCAAATATTTGACTTAACAGATTGCTGTTATTGTGTGTGTTGATATATAACCTTAAAGTCTACATAAGAGACGATTTAAAAAAAAATGTTAAAGCTTTTTTTTAAATAAGTAACGACTACTTTGACCAAATCGCTGTGTTTATTTTCATCTGTATTTTCCCTTTTTTAATTAATAAATAAAGAAAATATCAACTATGAAACCATATCACACAGACTATTGAGTTGACAATTTCTTATATTTCTCCATAAAAACCAATAGTTTTAACATAATACCCACAAAGCGTACACTTGGACCACATCTTTTGTCGCCGGCTAGTCACTACGGGCCCGCGAGCTTCGCAATGCGTTACGATACATTGCGTGTCTTTTGTGACATTCATAAACAATCTACAAAGACGAAGAGGTGATGAATATCTACCTTATACGAAAAAACGACAGTAGATTGATTAGTTTCCACGGTAGTATACTAATAGTGCACGATGCGTCTGTGTGCATGTAAAATATTAATGTGGGTGTTCAATCTCGAGTTCTCACTCTTGGGGACTACAGTCTTAAGCGGACTTACTATACCGATGTTTATTTTAACTAATATAAAGTAAGACCTAGAAGAGAGAGAGAGGGAGATCTAAGAGAAACCAAATCACATGAACCAGTTACTAGTATCTCATTAATATCATAAGCGCATAAGTTTGTCAGAATGAATGTTCAAGTGTTTGTTATTTAATAACACCAGAAAAGCTTAACATATCTGGATGTAATTTGGTACAGTGATAGATTTAATACGTGCATAGGCTTTTTATCAAAATAAAAAAAAATACTAAATCAATATTAACGCGAGTAAAACCCGAAGATAAAACGTAGTTCTTAAAACATAAATAACTATGAGTGCAAAAACACGATACAATCTTACGTCTGAATAAAATGCGTCGCACTTTTTTCGGTTCAAACAAGTTTTTCCCCATTCGGTTCTGTTACCAAACGTCACTTGAATTATATGACAAAAACACATTAATTCTTAAGTATAACAATATGATAGTTATATTTTTAAATGGCAAACTATCATTTTTTTTAGTAGAAACAAATTAAAACAAGTACAAAGTGTTTGAACTCGTAAACCGATATCTTTGTTGTAATGACGTACATAGTGGCTATATCCCTATATGAATATTCAACCATAAACGAACGACCTTTCGTAAGAGACGGTAGACTTCAAGAGAACAAATTGATGTGCAAACAATTGTAATACGTCACTAATTAGTTTATGATTCTTCGTTTATCTGATTTCGCGCTCTTTTAATGGTTCTAACAGTGTTTGTCTAGTCGTGATGATGGCTTATATCAGTGTTATAGTGTTAAGGTGAGTTATTAATTCATTTTATGACATTTTTTTACTATAATTAATAATCTAGAATTAAAATAATACGGTTCTATGGCTTTCTAAAGGTTTTTGTCAAGGGACCAACGCAGTCTGCGGTCACCTTTGAAGTTAGCTAAATAATGCAAAAAATTAGAACGAGAAACTAAATTTTATTTTGCGACATTGAATAGAATATCAGAAGCTTTAAGTTAAATTATACATAATCTGACAGAAGTGATAAATTAATTTTATAGTACTAAATTATTAATTATTACGATGGGTTTAATTTATTGTAACAAATAAGGGGATTTAGAGAGATTATTACGATGCGTTTAATTTAATTTACTTTTATTGTAATGAATATTCCAAAATTAATTTGACATTAAAATATTTCTTCAAATTGTTTTTTTCCAAATGTATGATTAACTAGCTATTTATTACTTCTTAATTCTTGTTTCTAACTTTGAAAATGACAAACTGCCGTACGGTTGTACATCTCTTATTTTACCCCCGTAGGTATGAAATCTCTAAAATCCTTATAGTGGGGCTTAGAACACAAGTATCAGCTGTCAAAATTTCAAGTTTGTAGCCCCAGGGGTTTAGGCTGATGAATTGGGAAAGTAATTTAATAAATGATGAATGAATACCAGACCATTCAGAAAATATAGCGATAAAGGTTTTTATGTATGAAGCACTGGCTGATTTTAATAAATTATTTAAAAAAATGTGATTATTTACGAATAAAAATAACATCGTTCAAATTTTAAATTTCCCTCCACATATTGAAGCATCGGGTCGTTTCGCCTTCATCCCACTAAATCTCATTCTACTACGTGATTTTCTTAACTGATCCCAGTTTTTACACCACTTTCATCCCAGCATTTTTTTTATTTTTTTTCTATTTATAAATGATCCCATTTTGTTTAATTTGCTATTCTTATCACACATTTTTTTTTTTATTAAATACGTTTTGTGAGGACAGTTTGCAAAAAAAAATAATCGACTGTGAAAAAAGTAGGTTATTACGCTTTGTTGCGTTGAGTAAAAAATCTCAAAATTAGAGGTAGGTACAACACCTATTACCTGCCATAATGTAAAACCAAACTATTATCGAACAGAAAATGAGCACTTATTTCTCATTAACCAGATTTAATCGAGGAGCACTGTAATTGGCACACCTACGTTTTTTTTATTGAGGGGGTGGAACATCCCTTCGTATCTCATCTCTCTTGTCATACGCTCCATGGCCGGTAGTGAGGCGTCATCTCGCAGAAGGAGGCGTCGCTCCTTCATCCTTCCGGGCCGATGGATGATATCCACTCGGACCCAATTCGCCGCCGACGAACCGGGCGGCGGAGGCGCGAAGAGGTTTTCCCCTCCACCCGCCATAACGGCCAGACAGGGCAACGGTCGCCTAAATAGAGAATTTACCCGAAGGTGGTGCCCGCCCCGTAACGGGCAGGCGCTAGCAGGTCCGGATATCTTAATAACAGCAGTTCCCGGATACCTCCTATTACAGGAGCATTGCGGCACACCGTGTGGTTTTAATAAATTGGGTTTTTAGTTTCTCAAAACTTTCCGAGGGCCCACGTATATTACAAAACATATTTTTTTCTGTTGATAATTCTTTATCACACATGAATGTACTTGGCCCAATTAAAACCCCGTTGAACGAGATAAGATTACCTTTGTTGAAACGAGTTTCAATTTCATCCGAAGGCACACAGTAGGTACAAACAAACAACAAAAAGCAAAAAGATGAATATGTTTGTGTTTGCATTAAAAAAAGTCAAAGAGGTTGCTTTAAGGGAGACTGCTTTAATGGTCTACCATGCATATGTTTGCTCCATAATTCGTTACGGCATTATTGTTTGGGGTTACTCATCAGAAATTACACGAGTATTTTTAGCGCAAAAGAAATCACATCCAGCAATATTCGGTTTGAAATGGACAGATTCATGCAGGCCGGTTTTTGTATCTCATAATCTGTTGACCGTCCCTGGCATATTCATCTACGAAGTAGCTAAATTCGTGAAGTGCAATAAAGAGCTCTTTGAAGTCAAGGACAATACCAACAAACGTAAAAATACTCACTCGTATTTTAAATTACCAGTACCTCGCCTAGAAATTTTTAGGGTGAGCTGTGTTTACATGGCACCACTTATCTATAACACGTTGCCGGAGAATATTGCAACTCTTCCTTATCACAGATTTTGTACTACATTAAAAAATTGGCTAATATCAGAGTGCTTTTACTCCGCCACTGATTTTTTTTAAAAGTACTCTACTCAGTCATATCACTTCAGAAATGCATTAGTGTAGTAATTATTTTTAATATGATTTTTGATATTTCAATTTCAATGTAATGTAATTTTATAGCATATTAGTCATCAATTCAATGTTTTTAAGTAGTTTGATTTTATTTCATAATTTTACCTGTACAATTTAAAAAAATTGCATGCTATCTAAATATAGCGAAGTGTGTCTTGTGCTTTAAACATTGTAACCACCTACTGTGACTACCACATTTTCTGCAAATAAATATTATTATTATTATTATAACACACAAAAAAGATGTATTCACTTGATAAGATTACATAATGTAATCTTTGTGGACATACATTACAAAATATCAACACCACGCAAGGCTGGTAGAATGCGTTAGGCATTAAGTCGTTGTAGAGTTGTAAAACAAAACAAGAGGCGGTAAAATGCATTCTAATTTCAAATTGTAAAGATTGGAACGTAAATGGATGGGATTTAATTTCATTTGAAGCCACAGTTAACAAAAAATAAATTTTTACTTGATAAGATTCTTATTACTCACAGTAATTAATTTGTGACTATTTTGAAAGTTGCTTTTCTCATAGGAGAGATGAAGAAAAAAAGAGCTCATCTGGATAGATTTGTCCTTCCTGCAATCAATAATTGTTTTCCATGGTAATTTTTCAATGGCGCAAATATATAATACAACAATATCCACAATTTAATTACTATTTGTAGCGTTACATATTTGTACAACTAATAACAAATAATTAAATCTTCACTTTTATTTTAGATTACCTATTACTAATAGGCAATTGTCTCAGATGGCCTGCTCCGTGGAGGATTTGGAGGTCCCCTCTGTTATAATTTTACTCGTATACCTAGCTGTCGATATAGTATCGTTAACACAAGCTACACAAATAAACTCATATCTACAAACAACCTTCTAATAATAATTTATTAATATTAGCCATTTACGATGACGTTCTACTCCAACTAACAGGAAGAAGCAGCGCCATCGCCAACGTTGCTAGGCTTGGCGCACAGGCGCACGGTTAGACACAGGCCTACCCGTAGGGATCGCCGTAACAACCGGCCCTTCCTCTTCCTATTCTCTTCCCGAAGAGCACACTTATCCTTGCAACTGACAAAACTTGTATCTACAGCTACAGTCCTCTCACGAAGCCACAATGGGTGTTTAAAGCAGACGAGTTGCCCACAAAAGTTGTTCACGATTGGAGCGTTAATAAACAGATGATAGCGGTTTTCCGACGCAGTGGACCAGTAGCTGTAACTCTGTACCAGACCAGAAGACAGTAGAATAGTTAATAGTGATTTGTATATTTCCGACCTAACAAAGATACAAGACCTTTTTTAAGATTTTATTTTTTTATTTTTCAACATAGTCTCCCAGTAACTCTACACACTTCTCCCAGCAATGCTCCCATCTCTGTAAATCGTCCAAATAGTATTCGGCGTTTTTCTCTACAAAATAATTGATTGAAGGCGATTGCCTCTTCATTTGACGAAAATGTCTGTGCTCCGAGCTCAATTTTTAGCTTAGGCCTAGATCTGGTAAGTAAGGCGGATGGTCAAGCAGTTCAAACCGTAATTCGTGGATTTTCGCCATGGCGACCGATGAGGTGCGAGATGGTGCGTTGACATGGTAAAACAGGATTTTCTTTTTCTGCAAAGTGGCCGTTTTTTCGCAAGTTCTGCCTTCAGCTTGTCAAGTAATGATGCGTAGTATGCTCCTGTAATGATTTTTCCTTTTTGGAGATAATCGATTAAAATAACTCCATGACTATCATGAGTCAGAAGAGTCAGAAGATGGATATTGGAAACATTTTTCTTTGTAAATTGTTTCAATACTAAAGTTTGAGGTAATAGTTTTACTAAACTATATTTTACTTTAAATGTAACTTGTAGCTGTCTGTGGCATCATAGCTCCTGAACAGACAACCCGATTTTAATTATATATTATATAAATGAATATCATTTCATTTCATTTCGAAAGAAAGAAAGTTTCAAGATCATTAGCTCTGTTCCAATCGTTGAAGGATTTTTTGAATCATGATAATTTTAAATTTATATGTGTTTACGTACATATTTGACAACCCGATTATGTGTTGTGTGTATCTATGGATTAGATGTAGACCAAATTACGTCAGTAATTACGTCATTATCTCAAAAACTTGCGCATAGTTACTGCTACTAGTTACTAAGTACTACGCATAGCGAAATCTGCATTAAATGAAGCCAATATTACTAACGTCACGCAAGGCACGCTCGCATGCAAACGTACAAGCAAACGCACATACACACACTACAAACGCTACAGCGGCAAACAGGTAACAAAGAAACGATCAACAGCTCAACATGAATGATTCACATTAGTTTTAACTGAAGTTAAACGTCACGCGTCGGCGTTGCTACTTTGTGATTCTGACACAACAAAGAAAAAAATACTACTATAATTGTTTTATTAAATTCTCTCACAATTCAACTACCAACACTCATACATTCATACACTCTGCAGTTTGAAATTAATACCTAATGTCAGTACCTGATAGGGAAGCATTGCTTCGACATATAAGTACTTCAGCCAGCTCGACCGGAGTGATGATACCACGGTATTAGAGAAAACCGGTGTTAGGCATTTCTTTCGTGGTTTTTCACCTATTGTGTGAGGTTTGGGTTCCCCATTGGGGGTATAATCAGAGGGCGGCAAAGCACTGGTGTCTCTTGAGTTGTCATCATCAATCATCAATGGCCTTTAATGCTCCACTCCATAGGGTTCGGTATAGGGTTTGTTTCACGTTTTCCTTCTCTTTGCAGAGCTGTTGTCCTGCGTAGTTTGCTCCCTAGGTCGGCTCTTACGACACGGATGAATAGGGGTGATGACACTCTGTATTCTTAATCCGTCACCACACGGATTATCCATCAGATGAACCATATTCATCAGATATTCCATAAAAAAGAAAACTTATCAAGTTTCTTAATTTTTCAGCGTTTCAATATGCGGCTCTTTGGCCATGGAGTATAAATTCCCGGAAGGGTTTAAGTTTGGAGTAGCTTCGGCTGCGTATCAAGTGGAAGGTGATCCGAAAAGCAGTGGTGAGAAGATATCATTATTATTTGTAGTTTACAAAGCTTTTGGTAGATATATGTCACTCTGTACTAATGTCTACTGCTAACAATAGTACAAGAGCCCGCAGCAGAATGTCTACGTTCATCGAGTACACAATCAAAATCAATTCTTTTAATTCCGTAAATAAAAGGGAGAATCTGTTTTATAAAAAATGTGCCGGATAGTATTTTCAATTTAATTAATATTCATTGAAGTTTGGCAAAAAAATTCATTTAAGTACTTACATGTTATTTAAATGAACTTTACTCTACTTCATAGACATATCTGTGCAGAACTTTGAAAGTGATAGTTGCCATTGTTTACTTGCCCGCAACTTCTTAACAGCTAGGTGCACGCAGGTTACATTTATACGTTCATGACGTATTTTTATTGATTATACGGCAAATTAAATCTATTTTTTTCTGCTTTCTATTTTTTACCTCTCTATTTAACCCCGTTCGGAACGAAGTTCCTTCCGCTTGTTGGTAGACGTTTGCTGTAGTGTCGGCAAAAAGTCTTGTTACACATTTTTCGGTCTCGCTCCCATCCGCTCAGAGCGTGTAACGCACCATAAGGAACTTTGCTCCAATAATAATAAAATTTTATTCATAAAGCCATTGTAACAATATCTTTATTTTATTTAGCGGACTTAATGAAAAAGGCATTCTCTACCAGTCAACCATTGAGTGGGACAATAGATGTGTGTGCCCACACACACACACACATATACACACTGTGTGCTCATTGTACTAAGTTTTCGGTATGTGTGTAGTCGAGCGTTAGAGGCCATGATTTCATTATGATTCTTTTAAAGATCATTTAGAGTGAAGTTTCAGTCAGGCAATAGGTATAGGAAAAGGAGAAGGGCCTATCTAGACTAAAAATTTTTTTTTAGTGTACCAATACTATGCGACATCTTCGCTATTTCTGAACCATTTCAATCATTCTTTCTTAAATTGTAATAGTTCAACTCTAGAATTGATTTTATTTTTAAAGGTTAACAGTTATTTGTCTTGAGTTTCCACCTCCAAAATAAATTTTGATGGTATACTTGATGAACGTAGGAATTCTGCAGCGAGATCTTAGACCACAATACTGCTAGTCGCGTCGTAGTGGAATGGCTAAATCACGAAATGGCAAAACTCAAAAATAATTAATAATGGTTCCTCTGGATCACTAACCTGACACTGACTGACTGACCAACAGACGCGTCAAAGGCCCATAAATAACAGTATTGAAAGCTGTATTATTAAACATTCTGTCCTTCTCATATTGTTGTAAGTAACAGACAAATAGACTATTTGTTTGAGGGTTATCTAGTTTTACAACCGATTTGAAAACGCTAATGTTGACTTGTTTCACAAAATAAATTTAATGAAGGTTTTTATGATCCATTAAATTGTATGGGGTTTTGGCTATTTCCTTTTATAACCTGCCTGATTACAATGTTCCTTAGAAATGTAATCGTTTTCAAAATTTTGTTTGTTTTTGTTTTTAAAAAAGATAACTCCCGCCTTAGGCATAAGTATATCCTGTGTGGCGAGGGACTTTACAAACATAAAAACACCCAGACTCAGAACAACAATTTGTGGATCACACAAAGTGTCGTCCCATGTGGGGATCGGACCCACAGCACTCAGCTTAGTAGTAAACAGCGTGACGACCACTTAAACCACTACGCCATCCGTGCAGTCAATAAGACAAAGCTGTAATGAGTATTTGTATTCGAAATAAATTCATAAAAACATTACCAGGCTGTTCCTCATCATCAACAATTCTATAATAATCCATTGTTGGACTTAGGCCTCTCCTTAGAAAAGAGGTTTTGGCCTTCTATACTACACTGGCCCGACGGGTTGGTAAAGGGTTTGTGTCAAGTTTTTCTTCTCTTTGCAGTGCTGTTGTCCTGCTTAGTTTGCTCCTTTAGTCAGCTCTTACGACACCCACTAAATGAATAGGGTTGGTGACACTCCGTATTCTTAATCCGTCACCACAAGGATATCATTCTGAGGCCCAGACTTCAAAAAGTGATAGTATGCCCAATTCGGTTTTATTTTGTTATGTTCGTTATCTCAGAACGTGTCATTTATGAACCAATTTGGATTGTTTTTTAATTTGAGATATTTGCCGTTTGGTCCGATTGAAAAAGTACCAACCCTAATGGTGCAGAATGAAGAATACAGTTAGTTTTTAGAATTTAGTTAGTTTCCGTAATCAAGATTTAATTATACTGTATTATTTATCCGTTAGCACATGCCTCACACGTCATTTTCCATGCTGTTAGTACAATTAAATAAAACTATAATTTCATATAAATACAGTACATTACTACAAAAAGCAATGGAAACAATATTAAAACAGCTGATCAGGAAGCTAGTGGAGCGTGAACAATGCTAACTAAACGTTGTAACAAGATGAAAAAATCTTCCGGATCGATTTTTTTTCTAATCTGTGATCAAAGGTATCTTCAGTGTTATCATCTGTTTTTGTTTTCGAGAGCGTTATCCTAACATTCTGTAAATACAACTTCCCAAAATCAACCTTTGGGCTTTTGTCCCCCAGATATGAAGAAAAACTGTTGGAATAATATTTTGAAGTTATTATATATAGGTATTATTTAATACCGGATTTTAAAACTAGAAAGAACAAAGCTAAACTTATTTAAAGAACTTGAAAATTCTGTATTTGAAAGGAAAATCAAAAGTTAATATAATGAATGATATAACAGATGAAATATTTTTTTTTGACTCTTTTAAAAATGTATTTCCCTTAGATAGGGGTGAAAACATCTGGGACTATAAGGCGCATTCACGACCAGAAGTGATATCAGACATATAACCTATCTGAAAAAGATATTTGTTTTAGATAGGGGTGAAAACATCTGGGACTATATGGTGCATTCACGACCAGAAGTGATATCAGACAGGAGTGATGCTAGCATGGCATGTGACTCCTACCATCTGTGGCGGCGGGACATCGAGATGATGGAGGAGCTGGGCGTTAATATGTACAGGTTAGGGCCAAGTTATTCTAAATTTTAGTTTTGGAATAAACTTACAAGCACATGTGATAAATCATATGCTTTGTAAATCATACGAGTATATACACACCTGTGACTAATTTACAAAATCACTGCCACTAATTGTATTATTATTAAGGCTTAATCTAAAAAAAAAGGTCGTAACCTTTGATGAAAAGAATTTTGCTTGATTTTAATGGCTTTTATATTTGTCTATGACGAAATCACAATCACATGTGAAATCGATGTGATTAAATCCAATCATTTCCCTCCAGGTTACCTCCTGGTACCACCGGTTACCTCCGGTGACCCTTTGAGTCTCTCCCCCCCCCTGAATTAGAAGGTACTTCCCCTAATTCATGGGAGGGACTCAAAGTTTAGCAATGCACTTATAAACAATCAATAAATCACCTGTAAGCAGTCTACTACTGGTCATCATCATTCGCCTGCCGGATCCAGTACATCCCAGTTAGGGCCATTCATTAGGTACGTAAGGGTCTCCAAGGGGAGTGGAGGTTAATAAAACCCCCTTTTTGTACAAATATATTCACATTATACTTGTAAAACATGCCGTTATCGTGAGGAGGGGAGTAAAAACCCAATGTTACGTAATATTTTACAAGTCGTTTATTATTAAAAATCTATTTCTATTTCGGATGCTGAATGATTAACTGCATTCCATAACGTGCACTTCGATTTACATCTTACTTTACAATTTTTTATTATTTATTAAAAATTTAAAATCTGAAATATGTTCAGTTTCATCCATTTTAAATGTCATAAGTAATAATTATATTTTAGTGAATTCTGCCCGCGTTTTAGCTTTTATTGTGAAATTTATTGTTTGAGTTTGAGTTATATCTGATAGCAATGATAAAGGATAACCTGAATTGTCTGCTAAAAATTAAAAATAAATGATTTACGTCAAACTGTGAGTTTTAGTGTAACTGATGCTTTCCAACAACTCTTTATTATTCAGAAAAACAAGATTGAATCTTAAGTAAGAAAGGGTGGGTTCGAGAAATCTTATGTATCCTTACATGGGGGTAGGGGGGGTCAAAAATCGTCTAATCACCCTTACGTTATTAATGAATGGCTCCTTACCTTCTTCAGGTTGTCAGTCCATGTCATTGTGTGTCTTTTTTTTTCTGTGCGGAAATCCCTCGGATACCACCCACCGGTCGTTATGTCGGACTCGAACCGACCAAGAACCGCACGCCCTCTCGGGTACCAGTTGCCGTGGAATCAGGTGTACCCTAGATGTACCCTAAATCTCTGATATCATTGTGTGTATCGTAGTGGTATGTGTGTGACCCATGGAAACTGCCACATTATATATAACAGATTATATTTACTAAGTAGTTTGTTTATATGTATTTGCAGGTTTTCAATATCCTGGACACGTCTGCTTCCCACCGGCTACCCCAACATTATAAGTGAAGATGGTAAGAGATTCTACAACGACCTGATAGACGGTCTTCTGGAGAAAGGCATCGAGCCCATTGTCACTTTGTATCATTGTGATCTCCCCCAGTCTCTGCAAGACCTTGGTAAGCAGTAATATAGTCTGTTAAAACTTTCCATGTACTACTTATTGGTATTAAATACTGTTACGAGCGGGTATACAATAAATAAAAGTTGTCGGTTAATTACTTTTATTGTACTGTATTTAAATACACTCGCTATATACAAACTAGAAATCACTATATAACTCGTTAGTTGCATTAGAAATGCACTTCGATATTAATTCGCTGTTTCGTAAAACGATACTGTGTCGTACGGCCAACATGCTCAGCTTTTATAGCGCTATCGAATTTACTAGAATGATCCCTAGTATTAGGTAGTCCGTTTCAAACAAATAAGAATATTCCAGTATCGGTTAAAGTGCTGTAAGTAACAGAATTATTAATCACAATCTCAATAATATTTTACTTTACTTGATACTAGATGGCTCTCCTCCACATTCCACACAATTCTGGAACAATCGAACCATTTAATCCTATGGCGCAACAATATTTATTTGCTTTTTTTTAAATACATAGGTACATTATTATCCATAAAAACGCCTACACCAAATCAAACATTTAGTTCACACAAATGTTTGACTTGGTCAGCAATCAAACCTTTGGTGTAGCAATCCGGGAGACAAACCACTACGTCATTCAGTTGCCGAATAAGGGCAGGGTTGGCTTATTTATTGGGTTAAAAATTTTTAATACAGATTTTCTATGAGGCCGTGGTATCATTTTGGGGGAGGTGAGCATTTAAAGGACGTAACGCAGTTGTACATGGGCATAGGATGGCCTGACACGGCCTGCATGAGCCGGCTTGACTGGAGTGACACCAAGTTATCATCAACAGCCCCTAACAGTCCACTGCTGGATATATGCCTCTCCTCGTCGGCTTTTAAAACACCCACGGGATGATTAGGGGTGGTAACACTCTGTATTCTTAATCCGTCACCACACGGATGACACCACAGCCTCACATAACACTGGTTTTTGCAGTGAAAGCAATTCTTTTCATTGATTTTCACTTATGAGGTTACCGAAACCTGAATTCAGGGGAAGGGAAAGGTCCCCTGAATATGGAAGTTTTTTTTTTAATTCAATCTCTACCTCATCAGTCAGGTTCTTTGACCACTAGACCCAGAAGCCAGTCGATATAAATCTTAAACACGAAGCATTTTATGCAATTTTTTGTAGTACCAATGAAACTTGTACAAAAACCAACATATTATAACTAATATCGAATTAACAAACCGGTTATACAAAAACTAGACAACAATTTGGACGTCATATTTAAATCTAGTCTGTTCCTCGTTTGCCACGGCAGACGACTACTAAAGTATAATGTGTAGGTATTATTATTAGTAGGGGTTAGTGACCCTGACTGCTAAGCCGAAGGTCATGGGTTCGATTCCTACCCAGGTCAAATAATTGTGTGATGAGTACGATGATGTGTTCTGTGTCTGGGTGTAATTTCTCTTTATAATATGGATGTATTTAGAAATATATAAGTATGTTTATCAACAGCCTGTTATAATAGGACAGGCTCTGCCTAGTTTGGAACAGACGGCAAATTTTACCAATATTTTTTCAGCCTCTCTGCATGATAGGTAACAAACGTTTATCTATTTTAGGATAACCGTGTTATAATCATCTTTTGATCTACCTCTAAATGAGCACATGAATCACCCGATGGTAACTGATTAGCGCCCCTCCCCCCCTCCGCGCCTTATTAGGTGGAGGAGGGTTTGGACCTCCGATAACCTCACTCACTTGGTAAAAAGCAACAAAAGAATAGCTAAACAAGCTGAAGCCGTGGTATCACTCTGGCTGGACCTGCTCATTTGTACAGCATGGTTCTACCATAGTCTTCCACAGGTGACTGCACGTATGGCGTAGTGGTTAAAGCGGTAGCTCACCACTTCTTACCGCGCTAAGTGTCGTAAGTTCGATCTCCATATGGGACCATAAATTCAAAAAAAAAACCATATGGGATCTCCATAAATTGTAGTTCTGAGTCTGATTGTTCTTTGTGTCCGTTTCATGTACATACATGAAACGGACACAAATTTATAGTTCCCCGCGAGTCAGGATATATTCCTAGTGCGTGAGTTGTCTTTTAAAAAAACTTACTTCGAGAATTCCTTAACTTCATTCTTACTAATTAATATTTTTTTATTATTTGCAGGAGGATGGGCAAATCCACTAGTCGTTGACTGGTTTACCGACTACGCAAATGTAGTGTTCTCCCTCTACGCCGATCGTGTCAAAATCTGGCTGACTTTGAATGAGCCTTTTGGAATTTGTGACTTCGGTTATATGGAGTTGGCCGCACCATACTTCGATGACATTAAAGTTGGTGGTTATATGTGTACTAAGAATACTCTGATAGCTCATGCGAAGGCTTATAGGCTATACGATGAGGTTTATAGGCCCAAGTATCATGGTACGTAGTTTTTTCTCCTTTGCAATATCTATTAGTCACTGGCTTAGGTTGATTAGAGATATTCCTCTGGCAAGCCATGTGTTCCTCATTTTATAAAGTCATATAAAAAGTGGTTTACCTTTGTAAAGAGAGTAATAATAATTAGGCCCTGTTAATGATATTAACTATACGACAATTAAATCTTATAATCTTCACATCAACAGCCTTTAATAGTCCACTGCTGGACATAGGCCTCTCCTTAGAAAGAATGTTTTGGCCTACTATACCACGCTGGCCAGACGGGTTGGTATAGGGTTTGTGTCAAGTTTTCCGTCTTTTTTTAATCTTAGAAACTATATATATCTCTCAATATATCTTATAATTTACTATGAAAATACCTTTAATGATAGTTGTGAGATCGAAAGTTGATCGGAACTTCCGAATAAAGAAGAGCCTTCAGAATAAAATTCGTATATAAATAAAATCGTTTAAAAATATTTTTATTACGAGTCTGTCTTCATTTTCATGAGTGTTTTCCTAACATTCTGTATATGTTGTTCACTGAGGCAATCATAACAATGTTTCATGTGCAAACCTACCCGAACTCAAGGACCTAATATCTATTTATTTTCTTATACTTAGGTAAAATATCCCCAAGAATATTTAAAAATGATAATCCAGACAGTTCGTTATAGATTTTGGTCATTCTTACAGGTAAGGTGTCACTGTCAACACTTTTCTTTTGGTTTGAGCCAGCAACGCCAGATGATGTAGAAGCAACGGAACTAGCAATCCAGTTCTGGGTACGCTGTGTTTCCTTAAATTCTCCTTATAATGTCTTTCATAAGGTGAATGTCATGATAATATTTTCAGGCAGGTCGCTACGATCATCCTATTTTCTCCAAAGAAGGAGGCTGGCCAAAGAAATTGGAAAGGCTCATGCTAGAGAATGGCAAAAATGAAGGTTATCCATATCCAAGGCTTCCCCCTCTCAGTTTAGAGGAAATTGAACTAGTCAAAGGTAAACCTTGTTCATAAATATTTAGATTTGGAAAGCTTTTTTTTAATTAGATATTTTACATTAATATTTCTTAGTAATAAAATCTTTTATACAGATAGGAGTAGGACGCATCCATATCAGCAAAAAATTATTTTTAACAGCGTATCATTTCATATAAACAGCCTTTGAAAATCCACTGCTGGACATAGGCCTCACCTTAGAAAGGAGGATTGTATGTGGTAGTCGCTACATGAGTATATTATGAAAAAAATTAAATTGAAATCGCTAAACTAAATTTTCTTGATGTTTTAAGGTACATATGATTTCTACGGCCTGAACCACTATACAACAAGACTAATAAGAAAAGTTGAACCAGGATATAAGCCAGGACCTTATCCACTCATGACCTTGGATGAAATTAATGTGGAAATGATAGGCCACCCTGATTGGAAATCTACTGAATTGAACTGGTTCTCGGTAAAACATATGAATTTACTTTAAACCATACTAATATTACTCGTATAAATGCGAATTTGTGTCTGTCTGTCACCTCTTCACGTTTAAACCACAAAACCGTTTTAGATGAAATTTGGTATAGAGATGGTTCGAGACCCGGGAAAGGTCATAGGATAGTTTTTATCAGAGAAGACATCCTTTAAGGGGGTCAAAAAGGAGGTGGACATTTGTAAGGAATATCAATAACCGCTGAATCGATTTAGATAAAATTTGGTATGGAGATAGTTCGATTCCTGAAGAAGGATATTGTCTGGACTTTTACCGCGATAATCGCCATACACACGGACGGAGCCGCACTCAAAAGCTAGTTTGAACATACGTTTATTACCTGTTTTCTTTTTTCTTGTTTTTTCTGACTTGTGTGTCTACTAGTGGTTAGTGAAGTTGACTGCTGAGCCTAGGGCAAAAAAATGTGTGAAGACCACGATCATTTGTTCTGTGTCTGGGTGTATAATAATTATTATTTATTAATAAACTGAGAAAAGAAATTAGTATTACGAGAAAAAACTGTTTTGGCTGCGAGAGATGAAACTTTTACAATAATTATTTAGTAACAAAGGGGATGTTTCCTATCTGGGATTAACTAATTCCGACATTTAATGAAAATGCTGTCTATTATGAAGTAGAACTGGTTTTCATGCACATCATACACACAGTATACCTCGCAAGGAATAGGAACAGACGTATAAATGCCCTCACTTTGCCGACAATAATTTTAGTCCCATCTTTTTATCACTTTCTGTGTGAGAGGGGCTTTTTTTTAAAGACGCGGTGTCTTTAAAAAAAGCACCTCTAGGAATATATCCTGTGTGGCGGAGGACTTTACAAACATACATAAAACGGACACAAAGAACACCCAGACTCAGAAGCACAATTTGTGGATCACACAAAGTGTCGTCCCATGTGGGGATCGAAATCACAACACTCAACGTAGTAGGAAGCGGCTTGGGGGGAGGGGGGGGGGGGTACGGTATTAGATAGAAAAAATGGGAGTTTAAAGTGAGAGGAAAATTAGATAAAAAGGCAAAAATAAAATGTTGCTTTTATGGCTAATTTGGGAGAGTGTAATGAAAGTCTAAACTTCACAATTTCAGGTACACCCTAAAGGTATCCGGGATCAACTAAACTGGCTAAAGAATAACTATGACGTCAAAGAGATCATTATAACGGAGAATGGAATGATGTCACTGGATCCTAGCCTCGTTGATACTGGTCGCTTGGAGTACATCAGGGATTATATGGAGCAGGTAAGCTACTGGTGCTACTACCAGTACAGGTACGAGTATTTTATTTATATACATACAAATATGCTTACGCCTATATCCCCGAAGCTAGACGTATGAAACACCCCTATTTCTTGACTATGCCAAAAGTCCATGAAGTGACGGTAATCCCTCACTACACGGAATTTAGAATACGAAGTGTCGTCATCCCTATTCATCCCGTGGGTGACGTAAGAGCCAACTAAGAGAGCAAACTACGCAGGACAACAGCACTGCAAAAAGAAGAAAAACTTGACACAAATCATACACCAACCCATCTGGCTAGCGTGGCTTAGTAGGCCAAAACCTTAGCTTTCTAAGGAGAGGCCTATGTCCAACAGTTGACTATTAAAAGCTGTTGATGATGATCAATCAATCATTTATTTCGTAAAACACAGGTAAATTCAAACCATATTTAAAAAGATCGCCATGTTTCGCCAATAGGCATACAAAACATCATCATCATCATCATCATCAACAGCCTTTAATAAGTCCACTGCTGGACATAGGCCTCTCCTTAGAAAGGAGGTTTTGGGCTACTATACCACGCTGGCCAGACGGGTTGGTATAGGGTTTGTGTCAAGTTTTCCTTCTCTCCGCAGTGCTGGTATCCTGCGTATTGCGCCCTTAGTCGGCTCTTACGACACCCACGGGATGAACTGGGGTAGTGACATTCCGTATTCTTAATCCGTCACTACACGGACAGTTGCTGTTGCTGATGATCAATCAATCATTTATTTCGTAAAACACAGGTAAATTCAAACCATGTTTAAAAAGATCGCCATGTTTCGCCAATAGGCATACAAAACAATAAAAGGATTTCATTATTCCTGTGCAGTACAACTGTTTAAAGTCCAGTAATCATATACTTATTCAATTCAATAAAATAGACGTTGATTTGATTTCTCAATTAAATAACATACTGATATTGATAAATGATGATTAAATCGGGAAAAATGTTAAAATCATTAAAAAAGTCAAACTCAATATGTCAAATAATTAACAATCAAAAATGTCAAAATAATTAAAAGTTCAAAATACTAAATAAAATTTTAACAAAATTAAATTTTTTAAAACAATTAATAATTACAACGTCAAAATAAATGTCATTCACAAATACTTAATCATAAATACCTAATTATATACATAACTAATTGAAATCAAAATTTATCATTCAGAAAATCTATAATGGAGTAGTATGCTTTGTCAATAAGTAATTTTAAGAGATTGCTTTTAAATTCATTAACATTTTTACGCTCTCTGATTTGTTTAGGTAAATGATTGCACAGCTTTGGTGCCATTGCGTAAACACTTTTATGTAGAAGTGCTGTTTTGGCTTTTAATAAGTGCACTTTGTCGAGCGACGTTGACTTTCTATAAAAGAAAATAGAGAAATGTTATTTCTCACTGATTGATGATAATATCAAAATCCCTCGCAACTGCATTTCCTGAAATTGGAAATGAGGATTGTTTTGTATCTGTTATTGCGAATAGTTTTTAAGTATTATATTATAAGTGTGTGTATATATACGATGTGTGTATTCGTAAAATTCGTGATCTTCTACAAGGATTTCATTAACTATTGACATCATAATAGACACATTAGTCTAGTTCTTACCATACTGATTACGATCGCGTCTTTCCAGGTCATGTTGGCAATGCAAGACGGGGTTCCTGTAACGGGGTACACAGTATGGACAATGATGGACAATTTTGAATGGTTAAATGGATATAAGTAAGTTAACTGACTTTTATTACTTATATATTTATTGGGAATTAACGAGATTTCAAATGCGCTTACGCTCGAAATTAAAATGGCCACCAACACTTTTTTCTTTAAAGTAAAACTTGCTCATGATTTTTTAAATATAAATTGTAATCAATATCTATTTGCGTATGTATGTATTTATATACTTTTATATTGTATTTGTGTATTGTAATGTATGTACTTATTTGTAAGGTGTAGTTTATGACAGTTTTGTATATGTTTACATATTTTGTATAAAGTATACATTGCTAAGTTTTGTCTGTCTAAAATTAACTGTAACCAAAATGCCCCTACGACCTGTTTTCTCTGCATCACCCAATGGTAAGTCCGCCAATGCACCAAACGTGCATGATGTGTCTCGTAAATAAATAAAATAAAATGTTTCAGTTTAAAATATGGACTGTATGCAGTGGACTTCAACTCGCCGAATCGGACACGAACTCCAAGAGAATCAGCTCGCTTCTACTCGAGCGTGGTCAGAAGTCGAACCCTACGAACCACTTATGATAATTTAAATGTTATTCTTTAATAAAATATTAAAAGGTGTTCAAGAACGTGTTTTGATTAACTACCCTAATCTTTTGTAGATGCTTGCCATAGCATAGGCGGTTGCCAGTTAGGAGGGATCCAGATATATTGTAAAAATCCGACTTGTAAATCGATTCTGACACATCGGCCTGCCGCAAACCTTGGTAGGGTAACTAAATTTAAATTGGTTTTGTATATTTGTTTTAAAAAGTATTTTTAACTTTTTATGTGAAAGCCGTCCTGTGTTTTAGAAATAAAATATGTTTTTTTCTTTCCGCCAAGTGAATTGCCGCCAATGGCCAATTTAGAGTTAGTGGTATGCGATCCTGGCCTCTTCAAGCTATTGCTTATGATTTTATCAATCACCAAATAAATGTATTTTCAATTGCCTATTAAATAATATTTGTTTCTAAAATAATAGAACATCAAATAAATTGAATCACAAAATAATATCAAAACGGTAACTTAAATAGTAATTAAGAATTACTTGGAAATAATATCAGTCATCAAATAATTGTGTTGGATTTCAAAATAACAAAAGTGTCACCAAAATTGAATCATCAAACAATGTAAAGAAGTTTATTTTAAAATGTATTTATTATTGCTTAAAAATAATATCAATCATTAAAAAAATCTAAACAGACATTTTTTTTAATGATTGATCCTTTTCTTCTGAGACATAGGTAACGAATGTCATATTCGTTAACTATGTCTCAGAAAAAAAGGTTTTTAATGATTGATATTATTTTGGCACGGATGGCGTAGTGGTTTAAGCGGTCGCCAAGCCGCTCACAGCTACGCTGAGTGCTGTGGGTCCGATCCCCACATGGGACGACACTTTGTGTGATTCACAAATTGTTGTTCTGAGTCTGGGTTGTAAAGTCCCCCGCGACACAGGATTTATTCCTAGTGCGGGAGTTCTTTTTTAAAAAACAAAACACAGAAAAAAAACGGAAATAATAGATCTTCGTGGTCATTTTTTTTCCAAAACATGACACTATCAGTTATTTTAGTTATTGGTCGCAATACTAACCTTTTTTTTTTTTTTTTTACGTGTGGAAATCTCCTCGGACCGTCACCCCGCCGGGGCTCTCGTTCGGCGGGGCGGTGTGTCGGACTCGAACCGACTAAAACCACACGGTGTGCCCTCTTTGCGCTTCCAGTTTAGGAGGGGTCCAGGTAGTTATCGCCTTCTGGACCCCTCCCAGCGCCGGCCCGCTCCTGTTGCGGGCTCCGTCTCAAAGTTTCCTCTCTTTAGGCGGCGTCCGGCACACGCGGACGCCGCCCCCTCGCGGCTGGCCAACTAATGCGGGTGGAGGGGAGAACCCATCCCGTCCACCCGCGGCCACACTCAGGGCGGCATGAGGCGCAGGTAAGCGCGCCTCATGCCTCATCGGATCAGGTCCGAGTGGAGGTCGTCCTCCCGGGCCTTCTCCGCCGCCTCCTTCTGCGAGATTACCTTCTCGCAGAAGGTTGCGACCGCGGTAAAACAACCGTCGCTACCGGCCATGGAGCGAATTACGGCCGGTAGCGAGAGATCTGCTCCGATGACTGCAGTGAGGGCCCGGCGCTGCGTCGCCCATGCGGGGCAAACCGCCAGCGTGTGCTGGGCCGAATCCTCACTGCAGTCGCAGTGGTGGCAGGCGGGACTCGATTCCCTCCTAGCGACCCAGTACAGGTACTTTCCGAAGCAACCGTGCCCGGAAAGCACCTGCGTCAGCCGGAAGGAAAGGGTCCCGTGCTGCCGCCCTGCCCACTCGGCGATGACCGGCTGGAGAGCCTCCACGGCGGCGAAGCCAGCGCGTGGAGTCTCCAGCCGGAACGACCATCTCACCATGGTGGCTCGGCGAGCGGCTTCGCGCCACTCGCGCACGTCTTCGGGCGGAGGGCGAAATCCGCTCTCCGCCCGGAAGTCAGCCACTCGCCGATAAACTTCGGCGAGCACTTCCGCCTCCAAATCCCACGGGGGTGTTCCGGCCAAGGCGTCACAATACTAACCTAACCTAACGTTTCCTTTTCTATAATCTAGACAGTGGAATTGGTTGAACTACTACAACGCAAGCAGTTCGATTCTGACTTATGTTCACATTTCTCCAGTTTCTCGTAAGGCCACTTTATCACATTTATCGTGGGACCGACCGTGGGAGAGCCATGCTTCGGCACGAATGGGCCGGCTCCACCGGAGTGATACCACGGCCTCACAGAAAACTGGTGTTAAGCAATTCATTCTTTGCCTTTTACTCAGTGAGTGAGGTTACCGGAGCCCAAATCCCCCCTTCCGCTGACTCGAGCGGGAGGGATATAGTATACATAGTAATAAATGTTTTTATCGATTCGATCTCGCTTAATAATAAGATAAACGATATCATAGTAAGAAAAGATAATTATGTTATCAAGTGTTTAGTGGGGATCTACTCCAAGCATCTACATTAGATATTTGTACATTGTTTACTAAGATAATAATGTATCTTTAAAATTTTCCTGTGTTTATCTGTAAGTGTTTTAGGGCTAAGAGAAACCAGGCGTGAGAATGTAATTTATTGTTATTAAAATATCACCATTATTTTTCAAACCCTTACCCAATTTTATCGGGAGTGGGGCTTTGGCTTTGATAGATGTTTAAATCCCGCTTTTTTGTTGCACAAATATGATAACTCTGAATGCGTATGAGTAACGAAAATTTAGAATTTGACGTGCTACAAAATTGTGATTTTGAGTTGGTCTTCCTTCTGATCTTAGCAGAGGGCGAGCCAAGCTTTAGCGTAAATCCGGTTGGCTTGGCCGGAATGATGCGACCTCACAGAAAAGGGGCCATCCATAAATTACATCACACGTTAAGAGGGGGGGAAGAGGTCGGCGATGTGTGACAAGGGGTGGGAGAGTCCTAAGTTTTGTGACATCACATTTTAAAACCTCATAAATCTAAGTATTAAAATGCAAACTGTTAACTATATAATGGAGGTCAAATATGTGACCATGTGACCAGCTGTGACAAAGACGGGGGTGGGGGCCAAAAAACCATGAAGTTCGTGTGATGATGATGATGATTATTTAATAGGTTTTTATCGAGTGACTGACGTTACCAGAGTAACACATGTCCTAATGACAATGATATCAATATTTTTCGGTTTGTTTTAAGAGAAAAAATATTTTTTCAAAAAATTACTGTTGCTCTTAATATCCTTTCAGCACGAACTAACTCCTACCTGCTTTACACATTATATAGCTGTTTCACCAGTTTCCTTACAGACAGAAGCATTAAGGTCGTCATCGATTTGAGTCGGAGCATGCACGCTCCGACTTCAAATCTGTAAATGCTGGTGTCCCACAAGGCTGTGTGCTATCACCCACACTGTTTCTTCGGTATATCAATGACATGTTGCAAACTAGTAGCATCCATTGCTATGCAGATGATAGCTCAGGAGATGCCCTTTACACCCGCCGCTCCAAAATTTCTCGTTTAAACGTCATCGAGAGTCGAAACTTGTGTCTGAAATTGAAACTTCCTTAGCGGATGTTTCAGATTGGGGCCGACTAAATCTAGTCCAGTTCAAACCAAAAAAGACACAGGTCTGTGCGTTAACCGCAAAAAAGATACCATTTGTCCTATCACCTCATTTTGAGAGCACCTCCCTAGCTGCCTCAGCCAGTATCGAAATCTTAGGCATCGACAAATCGACGAGTTCAGTTTCGGTGTAATAGGGTAGGGTCCAGGGTAAGGTCAAATTCGCCTCGAAGAAGCTCGGTGTGCTGAACAGATCGAGGCAGTATTTCACTCCTTCCCACCATCTTCAGCTTCATAAGGCGCAAGTCCGTCCGCAAATGGAATACTGTTCTCATCTTTATGCTGGGGCACCTCAGTACCAGCTTCTCCCTCTGGACAGCATCCAACGTAAAGCGACTCGACACGTCGATAGCCCAAACATCTCTGATCGACTCGATCCCTTGGCGTTACATAGAGAGGTGGCTTCAAACTGCATTCTCTATCGCATATGTCATGGAGAGTGCTCCGAGGAATTGTTCGGACTAATACTGGCCGCAACTTTCCGCCATCGTTCCACGCGGCAAAATTTTCATCTTCAACACCTGGATAATAGGCGCTCCACTATTGTGCGCTTTTCGAGACACTTTTTGCCCCGCACAACCAATCTGTGGAACAGGTTATCGTCTGCGGTATTTCCGGACCGATACGACCTTCAAGAAAAGAGCGTACTCCTCCCCAACGCGTTTGTTACTTCTGAGTTGCAGACGTTCATGGGCGGCGATAGTCACTTTCCATCAGGTGACCAGGCCGCTCGTCTGCCCCCTCTAACATAAAAAAGAAAGCTATCGTATGCGGTATTTCCGGACCGATACGACTTTCAAACCTTCAAACCAGAAAAGTGCGTAATCCTTCTTAAAAAGCCGGCAACGCGCTTGTGACTCCTGAGTTGCAGGCGTAAATGAGCGGTGGTAGTCACTTTCTATCAGGTGACGCGTCTGCTCGTTTGCCCCTTCATCCATAAAAGAAACAAAAACCTACTGTCTTTTATAAGTAGCACGACTGTCTTTTAGTGACAACCCTATATCCCCATCTGACTTGGGATTTGACTATCCTAATACTGTTAGAGTATTTTGTTATCAACAAGTAAATGCCATATGTTTTTCATTTTAGTTATAGGTTTTACAAATTTACTCATAGTTATCAATATGTTTCACTCCCAAATACTCGTGCTAAGGTGATTTTAATTTGAATATTTCTTTTTTATTTAGATTTAAAGGACGTTTTTTCTTTTTATTTTCGTTAGTTGTATTAATTATGTTAGTATATATAAATAAAAAAATATATAAATTAAATGGTTAACGAATAATTTGCAAAGAGCGTAAGACTTTTTTCCAAACCAAGCCCACCCTGCACTGTAAATAAGAAGGTAGATGTACACACTACTGACACGAAATATCGTGTCAGTAGTACGAACCTACGAAGTACCCTGTTATGTTTACAATTTATAAACAAAAGTAATTAATGGTTTTGTTACAATCATAACTTAAAGTGTATAAGTGAAGAAAAGAGTAATATACTCGTACAATTCACACATATGTATACATATAATAAATATACTTACCGGAATAACACACAACTCAGTAAGTATTTTGTTTGCCGTGTCATCGCTTCGATATGTCTGGCCATTGTTCAGTTGGCTTTCATGCGCTGGTTGATTTGAATGTAATATTCAACCAAACGTTTAACAACCCGCACCATTCATTGTGGTTATTCATAAGTCTTTTAAATTAGATCTTTCATTGGTTCATGCTTCAGCTTTCATTCAATTTTAGGTTTACTTTTAGTTGTGTGTACGTACGTACCTAGGTATTAGTTTAGTTATGAGTCACTTTTTATCAGTACAACACCTTTACATTGTATTTTCATGATGTCCAAAATAATAAAAAAAAAAAGAAATCAACCATTATTACTTAGCGTAGTGCGTAGGTACCACGCTAATTAATTTTCTGTAATATGTAGTACGACTTTTAAAGACATCCCTCTAAACTGGTAATGAAACGGATGATCAAAAACGACTGTATTTAAAGCAAAGATATCGCGTAAGTTGCCACACGACCCTATTTTGTTTATATCGGTAATGATTTGACGGCACGGATGGCGTAATGGTTTAAGCGGTCGCCACGCCGCTTCCTACTACGCTGCGTGTTGTGGGTTCGAACCCCACACGGGACGACAATTTGTGTGATCCACAAATTGTTGTTCTGAGTCTGGGTGTTCTTTGTGGATACAGTGTGGAACACAGGATGTGATCCTAAAGAGGTAGTTGTCTTAAAAAAAAAACACGTTCATAATTTCTGATAACTTTACACAATAATACCTATATGAACACTTATTTTTGCAGCACGTTGCTATGTATGTCCTTATGTGCAGAAGACTTGACATTCCCTCCGGGCTTTAGATTTGGAGCAGCGAGTGCAGCATACCAAGTAGAAGGCGCCTGGAACATCAATGGTAAATCAAGCATTACTTTAATTTACAAATACATATATGTTTTAAATGCCATTATAAGTGCTATTTTCTAAACAGATAAAGGAGAAAATATCTGGGACAGATTCGTACACACTAAACCAGAGTACATTACTGGTGCTGCTACTGGCGACGTGGCCTGCGATTCTTACCATCTGTGGGAACGGGACATTGAAATTGCCAAGGAACTTGGCCTACACTTTTACAGGTGTGAAATTATTATAGGCATTATTATGTATTAGAATCTAGGTAACCGACTAACGGTCGGAAGGCTTATTTCTTGCATAAAAAATTAACATTGCATTTTGAACATGGGTTCAAAATGCAATGTTAATTTTTGTATATACTTCTTCTTTGTGTATACTTCTATACTTTTATTATACATATATGTGAAAGTGAGTTTGTTTGTTTGTTCCGCTTTCACGCCTAAACCATTAAACCGACTTTAAAAATTATTTCATGAATGGAAAGTTATATTATCAGCGAGTAACATATGCTACTTTTAAAGATTCAATTTGTTAAGTAAGAGAAAACAACTTAAACTTAACTTACAGGTTAATTTACAGATTACTTAAACTTAACTTAACTTACAGGTTTTCGATAGGCTGGAGTCGTCTGTTACCAACAGGTTTCGCAAACTATGTCAGCGAGGACGGAAAAGAATACTACAATAAATTAATAGACGGTCTCTGGGCAGAAGGTATTGAACCAGTTGTGACTTTATATCACTGGGATTTACCGCAGTCGCTGCAGGATCTTGGTGAGTTTATAATGATGTTAATCGATATACGTTAATGCTTTTTCTTTCTTCTTTGATAGTCGAGATATTATACTTATGGGGACTAATCGAACGTTACTTGTTCTAAGAAACAGTAACTAGCGTCTACATAAACTCCCTTAGGGTTGAAATTTTGAAAACCGTTTCTTAGTGGGTGATAAGCACGATCATTATTATAAGATAAGATAAGATAAAGTTTATTTTCTCTTCCACAATGATTACTTAATACTAGCTTATTATAGTAATATATTTATATAATATTGTTTTGTAAGACACCCATGTGTAGTGGTTTGTGTAACGGACAGCTATTCAAAAAGTCGTGGGTTCGATTCCCGCTCAAGTCAAGCATTTGTGTGCATGAACATTTAATGTTTGATTTGGTCTGGGTGTTTCTATGTATAATATATATGCATTTACAAAAAAAAAAAAGTATATATGTATTTATATCAGTTGTCTTGTACCCATAGTACAAGCTCTGCTTAGTTTGGGAATAGATGGCGTTGTGTGATTGTGGTAGAATATTATTATTATTATTACAAGCTGGTTTGCCAGCGACCTGGTTACCACTGTACAGCCAATGCCTAATTTGAGTTAAGAAGGCCGTATGTAACTCAAACACTTCTATTCCAGGCGGTTGGACTAACCCTTTGATCGTCGACTGGTTTGGTGATTACGCTAGAATCGCCTACTCTCTTTACGCTGATCGGGTTAAGCTATGGCTGACCATCAATGAACCGCTTACATTTTGTGATGCAAATTACAACACTGGGACTTTAGCACCTGGCATCATAAGTACAGACCATGGAGCTTACTTGTGCAATAAATATACATTACTTGCTCATGCTAAGGGTTACAGGATCTATGATGAAGAGTTCAGACCCAAATATCATGGTAAGTTGAAATTTTCATAAAGTTTTAAAGGGTAGGTATACCTGGGGCCATGAGCCGACCCCAAATAAAATTGGGAAAAGGGTAGGCAGATAATGACCTGGGGCCATGGGAAAAGATCTGATATCGGGACATTGTGGGGTTTTAGTCGGCTTGAGTCCAACATGTCATATTACCTTGGGCCTAATGTGAGAACGCGGGGGAGTTTCCACTACTTTACACACATTTTTTTTAAGTATAGGCGGCAAATAGGCAGATGTGTCACCTGATGGTAAGTGACTACCGCCGCTCATGGACACCTACAACTCAAGAGTCCCAAGTGCGCTGCCAACCTTTGAGTCCCCTTGAATCAATGGGAGGGGAAGACGTTCTCTGGAAACCTCATTCACTCGGTGAAAAGAAAAGAAAGAAGCACGGTTTAAAATGTTGAAATTGTGACTAAAGTAGATGAAAGGACTAAAATAAAATGAAATCAAATACTAGGTTAGGCTACACGGTGGCTGAGGCCCGTATGAAGTCTGTATCGACAGGCCGACTCAAAACTATGGTCCTTTCTTCAAAAGGCCTACCCATAACCTACACTGTACTTGCACAGTTTTCCTTAACTTTGTTTACGGACTAAAAAAAGAAAAGGACGACTCTGTGGTTTGATTCGGTGTTTCTTCCCAAAGTGAGTCTTAGGAAATGCCGGCCCCATCTAGCTGTAAAGTCCGACTTGTAAAAATACCTGAAGGATTTACTTACAGAGAAGAATATTATTTATCATTTACTAAATGTTGATGTTGAACTTAAATTGTTCTAGTTTTTTTTATTTGAAAGAAAAACAAAATAGTGGTGAGCGCCTGCATATCTTATCTGTTTAAAAATGTTTCGAACTTTTAAACAAAATAAAACTAAATCAACATTGGACCATCTGTTTAGGAGATGCCACAACAGCTAAACCGATACTCAAATTCCCAAGTTAAACTCTTTGTCCCTCTACTCCCGCTTCAGGAGGTAAAAATACACTGTACTGTTCTCAGGTGAAGTATCACTCGCTAACCACTTGACATGGTTTGAACCTTGGACAGAAGACGATGCGGAGTTAGCTGAATTAGCTATACAGAACTGTGTAAGTTATGCTCCCTGTTTATAATTCTATTAAATTTTGAAGAATTTGAGTAAAAAATTTGTTGCATTTCTTGTTGAAGGGTGCTTCTATTCGATTGATGATTTTATGAAATGACATGATAAAATAACTTGCATTGACGTAGGCGGTAATTTATTTTACCTCCTGACATTAAAAAAATATTAATTTGTTAAAGCCGCAGTAAACGCCCACATTTTCCTGAATTTAATCTTAGACCCACTTACGAAATAAGTCGAACCCTATTTTGTGAGACGGCCTATGCCGTCAACCGAGCATATATATTTCTAAATAAACATACTATTATACCTCACATCATATACATACATACTGTAGACATATTACACCCAGACAATGAACAAATGATCTTGCTCATCACTCAGTATTTGTCCCTGGCAGGACTTCAACCTACGACCTCTGCCTCGTCAGTCAGGCTCACTAACAACTACCAATATCTCGTGAACATCAATATATAAACGTTAAATTGTAACTATATTTACTTGAAACTTTTTCTCTTCTACTAAAGATCTGGAAAATATCATAAAACTTTTTCTGAGATTGCAATGTATTGTGATAGAAAAGGAAGGAGATTAAAAAACCATAGAAATAATAATAGAAACATTAGTTACTCTCTCCATTCGTGTGGTGACGGATTAAGAATGCGGAGTGTCATCACCGTGTCGTCAGCTTAAGAAAAAGCTTAAGATAGTAGAGGAGGTTAACAAGGCGCTATCGCATACAGTTGGCAGAGAGAGAAAGAAGATGGTTTTGGTCTTGCATCTCTCTCTGCTCTTGTCACTGATTCCCTATTTTAAACTATAACTACGTACATGGTAAAGCAGCAGGCAATCAGTGCAGAAAGAGAAGAGTACCGTACTGTGTTATATTATCTCAATGGTCCTAAGAGCCGACTGGAAAAAACTACGCAGGACAACAATAGTGCAAAGAGAACACTTCAAACGTATACTAACCCTTCTGGCCAGCGTAGTACAGTAGGCCGAAACCTCTCTTCTAAGGAGACGCCTATATCCAGCAGTGGAGTATTAAAGGCTGTTGATGTGATAATGAATATTTCTATTTACAGGCAGGAAGATACTCGCATCCGATTTTTTCCAAAGAGGGAGGATGGCCTCCTAGTATTGAAAAACTCATGACGGAAAATAGTAAGAAGAAGGGGTATTTAAAGTCTAATTTCCCTGCTTTTACTAAAGAAGAAATCGATTTTATAAAAGGTAAATGTGTGCCTTATTAGCCTATGTTACCGGCCTAAAAAAACGAGGAAAATTCGTTACGCTACAACTCCGGCATTTATGAACCGATTTTCAAAGTTCCTTTTTTATTTCAAAGGGTATACTTGCCTTTGGTTCCAATTATATTTGAAGAAAAATTCCATAACAAACAATAAATATTAATAATTGTTTATTATATCACCTTACCAATAAAGTTCCGCTTGGGTTTAAATTAAGAATATACATTTATACAGTTTGCACTACAACCAATATTCATTCACTCTTAACATTGGTTGCAAATGAAGGTTTTTTTTAAATATTTTTCATGCAATTTATAGTACAATGCAATTAAGCGTGTAGTATTAGTAAGAACTCTCGGTGCCGCAAGGTGGGAAACGAACACCCCTAAATACCACGCTTTAAAAAGAACCAAGTACTTTGACTTAACCAACGAAATAACTAAAAATAGTTATTTCGTTGTGTTGCATGCCGTGGAAGTGGGTGCGAGGGGTATACTAACTAAATTCCTCTATACCTGCATTAGCTTGGTTTGCCAAGAGCTTCACTAAGCTCTTTTCTTGAACGAATATCCAAAGTGGCATTGCTAGGTACAGGACATAGGGGGTGAACGCTGTCGCGTCGCAAGGAGTACTCCCTAAACCTACTCCTGGGTCGCAATTCCCAGGCGCTGTCGAAGTCGCATGTGGTGCCCAAATGAATCCTTAGAACGCCAAGAAATAGGCCTATATTACTTCGATTTTTTTTTGCAGGAACTTACGATTTTTACGCGATGAACCATTACACAAGCCGCATCATTCGTAAGGCAAAAGAAGGCGAAGAGCTGAGGCCCTGGCCCGTTGGAGATGCTCCTGATCTTGATGCTGTTATGGGGGGTCTGCCTGATTGGGAGCAGACATCCTCTTATTGGTTCTTTGTAAGTACTAAGAAAGTTGGCCCAGTGCTTGGCGAACCTGACTGCTAAGTCAGAGGTTGTGTGTTCGATTCCCACCCAGGACAAATAATTGTGTAATAAGAATGATCATTTGTTTTTTTGTTATTTATTTTATAACTTTTTGCACAAATACATGCATTAGCGGACTTCATGCTTAAGGCATTCTCTGCTAGTCGACCGTTTGGGCAATGCTGAGAAAGAATGAGGTAGTTGCATTTATGGGAGAGTAGTCAATAATAAAGGTGTTATTAAATACCAACTATTTTAGAATTTGGTGACCTACACACACCCATATTTACATACACACATGCATATATATAGCTACATATACATACACATACACACACGTGTTATGTTATGTGTCTGGATGTAATTTTTTTTTGTTTGTATGTATTTAGAAATGTATGTTTATCAGCAGTCTGGTTACCATAGATAGTACAGGTTCTGCCTAGTTCTGGATCAGACGGCCGTGTGTGAGACGTGTGGAGTTATTATAGTTTTAAGAAAGAACTTCATAAGGGTTAAGGAAAAGATGTTTTACTCATTAATATGCTGTGTTCCAGGTGTTCCCACCTGGAATTCGTAGACAACTCGTATGGTTAAAGAAAAATTATGGCGACATGAAATTTTTGATTATGGAAAATGGCTACTCAGGTGTAGAAGAATTGAATGATCAGAAGAGAATTAACTTTTACGAAAGTTACTTAAAAGAGGTATGAAACTGCTCCATTCATGAATCTTGCTGAAAAGCATTCATCGTGCCATCTTTTATCATACACTAGCTTTAGCCGGCGGCTCAAGATTTTAGCCTATGTCTTTCCTCAGGAATCAAAGTCTCACCATGCCAAATTTTATTAAAATCGGGTTAACTGTTATTGATTTGCCATACAAACTTCCACCCCCCTTTTCACTTCCTTAAAGGGTGATTTCTGGGATAAAAACTACATTTAGTACTGAAGTTATTAATGATTATTTAGCCTCTGTACAATTTTTATGTTTATTAACCAGTTATATTTATTAAATCTCCTTTTTTTATACCATTAATATTTTTGTTAATCTACTTCAAAAGATGACGGGAATACTGAAGTCGTATCGTTGTATTTGTTTTTAATGTTTATTAACTCAGAACTTCGTCAATTTTATGAACCGATTTGGTAAATTCTTTTCGTGTTTGGAAATGATAATACCACACCTAACGCTGGAAAATTAAGTTTTATTGAAGTCGGTGTAACTTTGTTTAAGTTAAATATGTAATTTCAGCTCCTGTTGGCAATCAAAGAAGATGGCGTTAATCTGACACACTACGCTGCCTGGACAATGCTTGATAACTTTGAATGGACGGATGGATACAGGTACAATTAAACTACCTACGCCGCATGTATTTGAACTCTTAATACTAAACCCGTGTCAGGATTTATTCAGTTATTATTCAATTCTATGATAGCACCTAAGACGTAGTAATCCAAAGAATAATGAAAACCTCTGATAACCAATTCCTTTGTAGCTTTTCACTGAGTAAGTGAGGTTAAAAGTGTGGAGGCACGGGTGTCGTGGCGCTCCAACACAAAGGGAGGATCCTCCGACCAGGTGAGGTGGTCATGCCTGGAGGGCCGCGGCCCAACGATTGCTGTTGGGAAGTTATATATGCTAATCGGCGAGAGAATTGTTTATATCGCGACACAGGATCAGCAATTCTCATTCAGTAGTTACTCGGAGTCACACCGGATAATAAAAGAAACAGAAACATACTACAGCCCCATTTAACGAAGTCTCGTTAGATGGGGCTGTAGTATGTTTCTGTTTTTTTGTACATACAAAGAAACAGAAAGCACCGAAAGGAGTCGCCACAAAAGCGCCGACCGCTCCGTCCCAATTCTGGTGGTACAAGTATTCAAAGGTCTCCCTGTTCAATACTTTTACCTCTAACGTGCCTGTGTCTGTTAAGTTACAGGGCGGTGATAGTCACTTACCGTCAGTAGCAGTAGTCAGTAGGGATGGAGTAAAATCACAAGCACCTGTGATAAATCATATGGTTTGCAAAACATATAATCACACCTGGGACTAAATTCACTGCGACTTATGATTAGGTACGCTAGCGCCAGACTTTCGAAAGGTCTAAATCTAAAAAAAAATGTTTTTCTTTGACAAATAGAAAATTTGCTTATCGTAGCAGTGATTTGTCACAGATGCAATCGGAGTGACTAAAATCTATTATTTCATGTTCATTATGATTTAGAAGTAGCAATAATTTTATTCATTAACCCCGACTATTCGTTTGTCCTTTTAAAATAATTTTAGAATATTTAAGATGAAGAAACTTATAAAATAATGTCAATGAGATATTGGTATAAAACATTTATTCGATTTTGATCTTCTGATCTGTTAATTTCTCCACCATTCTCTAATCTCTTGAGATATATAACACAATGTACGAAATTTGTTTCAGCTCGAAATTCGGCCTTTACCAAGTTAACTTCACAGATCCGAACCGGACTCGTACCCCTCGAGCCTCGGCCTTCTACTACAAGAACATTATAAAGAGCCACTCACTGGATGTAGAAAAACCCACTGTGGATGAAGTGCATCAAGTGGTAAACCTCTGAAGTCTTGTAAACTCTAAGAATTTAAAGACCATTTAACAAAAATTACACACTTCTTTCATTTTTATTATTGTCCAGTACTATTACAAAATTTCGACAGGCCTATTTTTCTAGTGTTTAGTGACCCTGACTGCTAACCCGGAGGTCGTGAGTTCGATTTCCACCCAGGATGAATGATTGTGTGATGAGCACGATCACTTGTTCTGTCTCCGAGTGTAATTTATCTCTAAAATGTATGTATTTAGTAACATATAAGTATTTTATCGGCAGTCTTGCAGTCCTTTCTGCTCGTTTGCCCCCTCTGCCATAAATAAAGTCTAGCTACCATGTTTATCATAGGGTCTACCTAGTTTGGGTTGAGACTAACGTATGCGAGATATGTAAATCACATTTTTTATTAAAGCTAGTTGTTTTTGCATATGATTAGCATTGTCACTAGTAATACACAACAAATAGTATAGAATAGATTATGCTTTATTGTACACCAATTACAGTAAGTTGGTTAAATATTACAGATGGATATTTACAATGGGCGGCCTTATTGCTGATAGCAATCTCTTACAGGCAACCTTTGGATGGACAAATCGACAGTAGATAAGAAAAAACAGTGGGTGGTCTAGGTGTATTGAAGCTAACGTAGTGTAAAAATAAACAAATATACATTATATAATTATACATACATATATATACTGAAGGACGAAGATGAAGACAGCCCATGGATCTACGTACAATAGTGGGACTATTGTAGGTAGATCCATGCATTAACGACTATTTTCTCTCCGAAACATTTAGATCCATCCGAAGGTTGCCTGGCAGAGATTGCTCTAAGCGATAAGGCCGACCTTTATACATTACATATCTGAACACTATATTTTTTCGTAATTATAAGTAGTCTATATGTTAATGTAGGGTGTAAGCTACCTCCACAACAAATTTTATCAAATTTACCAGCCGTTTGAATGTGAAGAATTAACACACACACATTCATAAGCCTTCGCCTTCGCGAGAGGCAGTACAGAATGCCTTTGAAGAGTTTGTTGCCTCCCGTCCGGCTGATTTTTACAAGAAGGGCATCAATAAACTGCCAATGCGTTGGCAAAGATGCGTCGATTGCATGGGTGATTACTTCGAATAACAGAAATAAAAAAGTTTGAAAAAATAAGTACTTTCACTTATTGCATACAAAACGGCAATTTCATAGGTAAAGACCTAATATTCAAATAGTGTTTAGTTCAGCGCCTCTGTACGATAAGCAAGGGAACTACACTTAGTTCCCTACTTCACATATAGAGGCGCTGGCTATAGGTGTAGAAAATAGATATCTACGGTTAAAAGCCATTAGTAATTATAAGTACGGGATCAATAAAACATAATGTATAATTTAGATACTTTATTGATACCCAACAGATCTTGTTATAATTTCATCTGCAATGTAGTTGAAGTTGGCTATAAACCAGCGTTATCTCAAAACTATTATTATGTAAGTTGATTGCGCTTTATGTTGTAATTATAGTTTAAGATAACACTTAGTAGTCAACATGCATTGGTGCCAAGTGGTCGTGCTCGGGTGAGACTCAATTTATCTTATCTTATTACCTTACCGGTATTATAAAATACACTTGCCATTGTATTAATACTGTGACTGACTATGTTATCTTGTATAGATTATTAATACATACCTAATAATCATTATAATAAATGATGAATTGTAAATATTTCATACTTGGAAGAATTTAAAAAAAGTATGTCAAGTAATTAGCTTCGAACAATGCAGATTTGATTAAAAGGGTCTACCGTGGCAGAGTCATGCTTCGGCACGGATGGGCCGGCTCGACCGGAGTGGTACCGCGGCCTCACAGAAAACCGGTGTTAAGTAATTCTTTCGTTGCCTTTTACTGAGTGAGTGAGGTTACCGGAGCCCAAATCCACAGGGACACCAAGGGCGGCAATGCACTTGTGACTTTAGAGTTGCAGGTGTCCATGGGCGGCGGTAGTTGCTTACCATCAGGTGACCCGTCTGCTCGTTTGCCCCCCTATACCATAAAAAAAGGATTGTTGTCGTAAGGCGTTTGGATAACTGTCTATATGAAGAAAAAAGATGTGTGTCGTGGGACTGCCATGCTTCAGCTCATATGGAGATACAACGACTTTACAGAAAAACTTCGTCCACAGCCTGTAATAGTCCGCTGCTGGACATAGACCTCTCCTTAGAAAGGAGGTTTTGGCCTACTATATATACTATACTATACCACGCGGGCCAGACGGGTTGGTATAGCGCTTGTGTCAAGGTTTCCTCCCCTTTTTGCAGTGCTTTTGTCCTGCGTAGTTTGCTCCCTTAGTCGCACTTATATCAGAAAACACCGGTTTTCTGTATAAGTACGATATAAGTGCGACTAATTAAGAAGTTCTTTCTTTCCTTTTGATTGAGTGACTTTGGTTATTGAAAGCCCAAATTCCCCTCCTAATTAAATAATCTAAACATAATATCCCCCTAACAATAATAAAAGTACAGATGGGGAAATTCAGCGACCTCCAAGGTAGCAACATGCTCTTGAGGTTCAGGTATAGATGAACCTCCTTGTAAGCCGCCCATAAACTATTAAATTAAATATTATTAACACTAGCATAACATAACTTACCTCCGATGCATAAACAATAAGACAGAACGATAACGTAGCAGTTTGTATACAAAGATAAAATCATGCGCCTGCGCATCCAATGCAATAGCCGTCTCGCAAGCTACGTATTGTCCAACACTAGTCACTCAGTTGTCGTTACGTACTTTCTACATATTTTACGGTGATATGTTTACTAATAAAGTAAAGTAATAAATTCTGCCAGAGAATGGGGACCCCTGGTCGCAGATTATAGCGTTAAGATCCGGTTGGGCCTCATAGTTATTTAGCCTATAGGCTTAGCAATTAGGGTTACAAACTACTAGAGCAACAGGCCAGTCAAACAGTATATACTAATGTTGGTGTTCATCAAGCACACAGCACAGCACACCTTAAATAAACAGCGACTGAGCGACAGTCGAAAGAAATTAAGTGGTCAATAGTGAGATAAAATCTAAGAGAAACAGCGATAATAATCTCCGAGTCAATAAAACTCAACAAGTAGAAGTGTGTAATATTTAGTTCGTGTAATAATAGTATGTATGGTGTTATTTATGTTAGAGGGGGCAGACGAGCAGACGGGTCACCTGATGGAAAGTGACCAGCGCCGCCCATGAACGTCTGCAACTGAGGAGTCACAAACGCGTTGCTGGCCTTTTAGGAAGGAGTACGCTCTTTTCTTGAAGGTTAAAAATATATATATTATTGTTGGTGACAGCGACAGCACATCTTAAAAAACAGCGATTGAGCAACAATGGAAAGAAATTAAATGGCCAATAGTTTTAGGAAAAAAATTGAAAAAAAATAAGAAAAAAATATGACACATCTTTTTGGTTGGATATATCCATATTTGTATAATTAGTACCGTGCCACGCTTCGCTATAGCCGTAGTCTATTTTAGTTGTATTGATGAGTAATGAGTAACAAAACTAACGCGAAAGATAGATAAAAACAATCTGAAAATTTGATCACAATCGGTGCAGTAGTTTTTGACTGTGTAAAGCGTACACAAACCAACTTAATATTTTTATATACTTAGATGGGTGTTTTTTTTTGCGAATTCTTACTTGAAACTTTTGTAATAACTCAATACATTTACATCATGTTAAATTGTTTTAAACTGTATGCTACATTTCTTAATTTTCATCGTCAGGAGTCGATTTTAATTTTAAATTTAAAAGAACCACAAGAGAAACGCTTTAACAAAAACAAATCGGTTTATTATTTACCATTTAAACCATTTATTTTTGCTACACAAGATACATAAAAATTATGATCTTTTATTCCTTTTTTACACAAAAACTACCAATGAATTCGTCCATTTTGCAGTTAAATAGGCTCTTTCAAGCAACCTATATGAAATTTTGCCTGCTAGAGATTTATTCTAGGCCCTCATTTGTACATGCTCATTTATTTGATGTACTCTTTTAAAAAAATAAAAGGAAATGGTTGTAATCAAGTTTATTCTATTCTAAATGACAAGTTCTGAGGTAAAAACTTGAAAAAATACAGTCGAATTCAGAACCTCCAACTATTTTAAAAGTGGAAAAATGCCTTTTCTATGAAAGAAAACTCGTATCGTATCGTGATTAAAATTAGTTGATATAAGTTGCGCCCGTCCTGCACTTTGACCGATAGCAAATACTTACTTGTTTTATTTACCATTCGAAAGATGATTTTATTGATAGTTATCTTGATATTAGTAAGCTTACTTATTATAATAAAAATATCAATTGAAAAGGTACCCAATTACAGGCAAAAAATTATTATCGTACTGTCTTTCCATCAATTAAATATCTTGATTTAATATTGATAGTACATGTATTTTATGTATTTGTAGCCATTCCACAAACACCATACAAGTATGGTGATTGTGGAATGGCTACAAATCTTTTAGACATCGTCTCTGCAGAGATTCGATCACCAGCCGCTTTACAACTAAATGGCACTTTACAACTAAACTAGATTATAGAACGTAAGCGATGTCGAGGGACACCACCGATATAATATGGCCCCAGCTCACGCCTCTTACCGCGACCTTCAGACTCAGTATAACGTCCCTAACGACGAAGCAAGTAGAGAGACCTCTCTCAAATAATTACACGAAATCGAACTGCAATATCGAATAACCTGCTTCTGCAGGCGCACCAGCTTCCAACTTTTCTAGCTATCTAAGAATCAGCTGGAAGCCAAACATGCATCTAATAGTGCCAATCCCTGAAACTCTTTTTTTGTTCATGTGAAAACCTCCTCAGACCGTCACATTACCGGGTTTTTCGTAGGGTATAGTGTGAGAATCAGACCGAATGAATGGAATAGGAGGGTTGCGGGAACAGCTTTTAGTTAGTAGATCACTAATCCTAACCTAACTTACGGAATACTTTTACAACATACACATGTGAGTGTGTACTAGAAGTAGTCAGGGTTATATTATCTGTATTTAAGGTGACACTATTAACCTAATATATTATACATGTAGGTTATTGTTTTATTTATGGTTATTCTGTTTTAAGTCGCATTATCTTTTTACCTAAATATAGCTTACCGTCCGTGTGTTATTCCTGAGTTAAAAATCATTTTGAATCGACTTCAATAGGTGGTTTTCAATTATATTACTATCTAAAAGAAATGTGTGATTGTTACGCGATATCTTTGCTATTAGTGAACCAATTTCAATTATTCTTTTTGCAACTGAATTGCTTGAAGTCAGGGATTATCTTGATAAACTATGACTTGACCAAACTGAATTGTTTGAAGCAACAAACACACAAAAATATTTCAGTAGAATAAAATTGAAAACCACGAAAAAACCTCCTTCAAGGGTAGTATAAAAACAGAAAAAGAATACAGCTTATTAATTTTTTTATTAATCCGATGATTATTTTTTGAGTTTATTATTGACTTACACAGAGATATCGTAACTGATATTATAAATTTAAATGACTAGATAAAATATAAACTCAATATGTAACTACATAAGCAATAAAATATTTACAACATTTACACTATTTACATACAAGCATCAAAAAAATCCTTCACATCATCGCCTACTGATAGCGAGCCTAGAAAACTTGCAGCATTGCCACGTTGAATGACAATGCTAATTCTCTGTGCTAGAAAAAGGCCGGCCTTCTGATCACGAGAAGTGTCGACCAGTTGCTTAGCTAGTTGTTTATACATAGCACGATAATCATGAAAGCAAAGATACAGAAAACACTGTTCTCAAGGACTTCATTTAATTTATTAATTGTTGAAACACGAAACACTCGTAAAAAGACCGGAAAAATAGCTTAGCAACTATTAGGCCGTGCAATCGGCCCATAAGTGTGGACCTATAATTCTCCCACTCTTTTTTTTCTCCATTTTTTAATATACCTTACACATCTCACACACGTCCGTCTGATCCCAAACTAGGCAGAGCTATGGTAACCAGACTGCTGATAAACATACTTATATATTTTTAAATACATACATATTATAGATAAATTACACCCAGACACAGAACAAATGATCGTGCTCATCACACAATATTTGTCCTGGGTGGGAATCGAACCCACGACCTCCGGCTTAGCACTCAGGGTCACTAACCACTAGACCAACAGGCCCGCCCGTATTAAAAGTAATTGACACATATATAATAAATTTATTACAGCGCTTATCTAAGCGTGTCGTGGTGCGCAGAAGACTGGACTTTTCCAGCAGGATTTAAATTTGGAGCAGGAACCTCTGCGTATCAAATAGAGGGCGCTTGGAATGTCAGCGGTGAGTTTATATACGATATAAAGATAGACTTAAGAGCTTTGTTAGAGGTTTACTAGAAAAAGTAATATAATAACTAAAAATAGTTTATATCTCTGTCCAGAAGTCCTCCCGCCAGCCCCCTTTTCACCTCTACAAGCTAATGCAGTCTCAATCTCATTTCCCAACCGGAACTTTAATCTTTACACGAACTCCCCCGCTTTATCCATTTACCTTACTCAATTTTATTTTCTTATTTTATCCCAGCCATTTATGTAATCATTTTGAATAAAGTAAAATAATTTAATTAAAACGATTACATTTCGAAGGAGATCAGGTGCCGGCTACCTTTTTTTTTTTTCCGTGCGGAAATCCCCTCGGATACCACCTGTCGGTGGCATGTCGGACTCGAACCGACTAAAACCGCACGCCTTCGCCGGGTACTAATAGCCGGGGAACCAGGTATACCCTAGAAAGGAAGTCCCTGGTGCCCCGACATACCTCGGGTCATCTACAGACGAGTAGACGACCCCCCCCCGTGTGGGAACCCCATGTTCCCTATGCTCCCTGGAAGCGAGCGCGCTTCGCAATGCGCTCGTCGCCACCCCGGCCTGCTTCTGCTAGGGTGACAGATGGCCTCACCTGTCACCCCCAGGCCTGCGCTTATGGAGGACGGAGGTCGTTCTGCGAGGTGCCGGCTACCTAGAAACCAGCCCCTAAATAAAATTATCAAAAATGGCATGAAGCTAAAGAATTCGATGATGAAAACAAATTTTCAGTGAACAAACGAAATGTTTTTACAGATAAAGGAGAAAATATCTGGGATAGATTCATTCACAGCGACCCAAGGAGGGTCTCGGATCTCTCCAATGGTGATGTGGCTTCTGACTCTTACCACTTATATGAGACAGACATCGAGAAAGCAGCAGAACTAGGTTTACATTTTTACAGGTAAGGAACAATATTTCAATACTAACGTCCAAAGTCAGTTTCTTCCGTGATACATTTAATTTAAGTATCATTCCTGTGGTTTAAGCGGTCGCCACGCCGCTTCCTACCATTCTGAGTGTTATGAGTTCGACATGGTGGGACGACATTTTGTGTTTGTTTGACAAGTTTGTTCTTTCAACATGGGACGAATAGTAATCCGTCGCCACACGGACAGTTCTATAAATCAGTAAAATGTTTTTTCAGATTCTCAATATCGTGGTCTCGCTTGCTCCCGAGTGGTTTCCCCAACCACATCAGTGAAGACGGCAAGAGGTATTATAATAATCTGATTGACGGTCTGCTAGCGAAAGGAATCGAACCTATGGTCACTTTGTATCATTGGGATCTTCCTCAAACTCTGCAAGATCTCGGTGAGTTTATTTGTGCTTTATTTTATTTTATTCTTTTGTTTTTTATGCACAAACAAATGTTTCAAAGTTGGACTTAATACCGTAAGCATTTTGTCTGATGCAGAGCTAAAACATGGCAGATGCAGAGAATGTAGTAGGACCCGTAGTATAGAAAGTACACAGTACACAGAAAATATAACTATATTCTGAATTAGATACTGTATGTGTTTTACTGAACAAGTATCAAAATAACGCAATTAAATACATTTATTCAGATTTACTTCTCAGAATGGCTAGATAGAGGAATATTGAACGTCCACATTATTCTAATCATCACTTTAGACCCTCTAAATTAATAGAAAGCAAACCTAGTGGCAATGGTAGGTGGTAAAAAGGTGATATTGCTTATACAGATACATTGGAAAGTTTAAGCAATAGCTCGAACATGCTAGATAGATGATGGCGGCGTACCTGTATCTCGAATTGGCTGAATAACGTTGCCAATTTATTCAAACTATTGCTGGTTTAAAATCCCCAAAACTTAAACCAGTAGACGGGTATCTGATGATAAGTAACTACTGTCGTCCACATACATCTGGAAATCAAGAGTCACAAGTATATTGCCGCCTTTCGAGTCGTCAACAGGGAGAGGTTGGGTTTGGGCTCTACTAACCTCACTCTCTCGGTGAAAGCAACTATAGGATATCTCAACACCGGTTTTCTGTGAGGTCGTGCTATCACTCCGGTCAACCCGGCCCATTAGTCCCGAAGCATGGCTTACCACGTAGGAATTTCCTTTATGAACCTGGGAATAGATATGCTATTCTATATTCTCACGTTACGTCATCACATTACCACCCTATATCAGTCCACTGCTGGACATTGGTCTCTCTTTAAAAAGGAGAACTTGGCCTACAATACCACGCTGGCCAGACGGGTTGGTACAGGGTTTGTTACATGTTTTCCTTCTGTTTGCAGTGCTGTTATCTTGCAGAGTCTGCTTCCTTAGTCGGCTCTTACGACACCCACGAGATGAATGGGGTGGTGACACTTCGTATTCCTAATTCGACACCACACAGACTAGATTTCTTATCAGTTTCTATATTCTAAACTTATTTCTTCTACAGGTGGCTGGACCAACCCATTGATAGCCAACTGGTTTGCTGACTACGCGCGAGTAGTGTTCCGTCTATACGGTGACCGAGTGAAGACCTGGCTGACCATCAATGAGCCACTGATTGTTTGTGATGCGTCGTACAACCTTGGCATCCTTGCACCAGGGATTCGTCATCCAGACGCGTTCTATCTGTGCAACAAGATCGTTCTGTTGGCTCATGCTAAGGCGTACAGAGTGTATGAAAAAGAATTTAAAGATAAATATCATGGTAAGTTTAATGCCCTAAGCAGAATAAAAAAAAAACAAAAGAATAAGTTGAAAAATTCTTAATCTTCCTCTTACATCTTTATTTTTCTTATTTTCAACATACATTGCCACAGAAAAATTAGGCTTTGTTGTTGACGATCATTGTGTAACTTAATAAATAAATTATACAATGATCGTCTGTCACCAAATATTATTTGTCCTGGTTGGTAACCTCTGGTTTAGCAGTCAGGAACACCACCCAATAAACCAAGAGGCTGACAACGAGGTTTGCCTATTTAATTTACCTTAAACTGAATACCCATACCAACCTGTCTGGCCAGTGTGGTATAGTAGGCCAAAACCTCCTTTCTAAGGAGAGGCCTATGTCCAGCAGTGGGCTATTGGAGACTGTTGATGATAATAAAGATAATGCACAAATTCTTTTGTTTCACAGGCGAAGTATCAATAGTAAACCAATTACTATGGTTTGAGCCTGAAAGTGAAGATGACGTGGAAACGGCAGAATTGGCGCTTCAATATGGTGTACGTAATTTATTTTATACACATAATTTTAAGGGTTACCGCAAGTGTAAGTATATTATAGTAAAGGGTTATTGCTGGTTTCTTCTGTGGTCGACTAATTTGGGTTTCAGAAGGTACAAAATAGGACGGGAAATTAGGATAAGAAAAAGCGGATTGGGCGGGAGAGCTTGAGTTAGAGATTCAATTCGCAGATGGGGGAACGAGGCTGAGACTATAGTAACTCCAATAGGCCGGTGTCTAATTTTCGCTATCGTGGGAGAGTCATGCTTCAGCACAAATAGGCCGGTTGTGATACCACGGTCTCACAGAAAACTGAGGTGCCCTAAGCAATTCCCCTGTTGGTTTTCACTGAGTTGGCTTCATAACATATGACGAAGGCACTCAAAGTCCCCCTCAAAGTAGAAAGACCCGTGTGTCTTATACAACAAGTTTTAAAGTGAAAACTTCTTTAGGCGAGTTGGGCATTTTTGAAGAAACAAAAGAATGTATTTTTTGAGATGGGAAAAAACCCACTGTTGCCATTACCGACACCTCTGTATATAACTATCTATATATATTGGCCTCGTATTCGCGAGAGTTAAGTTTAGGTTGAAATACATTGAAAATATAACCATATATAATATATACATACAAAAAAATAATGTGTATATACGTTACGATTTATATTCATATCGGTACTTTTCGAATGAAAAAAAACAAAAATCCTTTGTTAATCAAGAAAATTGAAGTTTCAAGTTTTCAACGCTGTCTGCAGCACTCAAGGAGTGCCACTGTTTTTTTAAGGTTGCGGGGGGGGGGGGAGGAAGTAAACGTGTCATCTGATGGTGAATGACTATCGCCGTAAAAACCAAATTATTACAAGAATAGTCGCTGATCCTGAATGAATGTTTCCAGGCAGGACGATTCTCCCACGCTATATATTCCAAAGAAGGCGGTTGGCCACCAGCTATAGAGAAGATAATAGAAGAAAATAGCAGAAAGATGAAATACTCCAAGTCTATAATGCCAGCGTTTACTCAAGAAGAAATCGAACTTGTTAGAGGTATTTAATTAGTTCCTTCTTAATAATTATAACAAAATAAATGACTTGAGTCATCTCACACACGGCCATCTGATGCCAAAATAGACAGAGCTTTTATTATGATAACAAGGCTGCTATTAAAACATACCTATATGATATTTCTAAATAGATACATTTAGAAATTAATATTATAAAGCTGAACAGTTTACATGTTTGTTGAACGCACTAATTTCAGGAACTACTGGTTCGATATAAAAAATTATTTTAGTATTAGATAGTTCATTTATCGATTTATTGTAGGCTATACTATAGTTAAACCGCCGTAAGCTTGGTCCTGATGGTTTGGGGGACGCGGGGCGGGGATGCATTCAACCAATTAGCTAGTGCGTCGCTGTCCGCCGGCAGTGACTGACGTGAAAGCATGGCTGTACGTGTTATTTTTCTTAAGACTGCTACACACGGTATTATTTTGCAACATGGATAATCTGCCGACTCTGCGGCACAAAAAGATTTAGAAACTTGAAGTTCGGCTTACAGAGGTTCTACTGTTAAAGTTCTAATAAAGATTATTTATTATTTTACTTAAATTTTAAATTGTATCAGAATATAATTTACATGATGAAGATAAGGTGATTTTATTAACGGTTTAACCATAATAGGAGTCGATCATCAATGAAAAATTTAGCATAAACGAAGGATAATTTACACCCAGCCATGTAACCAACCATCGTGCTTGCGAATTTATTACTTAGTTACTTAGATACGTAACTATATAGAATAAACAGAAATTAGACATAATTAGAAATCATGATCTCGCCATAGGTACTGTAACCTAAAAGAAAGAATTCGATATACGCTAGTGGTACATGACCCTGCGTCCGTCCAACTGAATTTTCTATTTCGTTTTTTCTTCTTTATGAAGACAACTTCCGCATTAGGAATATATTCCCGTGACACGGTGGACCTTACAAACATACATGAAACGGACACAAAGAACACCCAGACTCAGAACTACAATTTGTGGATCACATAAAGTCTTGTTCCATGTATCGAACCCACAACACTCAGCGCAGTAGAAAACGCTTAAACCACTACGCCATCCGTGCAGTCAAATTGCTAAATTGATATAACAGTCCGCCACGTACTTGTAGCTCTATACTGGCTTACCTATATCTACGTTATGTAGATGAAAATAATAGTATTTTCATCTACATAACGTAGATATATATAAATAAAATGGTTTTTAATGATAATTAATAGTAATTATCATTAAAAACAATTTTATTTTATTGTCTTCTTGGAAATTTCCAAATTGTGGGTAGTCTACATTATGTGAAGGAATTTTCCTAATTGTGGGTAGTCTACATTCTGTGAAGGAAATTTCCTAATTGTGGGTAGTCTACATTACCAGGCTACTCTCAAATAAAGCCACAACTTTTTGTAATTAATGTTAATCATAAAATATGCATAATGTGTATTAATGGATCCTCTTCCAGGGACATATGACTTTTACGCGATGAATTATTATACAGCCCGCACGGTTCGCAAAGCAAAAGACGATGAGCAACTAGGACCGTGGCCACTGAAAGATATTTCTGATTTGAAAATGGTGACAGGAGTACGTCCAGAATGGCCCAAGACGGTGTCACGTATATACCTGGTAAGTAAAAAGATATTATAATTTACTTTAAAAAAGTATCAACATTGTAATAAACTCTATTCTTCATTCCTTAATTTTCTACCCTATGAACTATGAATAAATTTGACTTTTCCCTTATTAAAATAACCATAGCACATCTCACAGTTGCATGGAATCGACTAGATCGAAACCGACTAGGACTAGACAAATCCGTAAACTCCTAAAGCCGTATTTAGTGGATAGTAATCTTATTTTTTTCAGGTTCATCCCCCAGGCATACGTCGAATGCTGGTATGGCTTAAGGAACATTATGGAGATATGAAGTTCCTCATCACTGAGAACGGGTACCCTACTGAAGGAGGCCTCGATGATCAAGACAGGATAGAATATTATCAAGCCCACTTGAAACAGGTTTCAAAATTCTTCTTTTACTTCTCATAAATTCAAGTCTTCGTCTTCTCTAAATACCCGTCTTTTGCTGCCTTCTCTGATCTTTGTTACTTATTATTATAGGAGGATTAGGAGGCTACTTTCATATTGCGAAATTTTTGTAGCGACTTAAACTACATAGTAACTACTAATCCTAAATCGCGCACTCAAAGTCTTCATGCCTATTATTATATTTACGAGTACAAGTTCCCAACATAGAAAATAGCAGAAAAAATGCCAATACTGGGCCACCATCGAACCCCATACAAAAATTAAAAGTTATAACAATTTTTTTCTTTCCGTCCATGTTTTAACGTAAAACTTTTATGTTTTTTTAATTTTATTCTTCTATTGACTTTCGTTCTTCGTCAATATTTGAATTATAATTAACTAGTTATTTTTGATTGCTGACATGAGATTGAGAAATGTGATATCTATCTACATTGACTCAATCTTTTACAAATGATACGTCACCGTTGATGAATTAAACTATTCTAGAAAGTAGCCATGTAACCAGCTGTAACTGAATTTGTAAAAATGTAACTTTTTAAACTATTACAGCTCCTACTGGCCATCAAAGAAGACAAAATCAATCTAACACACTATACAGCTTGGTCACTACTGGATAACATGGAATGGATAGCAGGATACAAGTAAGTTTTTTTTTAGGTTATATTTATATTTAATAAAATAAATTTATAATTTGTTGGATGTCTAGCGATAATATACTTTATAGTCACGGTGGTTTACACAACTTAATTTTAAGTAAGTAGTCGAATGTTTTAGTGGTCACGGCAGTTTCACTTTTTACTTGTTGCCATTACGAAAAAAATGTTTGTTAAATATCTCACTTTATGGAAAAGGATGAGTGAATGTAGGACTTTTCACCTGAAGGCCAATTCTTATAGTACGATAAAAAGTTCAGTTGAAATTTAGTTCCAATCAGCTCTCGAGCGCGAAACTGTCATAAAAGGTATTTTCTTAGTAAAATAGTAAAATATTACTAAAACTAGCAGGTTATCGATTCGGTTACAATACGATATACGAGTAATCACTTTACAATCAACGTTGGCTGTTTAACAATTTACTACGAAAATACATTTTAGGACTTGTGAGATCGATTTTGATCAGAACTGAATTGTGACCGAATTTTAATTACGAGAACTGGCCTTTTTGTTTCAAAGGACTCGGACTTTCCGTAAGCCTGCTCGTGCAATTGATCACACACTCTAATCCCTCAGTTTAGGCAATCCCACCTTTGTGACTCGTGCTTAATCACATTTCCCCTTCAAAAACTAGTACTTCCTACCGTGGGAGAGCCATACTTCAGCACATATGGGCCTTTCCCACCGGAGTGATACCTCAGTCTTACAGAACACCGAACGAAAGGGATTATTCTGAATAGAAGTCGAAATCAAATAGAAGAGAATAGAAATCAAATATAATATCTTGTGGCCTTCCTATCGTGTGTGTATGTGTGGTGCTTCCCTGTTTAAATGCCTATTTTACTTCAATTTGTCTCCCGCTTTGCTAAGGAGGGAAGTGGATTTAATATATTTCCAACTCCTCCAATTTTCTTCTGATTAATTTCGTTGTGGGTTCCAAGATATTTTAATTTTTTCCTGGGACTTCCCGAGTGCCATAACTCGGTGTGTTCGTGGGTTACTGCTGTTGATCCTGGTGTACAGGAGTTACAGTGGTGAGCGTTTATTAGGGATTAGTCCTATTTAAAGGCTTAATTCCACCTCCTTAATTTTGGGGTCCATGCAAAGAGTAGCAATTCACTTGCTGGTACGGCAGTCACTTATCATCAGGTGACGTATCTGATCGCTTGACACCTATTTCATAAAAAACGTCTTTCACTATAAAAGTGTCCGATAATTCGTAATAGAACTCCTCTGTATTTAACCTCCTTTCTAAGGCATATGAGAGACCTAGGTATGTCCAGCAGTGGAATACTAAAGGCTACTGTTGATGATGATGATTGATGATATGAGTTGGCTTAAGTTATATTTGGTAAAATGTGAGTGTTTATGTCTCAATATACATCAATGCTTCTAAATAATACCTACAGGTAATTAATTACTTATGATCTTTTAATGTTTCAGGCATAAATTCGGGCTCTACGAAGTCGATTTTGCAGATCCTCAACGCAAACGCACGCCTCGTGCCTCAGCTCGTTATTACGCTAACGTTATAAAAGCAAACTCGCTTAATGTGCCAATGGAGAAAGTGCAAGATTCAAAACAAGAACTGTAAATATAATACATAGCTAGATAGATAATTCTTTGTTTGTATAACATTTTACAATAGTAGTATCATACATACATGGCAGTAGACAGACGAATAGTGTGCAAAGGGCGGCTTTAGTGCTGAGTGCAATTTCTTCCAGGCAGTCTTAGGTTGGACAAAATGTTTCGGAGAAACAATAGTACTTATTTGAAGGTGTATACCAATTTGATAACTATAATTATATTATAACATACATACATACATATACGTAGATATACCTACTGTATAATAAGTCTAGTCTTATCAGAAGTTTCTAGTAAAGTGACAGTACATTTTTTTAATAAACTGAGTTTTTTTACCAATTATAAGATACTTATACTACCTATGTAACATTATTATTTTAACCCAAAATTTTAAATCAAATATTAAATAATTCAGTACGCTTTGTTCAGACCGGATTTCACCGTTAGAAGTAGGAATTTCTGGCGTAAAACTTAGCAGAACGCAGGACTTTTGAAATGGTGATTCTAAATAATTAAGAAATTATTTTTAATTATTTAGAATCACTGCCTAGTATTCACTATCATTGATTTATCGACCAAGTATAATCATCAAATTACGAAGATATTTTTTATATAAAAAGGATACAAAATATGACAACTTTAATGACATTATTTATATACAAAGAAACATTTACAGCAAAACAATTTATAAAATTACCGGTAGTTTTGTGGAACGGGGTGAAATTGGTCATTTTTAAATTAAGGGTAAGCAGTTTTTTGTTAAGCCATTTTGCAATGAGAGTCATGCGTTGTTCAGCAGTTACTATTGCACTTGACCACAATATATTGCGAAAAATTATCACAATGTCATCTGCGTAAAACATAACTTCCGCATTTGGCATTTTTTCATTCATATAAATGCAAGATAGTGTGGGCCCAGGATACTCCCCTGAGGAACGCGGACACGGTGTCGAATGACTTCGACTTAGTCGTGACACCGTGTCTTTTCACACGTCATCAGTGCGTAAGGCTGGGATTTACGATAAGTGACCGGTGCTGCATCGAGGTTGGCGTTCCTCAGGGGAGTATCCAGGGCCCCACACTATCTTGCATTTATATGAATGAAAAAACAGGTAACACTTTAACAAACTGTCAACAAGTGTATAAACTAGTGGAGTAACGACTTGACTTTTCTAACCGGATTAAACCGGTTTAAGCATGAACCGAGTTGACTCGGTTGGGCCGTGGTTTTAAGATTCAGCCGTATCATAAGATCGCACTGCACTTCGCGTCGTACTGTCGCACTTATCAATTTACTACCGCTTAGAAAAAGCTATATTATTATGTTCCTACAACATCGGATACAGTTAGCGCGCATCGTCAGTTTAAATTTAATTTAAAACATAAACCGATTTACTAACCGTTCGGATCTAACGGACATATTTTTCTTGTTAAATACGACATTCAAACCTTCAAGAAAAGAGCATACTCCTTCCTAAAAGGCCGCAAGGCAAATTTTGTCAGGCCAATGCCAATGTATAGTATGGTATAGCAAAAGTTTTGTTCGTTTTCGGCCTAAAAATATGACACTATAAAAACAATATTTTCTCAAAATTGCAGTAACTTAAAATTTTATAAATCATAATATTTGTTCTTAGAAAAAGTTCCTAGAAATATTTGGTTATTAGCTACTTGTATTTTTCTAGAACCAAAAAAAAACATTATTGGACAACTCCTATGAATAAATTGTCTTGATTGACCAATATTTAAAGTTTTTTTTTTAAATTACAACTAATATACTAAAAGTTTGAACCTATTTATTGAGAAAAATTAATTAGTTTTTAAGACTATAACTAACAAAAAAGCTTACTATTCCTCAATTATTATTCGTAGCTATGCCTTAACATTGGAGAAACAAATAAAAGAACTTATATTTTCTTTAAATATTATATAGATAATTTTTTAATAAAAAAAAATAGTTCTTTCCTTGAAGGAAAAATATTTTTATTGTGCTCAAAAATCAATACTCCAGAAGAAAAAAAACAAAAAGCAATATTAATTCCTACACTACATTATATCTTTGCTTACCAATCTTTTTATATATGTATATATTTCAGAACTGATGAACTGTCAAATGTCAAAGTCACATTGTAATATTTTGAGGTTATATTAGTCAAACATAATAGTTTGAAGACTGAAGACTGGAAATCTTTATTAAATATAATGAGTAAACAGCTAAACGATATGAAATGGGAGTCGGTAGCTTTAGAAGGCTTTCCGGTATCAATGACAGATAAGTTTCAAGGCTTTGTGGGTTTGGAAGAGTGTACAGATTATAGTCTTAATAAAGAAGGCAAGCGGTCTAAAAAGGTTTGTTCATAACTTACTACTGTTACTTTTAAGTAGAACATATGTTTATCGTTACTTAAGCGAAACCTCTATATTGTTACTTACGTGTCATTTACACGTTATTATGTTATTTAGTTAGGTTATAAGAAAACTACAGGTACACATTGCCGGTCTAGATGTTTTAAAGACTTGTTAATCTTAGAATTAAATTGATCAAAGTACTATTATTAATTACAACTAATTTTGTAGTTATTTACGCTTGTACACTACAAATACAGACTGTTTATATGTGTTTCTCAAAGGACTTATCCCGTCATTGGCTCTTACTACAATAATTACCTTAATAAAAAGATGTCTATGGTTAAAAAACTTTAAATTAGATATTTACACAAATGCTTATAGCAACAGCAGTGCAAACCTACAGTTTTAGGACCTTACATGTGTATTTGTATTCCGTGTGGTGACGGATTAAGAATACAGAATGTCACCACCCCTTTTCATCCCGTGGGTGTCGTAAAAGTCGACTAAGGGAGCGGACTACGCAGGACAACAGCACTGCCGAGAGAAGGAAAACTTGTATCAAACCCTATATCAGCCCGTCTGGCCAGCGTGGTATAGTAGGCCAAAACCTCCTTTCTAAAGAGAGGCCTATGTCCAGCAGTGGACTATTATAGGCTGTTGATGATGATGATGATGTGTATTTGAATGTGTAATGCACAGCTAAATTCCATTCAAACAAATAACATTAGTACTTATCGACAATAACATTTAAAATTAACACTGAAACATGAACAGTACCTTTTTACACCTTAGAATGATTCCACATTATTTTATTAAGACACTATTTCCTCATAAAACCCTGTACTATACCATAATTAATATAGTTGTTTAAATTTCAGAATAAACTAAAAGAATTTAAAGAAAAAATAAAAGCAAGAAAAGAAAAGAAGAAGAAAAGAAAAGCATCTGAAGCATCTGAAACCCAGAGAGAAGTTCCAAGTAAAAGAGTTAAGCTAAGCAATGGTTTTGTTGTTGAATCATGTACTACTGTTACTCCATCTCTTACAAATGATCAAACTACAAATAACCTAGTAAAGAGTAATCAAAATAAAGAAAATGTAAAATCTAGAAAAAACAAAAAATCAAATAATAAAAAGATCAAACAAGAAGAAAACAGCCCAACAAATGGGGAAGTAAAGAAAAATAAAATAAAACTCGGTGATCTGCCGCAATCCAGCTCGGATTTGACACCAGAAGATATGTTAACATGGGCCGAGTTTAAGTTGCAGGAGCCGATTATAAAAGCTCTAACAGAATTGGGCTTTAAACAACCTACAAAGATACAGCAACTAACTTTACCGGCTGCCATACATGGTAATATAAGTCTTATGTTCTTAGCACTAAGAATTTTATTCTATCTATACTACAAATAAGATTGAAGTGTCTATTTGTAACAAAAAAAAAAACATAGGTTTTTTTCATACTCACATGTATTTGCACAATACCTATGCCTAAAAACCAGTTAAAGTATTTTTTGCATGTTTGTCTGTCTGTTTGTTCTAGGTAATCTTCAAAACGGCTGGATCTATTTTGATAATATTTTACTACCAAGTAGCTTTCTACAATAGGAGTAACTTAGGCTATTTTGCCTCTCAGAAAAACCCTATAAAATTTCGCCCGGTTTGGGAATCGAACCCACTAAAGCAGCGCTTTTCAAATTCCATGCAAACGAAGTTGTAGGTACCAGCTATTCTTCAATATGTGTATTGCAGCCATTGACAGGACTTTTCATAATATTACTCTGTGGTACCCATAACTTTATTTGTCTGCGTGGCATCTCACCAATACAACCTTTTATTCCATGTCCATTCAAGTTTTATTTTTACAATTAAAAGTGGCATATATTCTCCAAGATGTCGATATAGATTTAGACAGGATCTTTAGATTTAGAAAACAGTGGTGCTAATTCTGTTGTTCGAAAACTCTCTAAACTAAACTAAAAATCACTAAAAAAAATATTGTCCTGTCAAATATTACGTTTTCAGAACAGGAAACGTTTTTTGACAGAACTAAACAAATTTTTAGTGATTTTTAGTTTAGTTTAGAGAGTTTTCGAACACAGCCTCTTTCCTAAAATGAATCCTTGTTTATCTCTATTAAAAAAAAAACATTAAAATAATAGTTCTTCTAAACGACGAAAGGTAACCTGTTTATTCTCTCTCTTCTCGTCTCTAAGAACTTTTCTATTTCTACATCAAAATTCTATTTGTAATTTTCCTGTCAACAGTAAAAATTTCCTATTGTGTCTATTTCAGGCCGTCGCGACATTCTAGGAGCAGCAGAAACTGGCAGTGGTAAAACTTTAGCATTCGGACTTCCAATTCTCTCTGGTATACTAAAACTGAAAGAAAAAGCTGAACTCAAAGGCCTTGATGTCTATGACATTCCATATAAAAAAGGCTCAGCTAAAAAGAAAGAAATTGAGATCAAAAATGACGATAAAAGAAATAAAAAAGAACAGAAACATAAAAATATTAATAAGAATAAGATAGTAGAGAAACCTAAAGAATCGTCTGAAGATGGTTATAGTAGTGGAGAAGAAAGCAATAAAGAAAATGAGAATGAGCCACAATCACAAGAAAAGGAGTATAGTGATGATGATTATTTAGAAGAAATTGAAGTTCCTGTTACAAAAAAAGATACATCAGCGGATGAAGGCAATGACAGTGATGACGAAAATTATATACATCTATCTGATATGTTAGATTCTGATGATTTGGTTGAAACAAGTGATGATGACAATGATGGTGAAAGTAAAGTAGAAGGCAGTGATGAAGAAAGTGTAATTGATGAAGAACTCGATGAACGCGAAAGTGATGATGAAGAGGCTAGTGAAAATGAAGAAGGTGATCTGGAAAATGGCGAAGATGAAGGAGATGAAAATGAACAAGGTTAGATTGATTCAAAACTTTTAGTCAGCGCATCATGTTGCATTTCAAAGAGTTCTGAGCTAGTTTCTTTGATGTTATTATATAGCCTGTGAATCGCCCACCCTCCTTGGGAATTTAATTATTTATTTTGTGCAAATAGGACAAAGCAGAAAGTTTAAATTGAGAAGGAACTAAACAAAAAAAAACTAGAGTTAGGGATACAGCTATCTTCAGCAATTTCAGCAGTCTTAAAACTGCAGTAGCTTAAAAACTCCTTTCTCAAAAGTAGACTGGACAGAACATTGACTGGCCACTATAATAGAATACTACTAATTCTATACTTCTTGGTTAACGAACAATTCTATACTAGGAGAAAAAATAATGTTTTTTTCAGTACTATGATGCAAATAAATAATCATCAGTACACCCTTTTTCAGGTATTGGCTGTGTGAAAGTAATGGACAACATTGAGATACCAGGCCATGTATCTGTTAAGACTGGAAAACCGTTATATGCACTCATCATGACCCCCACCAGAGAACTTGCCATACAGATCAGCAGGCATTTGATAGCTGTCGCTAAATATACAGGTATGTACTGGACAATAAATAAATCTGTACTGATATTACCCATAGGAGGGTCATTCTTCTGACCGGCCACGGTTATGGTTGCCATACGAACATCTGCGGCCATCCTTACGGGCAGTTGGAGCCCTAAAAATCCGACATCAGTCCTGCCGTGCCAATCCAAAAGATTGTAACTCGACTTACAGTGTTTTGCCTTAACAACGCTCAATCAGTTTCTTTACGTCGGTTTCGTACACTTTTGTTATTCTAAAGTGTATTTTAGAAGAGACTATAATCTAAAAAATACTGTATCGTATTGAAATTACGGTTTTAACATGGTAAAAAAGCCGTTTTCAAAAGTTACAGTGTATTGGATTGGCACGGCAGAGTCGCTGCACGTAAAAAATAGAAGTTCAGGCAAAGTCTTTTATCTTTCAGTAATCTTGTTTTCTTATCAGGTATACGAATAGCAACTATAGTGGGTGGTATGGCTGCAGTCAAACAAGAGAGACTGCTTCGATCTGGCCCTGAGATTGTCGTAGCAACACCTGGGCGATTGTGGGAGCTCATTGGTCAAGGTCAACCACATCTGCAGCAACTAGACACAGTCAAGTAGGTATTACTCGTAGAACAATTTTTTTGGGGTTTTTGGACTGAAGTTCCTTATCGCGCGTTACAAGCTCTAAGCGGATGGGAGCGAGACTGAAAAATGTGTAACAAGACTCTTTGCCGACACTTCTTGCTATTTTATCATCAATTTTTCAATTTAACTCTATTAACTTGATATTTTATAATAAAAATTATAATGACTGTCTACCAAAAAGCGAAAGGAACTTTGTGCCGACCGAGGGTCATGCCGTTTTTTTTAATGGTGTAGGGGTCAAACAAGCAGTGAGATCACCTGATTGTAATTGATAACAGCCATGTATAGACACTTATAACTCGAGAGACTCTCGGCTTATCCATAAGTCAAGTCATATTTTTCATCATATAAACTATTCTTCTAGTGCTAATCTTCATTATCCTTTTAAAACAATAAGCCATCATGTATCTATCCTATTATGTACACATATGATTAAATATTTTCTAAGCTATGTGCGCGTGGGATGTAGTTAGGCGACTGGCCGGGCCCTGATATAGTAGAAGGCAACTTCACTTATTACGAATTCAACTCTATCTAACGGCGACGATTCGAACTACTGAGTAACTGCTAATCCTGCATTGCGCAAATAAAGTTCTCGATCGTTCTCGATAAACCGATAGGACAACTTTCCAATATAAACCGTTGTAATGCGATCCGCCGGATATGATCGCCAGGTCGGAGGTCCCTTTGTGTTTGAGTAACATAAACGCCTGTTTCTCCACAACTAGCTTTAGCAGAGAGTCATCAGACTTCATCCACTGCTGACCGAAGACCTCCCCCAAGGAATGCCAACTATCCCGGCCCCGGTGCCGAAGGTCGCCCCTACATTACGTTTGTCCAATCGCGGTCTCCACTCTAACAGAGAGTATGGCTTGTGACTTATTTTAAGCTAGAATGATTGATTTCTGTTCCTGTCAGGTTTTTAGCAATAGACGAGACTGATCGTATGGTCGAACGAGGTCACTTCGAAGAGCTCTATCCTCTGCTTGAACGGCTGAACGCGGATGATGCCAAAAGAGCTGCACGACAGAACTTTGTGTTTTCGGCGACGTTGACCATGGTGCATGACCTCCCTAGCCACATGAAGGGTAAGAAGGTGGGGATCTATCTTTTTCTGTCTTTTTATCTTTTAAATAATAAAAGATAGTGATGTTAAATGACGTCACTACTTTATTTTATTAAACAAATAATAAGCTAACACATTTCAAACACGGCCGTCTGATCCCAAAATAGTGAGATAAATATAGTAACTAGACTGCTTAAAAACATATGTTTCTAAATACATACATATTATAGATCAATTACACCCAGACACGGTACAATCACACAGTTACTTGTCCTGGGTGGGCATCGAACCCTCGACCTGCGGCCTAGTTGTCGGTGACCCTGACTACCAAAGTCAGGGTCACCGACAACTAGACCAACAGGCCCGTCATTTAGCGACGCTCCGTCCGATCAGTGAATGCTCAAATTTAAGTATTATACAAACAAATCAAAACATAAGATTCAAATGCTCAAGACAACGACACACGCAGTAACTTCCCTTTAACAGTTTTCATCTTTATTTCAATGGAATATGATTAATATTAAATTAACATGACTTCCAGAAGTGACACTTATGCAAATCCAAAGTAAATCAGCCTTTAGTAGTCCACTGCTGGAATTAGTCCTCTCCTTAGAAAGGAGGTTTTGGCCTACTATACCACAGTGGCTGACGGGTTGGGATTGTTATTGGCAGTACTGGTTTGTTTCAAGTTTTCCTTCTCTGCAGTCCTGTTGTCCTGTGTAGTTTGCTCTCTTAGTTGACTCTTACAACTCCCACGGGATGAATAGGGGTGATGACACTGTATTCTTAATCCATCACCATACGAACTATATATATTTATATAGTAATACAATTTTGCGTAGTAGAAATAGTAGGCCAAAACCTCTTAGGAGAGGCCTATGTCCAGCAGTAGACTATTAAAGGCTGTTTAATAGAATGAGAAATAAAACAATTTTGCAGGTAACGAAACGTGGTAAAATAATTAACCGTAAGATCGAGAAGATGACCCCTCAACAGAAGGTGAACAAACTAATCAACATGATTGGTATGACGGAACCCAAAGTCGTTGATATCACCACCCAAAATTTAGGTAAGAAGAATATTTATTTACACTCTCTCCCCTCCACCTAAAAGCCTCTTAACTATCTAGCGCACATGTTATTCCTACTGGAACAAATCTGGCTGGGGTGACCCTGCATCCCATGTAGGGTTCTAGGGTGACCTTGCACCCCATGTAGGGTTCTAGGTTTAAGTTACAGATGTCGATGGGCGAGTCATGTACCATCAGGTGACATGTGTCTCTGGATATTGCATACTACTATCAGGAAATCTGAGTCTTCTAACATTAACCATACTTAAATTATAAATGTTAAAGTGAGTTCGTTTGTTTGTTACGCTTTTACACCTAAACCACTAAACCAATTTTAAAAATTATTTTACCAATGGAAACCTACATTATCACTGGCCGCAATTTCGTCTGCGGCTCTTAAGGGAATAAATTTACCTCGTTTTGCAACAATGTTCATTGATACTCGCCTCCCATTGGTCGTAGCGTGATGTTAAAATATATCCTATGCCTTCCTCGATAAATGGACTATCCAACACTAAAAGATTTACCACAACCCAAAAACCAACTCTTCCTCTTTATAATATTAGTATAGATTAATTATATTTATACAGGTACAGCAGAAACGTTAACGGAATCACGTATCGCGTGCGCTTTAGAGCACAAAGATGCCTATCTCTACTACATCCTAAAGAGACATCCCGGCAGAACTATTGTGTTCTGCAACTCTATAAGCAGTGTCAGAAGGTAATATTCTTTATAAAAAAAATACAATTATCGCTCGTGTGTTTATAATTTTATGTTACTAATGTTACTTTTATGTTACTATGAGCAACACACGCACGACTGAATATTGTATAATTATAATAGAAGATTTGTTTGTGTGTATTATAGAATACAATTATTGTAATAATAACCTTACTCACACACGGCCCTCTGATCCCAAACTAGGCTGAGCCTGTACTATGGTAACCAGACTATTGATAAACATACTTACATATATATTTCTAAATACACACATGGATGGCGAATAGCATAGTGGTTTAAGCGGTCGCCACGCCGCTTCCTACTACGCCGAGTGTTGTGAATTCAAACCCCATATGTGACGACAGTTTGTGAGATCCATAAATTGTTGTTCTGAGTCTGGGTGTTCTTTGTGTCCGTTTCGTGTATGTTTGTAAAGCCCCCCGTGACACAGGATATATTCCTAATGCGAGAGTTATTAAAAAAATCTTAAATTAATTATAGATAAAGTACACCCAGACAGAACAAATAATCACACTCATCACACAATTATTTTTTCTGAGTGGGAGTCGCACCCACTACCTCTAGTTTAGCAGTCAGCTCAGTTTGCTGACTTTTTTTTTTTTTTTAAAGACAACTCCCGCATTAGGAATACAAGTCGACATACATGAAACGGACACAAAGAACACCCAGACTCAGAACAACAATTTGTGGATCACACAAAGTGTCGTCCCATGTGGGGTTTGAACCCACAACACTCGACGTAGTAGGAAGCGGCGTGGCGACCGCTTAAACCACTACGCCACCCGTGCCGCCATTATTAAGCCCAGCCAGACCCAAAAGATAGATATTCTAATTTAATACAATAATTAATCAGGTGCACACCCTTCCATGAATCTAATTTATGATTTCCATAGTGATGTATTGACATTTTATTTGTGGTATTTACAGATTAGCGCAGCTACTGACTCTTCTAAAATGCCGTCCTTTACCGTTACACGCCAGTATGCCACAGAGACAACGACTGAAGAATCTAGAAAGGTAGGTCAGAATATACTTATTCGGTTTTTGTTTTCGGTGTTTCAGAGCTCATGTATGTATGTGAGTTTCTTTATTCCATCAGAACTGCTAAATGATGAAAATTTTGCGGTACTATAGCGGAAACTTGCGGCCGATATTAGTCCAAACAATTCCTCGGAGTACTCTCCGTGATATATACGATAGAGAATGCAGGCCGAAGCTACATCTCCACGTATCGCCAAGGGTTGCTATATCCCTGCCCTATCCAAAGTTTACCCCAATTTATCTTTTTTACTTTGTCCTCCCTGAAATCTATCACATTCCCAAGAACGATTGGTGTCAGGCAGGCAAGTGGCCATGAAACCAACGAAAACACTTTCCAAGAATTAAATTGACATAAATAATTTTAGGTTCCGCGACGACCTACACGGGGTCCTGATAGCAACTGATGTCGCCGCTCGTGGTTTAGACATCCCCCACGTGGAGCACGTCATACATTACCAGGTACCGCGGACGGGAGAGAACTATGTACACCGCAGTGGACGGACAGCACGAGCTACCAGGGAGGGGCTCACTATTCTCATGATGGAACCCACTGAGGCTTATCTCTATGCGAAGCTGTGTAGGACTCTTAATAAAAGTGAGTAGATGTTTTCTTTTATGTTGTTTAATTACTTGTGTAGAAATCTTAGGGCGTCTTAAGTCTCAGGCCTGGGGGTGACAGGTGAGGCCATCTGTCACCCTAGCAGAAGCAGGCCGGGGTGGCGGAGAGGCTCGCTTCCAGGGAGCAGAGGGAACATGGGGTTCCCACACGGGGGGGTCGTCTACTCGTCTGTAGATGACCCGAGGTATGTCCGGGCACCAGGGACTTCCTTTCTAGGGTATACCTGGTTCTCCGGCTATTAGTACCCGAGACGGCGTGCGGTTTTAGTCGGTTCGAGTCCGACATGGTGGTATCCGAGGGGATTTCCGCACGGAAGAAAAAAAAAAAAATGGCGTCTTAAGTCTCTCGTGGTACTGGCAGACTGAGTCTGAAGACTGCAGTGCATGTTTTTTTCTGTAATAGAAACGTGTTTCGTATCTATTAACATGATAATCTATATACACTCAAGAATATAGGTCGGTCAATAAGTAAATGTAGTGTACAATGGACAATGAAACAATGTGTTACCATAAATATGAAATAATATTATAGACCTTTATTAAAAGAGATCAGAAAAAAACCTAGAAGAAAAATATTCCCAGGCATGTGTAAAACTTCATTAAAGGTTTTCGTACTTTCAGAATAAAAAAACTGACGGGTCTGTCGGTCTAGTGGTTAGTGCCCCTGACTGCTAAGCCGGAGGTCGTGGGTTCGATTCCCACCCAGGACAAATATTTCTGTGATGAGCACGGTCATTTGTTCTGTCTGGGTGTAAATTATCTATAATATGTATTTAAAAACATATAAGTTTGTTTATCAGCAGTCTGGTTACCATAGTACAGGCTCTGCCTAGTATGGGATCAGACTGCCGTGTGTGAGATGTGTGAAGTTGTTGTTGTTGTTGTTGTTATTTTCTATTGATCATACTTAAGTAATGTGTTCCTCCACAGCTGCGGAACTGCCAACGTTCCCAGTGGACCCCCAGATATTGTCTCCTCTAAAAGACTTAGTTAGCATCGCTCGTGAACTCGAAGGGTTAGAGCTGAAGAAGCGACGAACCGCTCAGGCGGTCGGATGGAGGGAACGAGCCGCCAGAGAAATGGACATTATCATCGACGATGACGATGTGTATCCTTTTGACAATAGTTTTAATCATCACATCACATCAACAGCCTTCAATAGTCCACTGCTGGACATAAGTCTTTCCTTAGAAGTGAGGTTTTGGTCTACTATATCACGCTGGCCAGACGGGTTGGTATAGGGTTTTCAAGTTTTCCTTCTCTATGCATTGCTGTTGTCCTGCGTAATTTGCTCCCTTAGTCGGCTCTTACGACACCCACGGGACCAATAGGGGTGGTGACACTGCGTGTTCTTAATCCGTCACCACACGGAAAATAGTTTTAATGATCTTTACATATCATAAAATGATGTCGCTTCCCGTTGTTGTACGCTTAGACGCTACGATTTTATTGCGGTTTTCATCAATAGAGTAATTTAAAAGGAAGGTTAATATGTATAATAAATGCATATTACAGCCACACCACATTAGTATCTACACTGTATCCTGTATGCCTGTAAATTTTGAATGCAAATAGTGTATTAACCAAGTATATAAGTGAAATAATATTATCGGTCTCACCAAGCGCCGTACCTATGTAACATTTTTTCTATTGGTATCATATAAAGGAAACGGATGTGTGTAACAGGTAGGAGGATTTGACCAATGAGCGCGGATGGTAGGTGAGAGGCCAGATATTACTTATCGTGTTCGACCAGCGACTGGCAAAAAATGAGGTGAACTTGTCAGTGTGTATATATGTTTTTTTTATTATTTTACCGTCAGTTTTAATATCTGGACGTAAAGATGTTTGGTTTTTAAAATCCTTTTATCATGTCGAAAACAAATATGAATAAAAAGTATATTATGACGGCTGTATGCCTATAATCCTCAATTCGGTTTTTTAGCAGGGCAGCTTTGTTTTTTTTTTAGTAAGTACTTATTTATATTGAAAACAGCTACTTTTTTCACCATGATGATGATAGACCATGTAATCATACTAAGCTTGTTAAGATATTATACCCATAATAATATTAAATATTTTAAACTACACCTAAAATAATCCTTAACAATGACACAGTCCTGTAACCCAAGTAGACACGTCTATAGAGAAGGCGCTGAAGGCAAAGAGACGACAGCTGGACACGCTGTTGTCACGCCCCGTCTATCCGAGAGGGTTCTCCTTCAAATACCCCACGCTCAACGATCCAAATGCTCTCGCTAACACGGAAGAAAACGCGTTACAGGTAACAATAGGGGCCATCCATATTATTTTTTGACTTCTACTCTCGTCTTTGTCAGAGCTGGTCACATTTGAGAACCTTTCTCTCTAGTGTGACGTCATATATTTTGTAATTTTAGGTACATTTTTACTCCTACCCTCGTCTTTGTCACAGCTGGTAATAAATAAAAATACACTTGTGGCGACTTCCACATAAAACAAAGAAACATACTACAGCGCCATCTAACGAAGACATACCGAACTAAGGAGTAACTCCTGAATGAGAATTGCTAATCCTGTATCGCGATATAAAAATTTCTCTCGCCGCTTAGCATATATACAACTTCCCAACATCAACCGTTCGGCCGCGGCCCGCCAGGCATGATCACCTCGCCGGTCGGAGGATCCTCCCTTTGTGTTGGAGGAACACGACACCCGTTCCTCTACACGCTTTTTAATAGTGTAGAAAAATTAGAAAGAGGTCCGCTATCCAGACTGGCGTAACTAAACCCCCAAATAATCATAGGTTTCCTACTATCCTCCTCCTGACTCCTGTCTACCATTTCGGGTGATAAAGGCGTGATTGTATGCAGTTTCTTCTGTTAGAATTCTTCGTATTAAAATCTTTGTACCCTCGTAACAAATAAACAATTTATGTTACAGGTAATGAAGAAGGCAATGGAATCAGGTGAATTGAAAAAAGAAAAAAGGAAAAGTAAGAACGCCTCGCTATTACAATTACAAAAGAAATTTATGAAAAAATAATATTGTTTTTGAAGTAAAACTTCTTTACGCACGCTTGACTTGGGGAGTAAGCTAGTGAATGCGTGACGAGAGCGTTACGAAAAGTGTGATCGGGCGAGGCAAACGGAAGTTGACAGGGAGATATAAGTTAGTGAAGATAGAAAGAGAGAGAGTTACGTTTCGTATATTACTGTAGGAGCAATTGAGAGAGGTGCGAGCACACATTTTCTCTCTTTCTCTCATAGCCAGGAAGTTTTACTTCAGTCGTGTGGTCTAAAGCACACTCGTTTTTTTTAAATTAAGTAAATGATTAATAAAAAAATGGAATCAATTCTTTTTTTTTTTTAATTAAGCTTTCGGCCTCTTTACTCGACAATCCCCTAACTTACTGAGAACATCAGACTTCTACAAAACTGATATTTTCTGTTCAATACACTTATACATATAAATAAAATTGAAGTGTCTGTTTGTAATATCAAAATAATAGCACTTTTTCATGCTCACAAGATTATTTGCACGATACCTGTCTAAAAACCAGTTTTTTTTTTTTTGTCTGTTCCGGGAAAACTTCTAAACGGCTGGTTCGATTCGATTTTGATAATATTTTAATACCAGGTAGCTGTCTATATAAGGAGTAACTTAGGCTACTTTGCCTCTCAGAAAAACACTATAAATTTTCAAATTCCAAGCAAACGAAGTCGCGGGTACCAATTACAAATATATGTATAATCACAATTAGGCCCCGGTTTGCTGATTTACCCCGATCTTATAATATGTATAACAAGGCGCAATCAGTTTCTGCCTGTTGGTCCAATGATCAGTGATCCCGACTAATGAATCAGAGGTCGTAGGTTCGATGTTATTTGTCTATATGTCTGTATTTAGAAGTACTGTATATAAGTATGTTCATGAGTAGTTCGATTGCCATAGTACAGGGCTCTGCCCAATTTCGGGATCAAACGACTGTGTATGAGATGTGTCAAGAAATGAAAATAAAATAAGGGCCAATAGAAGGAAGCACTAGATGCAGTCCGCTGTTGATAACACGTATAACTAAACGTTGTTTACGTTTAGCTATACGTGTCATCAACAGCCTTTATTAGTCCACTGCTGGACATAGGCATCTCCTTAGAAAGGAGGTTCATCTTATGGAATTTTGCATACCTACCTACTAGTGATGGATTAATTAGTCTTCACACTCACATTTAATTGTGAATTCTTAATTAGCAGTTAGCAAATTAGTTGTAGTCGTGAAGTTTCGTGAACGTATGAATTAATACGTACACGTAATTTCGTCGCTTCATTCGTTAACGCATCACACATCGCATGCTTTCTCATTCGCATCAACGCGAAGACTAAATTTCATTTAATAAATCATCATGGTAAAATATAATTCGCAATCAATTAAATTAAACCTAATTAGCATCAATGGCCATTACTGCTACCTACACTTTGTCAAGGATATTGAATAAGCTATAGGGTCGGTTTCATCTAAAAAAACAGAACGTACAGTTCCCCACGGCTGAAATTATATTAACGTAAGCGAAGCAGTGAGCAAAAGATATAGTTTTTGATCATTTATATGATATATAAAAAAAAACACATTTGCCTAGCTATATCGGATAATCATGTACATCAGCGTCAGACGACGGTCTAATAATATTCCAGTACCATATCTTTAATATGTGCATAAGAACGGTTGTCCTTTGAGACCTTTACAGAACTTGACTCCAGGCTAAAGTTAGTCCGAAAGCTTTTTCTTCCAATCATTAATATTATTAGGATCAGCGTTACATTTCTGTTTTTGGATTTTATGTTTCTTTTTCAAGGCCAGCGGCCTGCCAGATTCCAACACTTCTTGAGAATGTACGGAAAAAGGGGAAGGTTAATGGGGTTAAGAACAGATATTATGAGGTAGCAAGGCTAAAAGATATCGCAAGTTCGAACATCATATACCCATATGTCCGACGAGTGTTTGGAGACTCCACAAGGCAGGGACGTCAACAGGACGTACTGGTCAAAATTTAACAAATTGTGTCAAGGTATCATGAATGTCTATGAGGCTCCGAAGATATTTCGGAGTGCGTCACGATAACATTAGAGCACACGAGGTTCATTTAATATTAACATTTGGATAGGAAATGGATTCGTCATTAAGTAAAATCAAACTAAAATATAGATTAGAATTATTTGATATAATTACCGAAAATTGCCGTCCAAACTTTTTTATTTTGATAATAATTGCCATAATAAATTTAGAAGTACAATAAATTTGATTTTATTCTACACAAAACCGAATGTGGACGGGCAGTGGTGAAAAAAAGAAAATGAATCTCCAGGCCATGGCCTAGAATACTCGTGACCTTGTCAGGCCATAGTACAAGGCCTAATATTGAAACGACTAGCTTATTTTGTCTGTATTTCACCCCGCGTGAATCTAAAACTTACATTTTAATTATTGCTAAATTCCACCAAGATTTCTTACCGTTGAAATACTTATCTAAGTCATTATAGACTCCATATACCTAATCTGGTGTAGGGTACCTCATCTAGTATCCCCAATACCACATTTACAGACAAATATTTTTATAAATTTTAAAATCTATCTAGCACGATAAAAGCTAATATTCATATTTAATGATTAATATGCAGGCCAATATCCGTTTTCTAGGCCACAGCCTGGCCATAGATTACAAACGCCCTGGAGGCGAAATATTATTGAAAAAAAATCACATAATGCTGCACTTACCCTGACTACAAGGCGCACAATGAAAACCTGTATATTTTTTAAGTTGTTTTAGACCGTACCTTTATAACGTTCATTAATGTATATATAGTGAAATCGTGATGTGAAAAATACTAGTACAATTTAATACACGATCACATAATCTGTGCTACCATTAGCTACAAACAATTTCACCTCATTATAAACTAGTCACATTAGTGTTCGAACAGCTTATACGGGAATTATCTACTAGTGCACTTTTGTAGTGAATATAGGAACAATCTCCAATATATAATTTCCTGTAGTCATAAAAAAAAAACTAAATTGTTCTACACTTGTCATACAGGCTACTGTTACATACAAAAACAGATTTGTGGTATAACATAAAACAATTTATTTTGAACACCTGAAAGACTGGCCACTCTAAAGACTATGTCATTGCATTATAATGCTACATTTTTCATTTTAATTTTAATCTCTAAATAACCAGTCTTTCGAAATCATATACCGGAGCAGTATTCTAACTCTTAAACAAAAACAGTTATGCATTTAAATAAGACTAATATAAAAGATTTTATTTCCTTGCAGAAAAAATTACAAAAATAATTATTCATTCTTCGTCATGATCATGCTGTGTTATTTACAGAATCAAAACACTGCCCTCGATGTACAGTCATGCACAAAAATTCACAAATTTAAGTTAAAACCGAAAGAGAACCATTCTTAACAAAATATTGTTTCATAAAACAGTTCTACTTCACTGTGATACATTCGTTTACAAAAGATTATACACAACCATGATGTGAATTGAAACAGTCAAACAAAAATGTTGAAGTTGTTCTTATTTACATTGACTAAGTGTTGCTAGAAATGAAAATTTAATTTTACATTTATTAGGATAGTCATTTTAACTATTTAAATACCACACACACAATATGCGATAAGGAAAAATAACTCTTTTTGTATGGATTATGTGTTTATTTTAAGTTAGCATGTGGCAGCGTTTTTACGACTATTTGCTCCTACTACTAGCTTCCTATATGTTTCTTGAGACACTCGAGTTTATATCGGACACCAATTTTCATAGCAGTCAGACACCAGTAGCTAGCTTTCTATATTGTGTGTCTTCCACAATTACTACGTTATAGTATATTTGTCTAACATTAGTGAGTAATTTGCCCTAACATTTTATTACAGAACAATTTTCAAGGGTTATATATCACATTTACATTATGCTTAAATCCTAAAGGAAAGTGATTATAACAGGTTAAATATGTAATATTTGGCAGTGTATAAAGGCTTATTTAATGTCTTTAACAAAGATATCTGCTATGGAAGACTGTAAGTTGGTATGTAGGTTTGCCAAACTAAGAAACGTTTAGGATTGGCAATGCACAATTCAACAAGGCTGACATTAGAATCTGTACACATCAACAACTACATAAGTCTCAAGTCAATGACCGTTTACTAAAATCTACCTGTCAATTGCAAAGTAAAATTTTATTGGCTTATGTCCTTGTGTATAACCTTTTTTCATGTGATTATTCTCTAAGTATACATGTACATATATTTTAGTAAGTATTAACACAATCCAGGATCCACATGTTTGCTTTTGTAGTTACCACGTCTCAAGAAATTTTTATTACATATTGACAATTCTATTAACTTGGTCATGTTTATCTCTGGTACAATAAATACTAATACAATCATGGTTTGTTATCAAATTTTCATTTCTAACCCATATATGTGGACCTAATCATTGGTGTAATCCTAATTAGTGACCTAACACCTAATTAGTCAAGGGAATATAGACTATGACATTCATTACAAATGTGAACTTCATATAAATGGCAAGTGTTAATGGCATGAAACGCCAATCATGCAGGACGGGGTGATGTGCAATATCTCACTGGCCTAATCTCACTGGTAGCCACAATACATGCTTTAAAACATAATATACCAATATCAATCAATATTAATGCCCGGTTAAATTCTCACCAGTAAATATGAAATAAAAGTGTTCCTAGAATTCCCAAGCCAAATAACACCCCGCCTGCAAAATATTACTTACATTAAATGTTGCCAGGATATCTAACACATAGTTATTTCACTAACAAATTGATTGCAAATGGAATGAATCGTATTTTTGAAAACATCTTTACATCACAGTAATTGTGTAGCTTACCTGACATTGAAACATACCTATATTTAAGTATGAATTACCAGACAGTATGAATTAAGAGAGATAAAAATGTCCTATAGCTAAAAAAGCTGTTCAAGATCATTCTTGGACATCATCCAAGTAATCTTCAATGAATAAATGTTGTTATAAATACATGTGAACACAGTTTGCAATTTCCATGCATGTTTACAAAATGTATAATTAATTCCATTTGCAATCAAAGTTATGGCAACTTAATGATTTTCATGATACAAAATTGTCATGAAATTATCGACTAATCAGCTAAGATTCTTGCGAGCAATTCCACGGCTTAACATCAAGCAAATTTATACCTTAAACTTGACATCTACAACATTTATAAGTTTACTTTAAATATTTTTAAACCAGTTAAGATTGATTTTGCTCACAATAATGCCTAGCACATTTCAGAGATACAATGTCTGCCAAATCTTGAGGTAGTCATGTTGTTTCACCTATATTTTGTGCAGAGGATATAACCACCAATGTGTTAATAAACTATAAATCACTTCTAAGTACTACACATCATGTTTATGAAAATAATCAGTCAAATTATATTTATTTTGTCGCAGCAATATAAACTTAATTCATTTAAAAATAAGTTCATTTCCGCTTGGATGTAACACTTATATGCTGTGTAGAGTGCCATTACAATAAGTATATCAAACAGAATTATAGCATGGCATTTGTCAAATTTTTTCTTTAGTATGGTATTTTGTAATGGCATTTTATTGTTCAAGATGTGTGAATCTATCTCAAATAGATTCATAACATTTACAAGTTCAAAAGAAGTACCAGTTTCTTTATGTTTACTATATACTGAGAGCATATTGGCATTTATTAGTTCTTGTATTTACTATTTTTGTTTTATGTATACAATGTTGTTACTAAAAGCCCTAAATTAACATACAAAATTTCATAATTCTTAATCATTTTTCACTACAAATAAAGCACAAAAAATGAGTGCCAGGAATATGGTGGATTGTTTAACCCTATATTTACAAAAAGGAATTTTACACATTCTGTTGCTAAGATGCAGAGTATAAAAATATTTTAAGGAAGTAAATTTTCATAATTGCAATCTCTAGTGTTGACTGGCAGACAAGGTATCATGGACTGGATCAACTGGCTGTCTAACTACCTAATCATTGAGCTTGACTCGAATAATGATAAATGAGTATTGACAATGATAAGCATTATCATTAAAATTCAGCACTTATAGCTTACCCTAAGTGTACTTGGACTATATTAATAGTACAGTGTAGCCGATGAGCTGCCGAGCTCAAGAGGGTTGCCTCTGGACAATATCACCATTGAGCAACCCATCTCTAGAATATTTACATCAAATTTCACGTACTCCACCCATCTGTGTGATCAAACAACACATATAAGTATTGTTAATACAGCCAAACTAAACACAGTTATTGGTGCACCGAAAAAGTATCACTTATTGCCCTTGATTACCACTTTTTACTTAATTTACAAGGCCTGTAGTTTCTAGTTACATGATTGTGTCACTGTGATGTATCATAATAAATAAGTCCGCTTACACACTATAAAGTCTGAACGGAAGATAGTTCACAACCGATTACGGCGGTTCCTTAAAGCCCTAAGGCGCGCACGGCGCGATCTCTCGGATTATATGTCCCCATTTTGACTAATCCCAATCCTCTTGATAAATTCCTCCTGCAACATTACTGTTTTGATCATGTTAGGGTGTGCTCCATATGCAATTGTTTGGTCTGGAGTAGAGCAGTACTGCTGAGTTGCATCCGTCAACATCACGCCTTGGCCATTGGTCAGAGATGCAGTTGAATCAACAGAGTTCCAGTATGTTTCACTTGGGGAAGTGTTATTGACACCAGGAGGAGGCGCCGCTGGCGCCCCAGTGTACCTGAAGTAAGGATTTTTGAGATCCAAAGTGTTTGATGATGAAATATTTGTGCCTTCTAGATTGATGTCCATAGTGACATCATAACTTTGACGCTTGTTTGCCAACAATAACACTCTTCCAGTAAGTGCTTGGCCCTGCTTAGCAAAAATTGGTGTTTCCAGCAAGCAGCGCACTTGGTACCAATGAGTTAGGGGCTCAGTGGGTGCAGTTGAGAGCCATATGTGCTGGGTAGCACCAGCAAATAACACATCAAACCAGAATGCCAAACCATGGCACGTACCTGATTGAGTTAGTTCAAACCTAAATGGTATTTCAATTCTATGTAAGTCTGTTTCATGTGCATTTAGGAAGTCAACAACATGCCTTTCTGATCTTGACATACAGATGCGAATATCAAAAGTATCTACAATAGGTTGTCTGAAGTATTCTTTCATTGCAGCAGTGCGAAGAGCACTCAAGTCAACACCATGAAAACATGTCTGATACCAAAAGTTAGCCTTATTATACTGCTCCATAAACAACGCATCATCTGTAAATGGTGCTATGTGGAGATCACCTCTTGTTGGGTACATATTACCATTAGGTTTTAACCACTTTTTCGCGTGTAGATATGTTTCTAACATCCGCTCATTGTACAACATATAACCCATAGGCTCAGAGATTATCACATCTACTGTCTCAGGTAGTTCAATTTCCTCGATTTTCCCAGCAACAACCGTAATACGGTCTTGGAGGCCGTTCGCTCGCACTAACGCTTGCGCGTGGTGCGCCATGTTACTTGCTTCTACCGCGTAAACTTTACGTGCACCAGCTTGGGCAGCAAAGAATGACAGAATACCTGAACCCGCGCCTACATCCAAAACCACTTTGTTCTTAAAATCGTTGATGTTAGACAGTATGGCGCGCTGATACGTACTCGTTCTCACGTAATCCTGCATCATGTTTTGCTGTTGACTCAGGTACCCGTAGAATTGGAAGTATTGCATCGCCGAGGAATCCTCCGTGCGCACGGTGAACACTGATGATGACCTGCCCGCCTTAATTTTGGTGACAAGCAGGTGGAAACCCTGACAGTCGGCATCAGACGCGAACTTGAAGAACAAAGTTTCATTGTCAATCGTGAATATGTACGATTGTCCAGCAACGCGTGAGCACTCGCTCTGACTATGGACAGGGAACTCAAGCACCTCTTGGGCCAGCACCGGGTCAGCACGTATCACTGTTACACTCAATCCTTGCGGGTCATAATCCACGTTTACGTTTGTAGGGAAATTAAAGCGCGGCGTGAGCGCGCCGTCGCCGCTCACAGCCGAAACCGTCACCGCGCGAAACATGTTCGCCATTTTATCGATGTGTACGCGGACTTACAGCTACAGTTAATATTCTCCACGCGCGTAACGGCAAACAAAGAAAAATGTCGTTGAAATGTTCAGGAGCCCGGCGTAAAATCGATCATTCACAAACTTCCTCCCTCTATTGTCTATGGTTGGCAGCGTGCTATTTTACATTTTACTTTGACTTTTTACTCGAATATTATGAAAGCACTGTCAACAATACTAAGCAGCTTAGAATATTTCCAAGCACGAATTAGTTGATAATTGCAAAAATTATATGAATCTAGAATTAAGCACAAGACAATCAGTAAAATCACTTCGATTTTAATTTTAATGAAGAATAATATTTCTCGTTAAAAAAAATATGGAAAAGAAAGTTCAAATTAACAGTATTAGCTTTCACAAATGTGTATTTTATTGCGACTTTTCATGAGAGAAATTTGGATACATCGAAGTGAACGTTTTAATTTGGGGCCAGGTTTATCTAAATTTTGTACACGTCTATCTTAATTTTTTACAAGGATTTCTTAAACTTATATTTTTTCATTTTTTTTATTTTTCATCATCATCATCATCAACAGCCTTTAATAGTCCACTGCTGGACATAAGCCTCTCCTTAGAAAGGAGGTTTATTTTTAATAATATAATTTTTATACTTAAAAAACCCCCTGCAAGACTGCGCAACAAAAAAAGAAGGTAATTTAATACCTCAATTTACCTGATGACTGTGGCAACTCTTTTAACTGTAGTAATGGCCGCCATTATAACTGCCAAATTCACTAAAGAAAGGAAGCGCTCGACTTATAATTTTATTTATGGCGCTAAAATTCAATCTGATACATAGTTTCATCCAATAAATCTAGCAAAACCATTAAGGATGAAAAACTTTAAGACAAAGGAAAAGTCTAAGGCCCTATAGAATGTGTGGAAGGTTTTCACTGATCGAAAATTAAAATTATATATACCAATTACTTATATATTTGCAATTTTCGCTGTATCATAAGACCTTCGTACCACAGAGTACAGTATTAATAATAGAGCTTCGCACAGCATTTTAAATACGACATTATCTTATATCATCTTTAAAAAGATAACACCCGCATTAGGAATATATCCTGTGTCACGAGGGAATTCAAACGGACACACAAAACACCTAGACTCAGAACAAAAATTTGTGGATCCATATGGGGTTTGAACAAACAACACTGCGTAGTAGGAAGCGGCGTGGCGACCGCTTGAACCACTACGCCATCCGATACATAATTTATTATTTTTATACTTTTCATAACGTAGATTTTAACAAATGTGAAGTGTCTGCGTTCCGCGGAGCAAGCTAGCAGACAGGCTAGCTACATGATGGTAAGTGACTACTGCCGCCCTTAGATACGTGCAGGGGCGTCGAGCTACCATTTGAGTGACAAAAATAGCATAATAGTATATTCCACAAGGTAGTATCACTTCTATAGAGACGGTCCATATGGTCGGAAGCATGCCTGACTGCTGCTGCAGGCTGTACTTCTGACATAAGGTAAGGACATAATACTCACCGCAGTACTACCTACGGCAGCGGCTGGGCGCCACCAGTCGATGTTAGCATTTAGGGTCTTGAATTCTTAATACCTATACAACTCAGCCAGGGCGCGTGCCCGGACGCTCGACATAGGTACCCGAGCGCCGTTGGCGCGTTCTAGTCACGCGTTTTACAATACAAATTTCCATTTTTCACTGAATATCTGTACAATCAGAATGTCTATTACCGAAACAGTAGGTAGGTACTTATTTTAATTTTATTTTTCATTAACAAATGAAAGTTGAAACAGAGCAAAATGAACGCCTGCTGCCGCATGGCCACGCGTTTGCGTTACCAAGTTTATTTCGTTTGTTAGGCGCCATACATTTTATCTTCATAGGGCTCTAGCTGCGCGCCTGAGGCGCAATGTATATTAAGTCCCTTAAGTGTAATTCATACAAGTAAGTAATAATGACCAGTCTATTGATAATGACTGGACAGGTGCTTTTCTAACAGTCAATATAGACAGGGCGACTAGTAGACAAGGTGAGTAGAATTGGTAAGGTGTAATGGTCCATTAAGAGAAATACATAAATCACCACAATCTTAATTCAACAAATTAATTAATTTCTATCAATAATATAATGTAATATTAAAAAATTAAAAAAAGAATTTGTTTGAATGTTATTGTGAAATGAAAAATGTTGCCAGAACAAGAAAAACTAAATCGATACATTACCATAGACGATCAGCACCGACTTTTATTCTCGACCGTGACACCGTCAATCGGAGCTCACTGAAACGTCATAAAATTCGACCGTCAAACCAAAAACGCGTCGATAAGCAAATTTTCTGCAATGGTGCTAAATGCACCGTGACAAAAAAAAAACGGATGGACGGACGGAGTTGATGAGAACATTTTACTTGTCTGCATTTTTCTCTTCACTGTTGTTGGCTTCGCCCACTTGTGTGTCGGTTATCGCGCTAAAAAGTAGCTTATGTTACTCGCTGATAATATAGCTTTCCATTGGTGAAATAATTTTTAAAATCGGTTTAGTGGTTTAGGCGAAAAGCGTACCAAACAGACAAAACTAATTTTCTCATTTATAAGACGGGTGGATGCAATTACATTCGGGGCAAAAATAAAACTATACTCTTTGCTAAAAAATATAATCACAGATAGAACAATAAAAATTAAATAAATTATTTACTTAAATTCTACTAATAAAGAAAAAACAGTACATTTTATTACAGAGTAAGATGTTTTATGAAATAGAAAATAACTTCCCTTAACCCCTTGAATCCCGCGGACATGAATTCACGCCAACGAAAAAGTACCGTTGATTCCCGCGACATGAATTCATGTCCTAGTGTCGCGCGTCAAATAGTATCGGTTTTTATGACATTACGATTTCTTTTTGACTTTGTCAACTCGACTAACTGATGCATAGAAGAACAATCTTGCAATTAACACTTTCAATTCACTATTTGTAATAGAAAACAAAGACGATATTTGACATTTCATTTGCCGGCAATTCGTGGAGAGTTGTGTGTAAAAGACGCGTGAGATTTTGTGTTTTGGTGTTGTTTTTTCTGATATAATCGGTAAGTAATGTTCATTTATTATTAGTACATATTGTTTTAGACTGATATTACTCACAACATAAGTATTTTTTATGATTCAAGTTATAAAAATCGAACAAACAAAAAATCCTTTGTCTAATCATTGTTGTTAGTTTGGATTTCCAATAAGATAAAAAGAGTATATTTCTTGTTGGAATACGATTGAAAATACTTATCTTATAGTAAAAATCTTCTAGAAGCTATTTTGATCAGTAGTTTTTTATATAAATCTGTACCTTTCGTTATTTTCTTAGAAAACGGTGCAAAGTATCAAAATCTCACGCACACATTTGCATCGTTCTTATATGTGTGCGTGCACTCAAAAATAGCCACTGGTCTAACTATTACACAAGATGTTCTTTTTTTGTTCGACTGGTACTTTTTTTCATACCGCATTGTACATTGACATTATTTATTTGAATGTTGTATACTAATAATAGTTTATTACAAAGAACCCGTACAAATACTAAACTACACATCCTATCTTATCGTGTTAGGGCTCGTTGGATTCGTCATGTCAAGGATTGTCTCCCTAGATGGTATCCAGGGTCTGATGATGGAGTCAGCAGGTGATGGGACGGAACTCCTAAGGTACACATCCTATCTTATCGTGTTAGGGCTCGTTGGATTCGTCATGTCAAGGATTGTCTCCCTAGATGGTATCCACTGTCTGATGATGTAGTCAGCAGGTGATGGGACGGAACTCCTAAGGTACACATCCTATCTTATCGTGTTAGGGCTCGTTGGATTCGTCATGTCAAGGATTGTCTCCCTAGATGGTATCCAGGGTCTGATGATGGAGTCAGCAGGTGATGGGACGGAACTCCTAAGGTTCACATCCTATCTTATCGTGTTAGGGCTCGTTGGATTCGTCATGTCAAGGATTGTCTCCCAAGATGGTATCCAGGGTCTGATGATGGAGTCAGCAGGTGATGGGACGGAACTCCTAAGTCACACATCCTATCGTATCGTGTTAGGGCTCGTTGGATTCGTCATGTCAAGGATTGTCTCCCTAGATGGTATCCAGGGTCTGATGATGGAGTCAGCAGGTGATGGGACGGAACTCCTAAGTCACACATCCTATCGTATCGTGTTAGGGCTCGTTAGATTTGTCGTGCCAAGAGCTTTCTCATAATTTTATTGAGTTTATGCTTGAAGCTGGACATTGTCCTTTGTCAAGCAGTGAACGCATTCCAGATGAGATAATGCATTATTTAACTAATTTGTTGTTTTTTTTTTTCATCTCAAGAAAAATGGCTGACAACCAACCAGAACCGAGTGGATCAGGCCGACGCCTTCTCCCGCACCCCTCCGTCAGCGCTTGGTCGACCGCCGTGCGGGTGCTACTTAGATTTTTCCATGACAATAAAATATTTCTCCATACTAAAAACCCATGTCCTTCCTTGTCTAATAAAAATAAATTTAGTAGACGTAAACTATCCCCTTTTCACCTACCGAACATACTGACATACTTTTGCATTTATAATAAGAGTAGAAATAATATTCCCTTATTTTACCATTTGATAAAACAATAAAAAACACTACACCTGAATAAATATTATGAAAGTCAAACAAACACACAACACCAAAAAACATCACACACAGCACCATCACCGATTCGAACAAACAATAGGTAACCATTTTACTATCAATCAAATATCACGTGATCATTTCACTATAAATTACATATTATTTTCAAAAATAGAACACGCTGTTTATGACAGTGTGTTTACACGAAATTTGACCTTGAACTACATCGCCGCGTCGCGTCTCATTGTATAAAAACGAATACTTCGTAAACGTTTTGTGATAAGCTTTTGTATAATAAGTGTATATGTATTTTAGTTCAATAAGTTTATAATTTCTTATTCTAATTGAGAAATGTATTAGTTGACCAAAGTAAAACGTTTATCATACATAAATTCGATCAAAACCAAACCCATAAGCTTTTTATGAAAATATACACCGTTTGTGATGTTTAGTCGTATTATGTAAAATCTATTGCTCTGACAGATATGTAAATCATAATCAACTATTTTTGAATGTTGAGTCTATATGATGGTATAAAAAAAAAATACAAATATGCATTTATTACATTCACAAAAATGTTTTGAAAATGAGCTCTCGCCGCGCGCGAAATTTGTTTCTAGTCGAATTTTTACTATATTTTTGCAAGTAAAAAAGCGAATTCCTATAATGTATACATGCATTTTTTTTTCTGTTTAGTAAAGAGTATATTTATAACAACGTAAAAAAGTATAAAAACTATACTAAAACTCTAATGTATGTCATCATAAAACAGATTTATTATCAACAAAGCCGTTTTTTTACATTACTTCGAAACAAAAGGCCGTAAAAAACTAAATAAACATTTAAATGTTATTGTTTTCATTTAGTCTTATTGATCATCTCACTAGCTTTTGAGAACAATAACGAGACTGTACTTACAACATTAACAAAACCTTGAAATACGGTCTCAAGTGCAACGGCGCGCTGATGCGCCAATTACGTTAACGAGCGCGGGACTTAGCGAAAACGCGCTTTTGAGACGCCCGGTACCTCAAGGGTTAACATCCGTTAACATTTTTTTTCACAATGCTCCCATTACATAAAAAATCCAGTTTCAACCAAATTCCATACAATTACCTACTCTTATTATTAGCCGAAAACCGTAACAAAGGTAGAACAGACAAAGGGTACGGAAAGGGAGGTCACAGAGGTCACCCAATTTTTTTTATGTTAGATTTTTATGTTAGTCTGCTCGTTTGCTCCCAAACGAGCAGACTGATCACCTGATAGAAAGTAACCATCGCCGCCCATGAACGTCTGCAACTCAGGAGTCACAAACGCGTTCACAAAAGGGACCAAACTACGCAGGAAAAAAGCACAGCAAAAAGAAGGAAAACTTAACACAAACCTAATACCAAACCCGTCTGGCCAAAACCTCCTTTCTCAGGAGGGGCCTATGTCCAGCAGTGGACTATTAACGGCTGACGATGACACCAGATAGCTTGATTGGGAATAGCATGTTGGTTAAAGGGAAATGCTCATTAGTTGCTGGAACAAAATTGATGAAAAAAATGGAACCAAGTTTGGTTGCATTCTTTAAGACAACTCCCGCATTAAGAATATATCCTGTATCGCGGGGGACTTTACAAACATACACGAAACGGACACAAAGAACACCCAGACTCAAAACAACAATTTGTGAATCGCACAAAGTGTCGTCCTATGTGGGGATCGGACCCACAACACTCAGCGTAGTAGTAAGCAGCGTCCGCTTAAACCACTACGCCATCCGTGCAGTCGTTTCTATTCTATTTAACCATCTTACTGCACTCATCCGAAACATATTTTAACCGCAAGCAAAAAAAATGAGGCACTTTCAGTCTCTTGATTGTGCATGACTCTAATATTATACAACACTTTTTTTTTTATTTAGGGATATTTAAATATTTTTTTGCTCATTTCACAAACGACAACAACACGAAACTAATTTTACTTTCGTTTCGCAAACGGAACCAACCATTATATTTGTGAGGTTTGACAGATCACACGAACTCGCTAAAGAACACCTATTCCTGACCAGAATGCAAAACGAGGCTGTTTGAATTAAAAAACATTAAATTTTCATAGAAAGATTATTGCATCGGCTGGATTATTCCTGTTTACACAGACTGAGCTCACAGTTTCTTGGTCTTTCTGTATTGTGAATCCGGCACAATACAGAAAGACCAAGAAACTGTGAGCTCAGTCTGTGTAAACAGGAACATTCATAACACATATTCTTGCAGGTTCTAGTCCTAATACCTAATGCCTTATACCTATTTATAATTTGAATCTAACTTAATTTCAAACATTCTAGAACATTCGGTATGGTATCACTTTTATATTTACACAGCATTCTCAATAGGTTCAGTTTCTTCTCATTTGTCTTTGATGATTCCAGTTCATATAATGTACAAAGATTGATGAGCAAGGACTCATTTAAGCCTCGCTCTGGATCCGAATTGATAGCTTTCTGGAGTACAGTAATAGCTTCCTTTAGACGACCCATGTAGAGAAGGCACACCGATAAATTGTTTGCTACCTGAAATAAAAAAAACTTTAATAAGTACCGCAGATTTCAATGCGACTATCATGATGAACCACCCTATTTTTTGGGTTCATAAATGCCAGAGCTCTAGGGTAAAGGACCTTCTACTTTTTTTGAAGGCTGTACATAATTCTTTATTCTTTTTTAATTTGGAAAATCTCCTAACTGAACTATTAAATTACAATTTATTGGTGCTTGTTTCTCATCAAAACTATAATTATTTTGCCATAAATTACTTGTTATGTTTTATTCCAGTTAGTGGAAGCTAAATAGTAAAAGAGGAAAAGTGTGCATATCTCACAAAAAACATTTTTAAATAATAAAAAAAGAAAAGGATTTTGTGTTTCTACTTTCTTACCTTTGCGAATGCCTGTCCATAGCAACCTTGTTATTAGGTTTAGTTTATAGAAAGTGTATTTTATGCTGCGGGTATGAACTATTTAATATTGAAATTGTTTAACTTGAGAAAAGCTTAGGTTATTACTTAAATTTTATGTAAAGCGTCTGTCCAAAATACGGCTAGCGCTGGGGGTTAGAGTGAGAGAGGAGGAGCTTGTCTACCGCTGCCGTATGCGTGAGAGAAAGGGCAGCCAGACAGACTGGCGCCGTAACGCGTTACGTAACGAAGCGGTTTACCCTCCCATAAGAAGTTTTCACTTCAAAAATAAAATATTCTACCACATTCACACAAACATATCTAGTCCCAAACGTAGCAAAACTTAGACGTAGTACATAAAAATACATAATAATATATTCGAAAAAATGTGGGCAAAATTCAATACGACTCTACTTACCCCTTAGGGGGTAAGAGCGGGATGTATGTATGTATATAATTACCATAATGTTGGTTGGTTCCTGGTCGGCGGCTCTGGCGAAGTTGTTGTAGGCGTCTTGATACTTGCCGAGCGCGATGTCTATTAGACCAAGATCTACGTACTCGCGGACGTCAGGTGTCGGACAACTGTAAATAACATTTGTCACATTTTTATCGATTAATCATTTATAAACTTAAAACACAAATTTCGTTCGTTATAGAGTAATATAGAGGGTATTCGCACACCTGCAACTCAAGGGTTCCTATAGGGAAATTAAGTGAGAGGGTCATGCTTCGACACAAATGGGTTGGACCGGAGTTAAGTAATTCGTTTGGTGCTGATAACGACTGAGTGATGTTACCGGAGGTTCAACCACACGCGGCACAGCGCCGAGCTGGCTCCTGCACTATACACACTATACACACTACACACTCACATGTGGTGGCGCGCCTCCTGCGCCAGCTGCAGGCAGGCGCGCGCGGCGCGCAGGTGCCCGGCGCGGAGCCACACGCGGCACAGCGCCGAGCTGGCTCCTGCACTATACACACTATACACACTACACACTCACATGTGGTGGCGCGCCTCCTGCGCCAGCTGCAGGCAGGCGCGCGCGGCGCGCAGGTGCCCGGCGCGGAGCCACACGCGGCACAGCGCCGAGCTGGCTCCTGCACTATACACACTATACACACTACACACTCACATGTGGTGGCGCGCCTCCTGCGCCAGCTGCAGGCAGGCGCGCGCGGCGCGCAGGTGCCCGGCGCGGAGCCACACGCGGCACAGCGCCGAGCTGGCTCCTGCACTATACACACTATACACACTACACACTCACATGTGGTGGCGCGCCTCCTGCGCCAGCTGCAGGCAGGCGCGCGCGGCGCGCAGGTGCCCGGCGCGGAGCCACACGCGGCACAGCGCCGAGCTGGCTCCTGCACTATACACACTATACACACTACACACTCACATGTGGTGGCGCGCCTCCTGCGCCAGCTGCAGGCAGGCGCGCGCGGCGCGCAGGTGCCCGGCGCGGAGCCACACGCGGCACAGCGCCGAGCTGGCTCCTGCACTATACACACTATACACACTACACACTCACATGTGGTGGCGCGCCTCCTGCGCCAGCTGCAGGCAGGCGCGCGCGGCGCGCAGGTGCCCGGCGCGGAGCCACACGCGGCACAGCGCCGAGCTGGCTCCTGCACTATACACACTATACACACTACACACTCACATGTGGTGGCGCGCCTCCTGCGCCAGCTGCAGGCAGGCGCGCGCGGCGCGCAGGTGCCCGGCGCGGAGCCACACGCGGCACAGCGCCGAGCTGGCTCCTGCACTATACACACTATACACACTACACACTCACATGTGGTGGCGCGCCTCCTGCGCCAGCTGCAGGCAGGCGCGCGCGGCGCGCAGGTGCCCGGCGCGGAGCCACACGCGGCACAGCGCCGAGCTGGCTCCTGCACTATACACACTATACACACTACACACTCACATGTGGTGGCGCGCCTCCTGCGCCAGCTGCAGGCAGGCGCGCGCGGCGCGCAGGTGCCCGGCGCGGAGCCACACGCGGCACAGCGCCGAGCTGGCTCCTGCACTATACACACTATACACACTACACACTCACATGTGGTGGCGCGCCTCCTGCGCCAGCTGCAGGCAGGCGCGCGCGGCGCGCAGGTGCCCGGCGCGGAGCCACACGCGGCACAGCGCCGAGCTGGCTCCTGCACTATACACACTATACACACTACACACTCACATGTGGTGGCGCGCCTCCTGCGCCAGCTGCAGGCAGGCGCGCGCGGCGCGCAGGTGCCCGGCGCGGAGCCACACGCGGCACAGCGCCGAGCTGGCTCCTGCACTATACACACTATACACACTACACACTCACATGTGGTGGCGCGCCTCCTGCGCCAGCTGCAGGCAGGCGCGCGCGGCGCGCAGGTGCCCGGCGCGGAGCCACACGCGGCACAGCGCCGAGCTGGCCGCGCGTCGAGCGGCCGCACTGCCGCACGCCTCCTGCAGCTCCCCCACTATGCGCGCCGCCTGACGGTAGTCCTGACGACAACATTCTTTTTATGTTCCATCATTTAAGGCAGATCGTTTTCCATCTGACTGCAAGGTGTTCTACACGTTGTTAGTTCAATAACAAATTAAACACTTTTCGAAAAAAAGAGTGTGACCTTATTACTATACTGGAATTTCCATAGCGATAACACAATCTACTCACCTTCATAGCAAGAGAGCAATTGACTATAGAATGTAGTACTCTGGTCTCTCTGCCTGCCCACAATCGGATAGATTCAACCTTATCTTGTTCTGTGACGGTGCTGGTCCCATCTTCCGTCTTACCCTCACGCAAATTCGCTAGCATCTGTACAAAAAATAAATAATAAAGCAATGAATTTAAAAACAAACTCTACAACGATTATAAAAGACCATAAAATCTTCGATCGGCTGCTCTAATAAGCCCAAGTATACATTCAGTCAAAAAAGTATCGGGAATGGATGATTTGTTTATAACAAAAAGATCCAACAAAGAGTTTGTCTTAAATTTTGCATCGCCAATTGAATTTCGTATTCGGAGTCACTGAAAATGTTACAGAAGGCTTACGGTAAATCGACTTTATCAAAAACACCTGCTTGCACAGCGGTACAAAGAGTTCAAAAGCGGTCGAGATTTGATGGAAGATTTGCCTCGCTCTGGTAGGCCATCAACGTATGCAACTGAAGTTAACATCGCAATAGTGAAGGAAATAGTGACTGAAAATCCTCATTCAACTTTGAGAGAGATAGCCACCGAACTTTCTGTATCTCACGAGTCGATACGTATCATTTTAACTAATCATTTGGATATAAAACATGTTACCGCTCGGCTAGTCCCAAAAGACCTGAATTTTCTCCAAAAACTCAATCGCATGAGAGTCGCTGAGGACATGCTAGAACGAGTCAATTCCGACCCAACATTCATGAAACGTATTGTTACTGGTGACAAGACGTGGGTTTACGAGTTTGATATGCTAAGTAGTCAACAAGCTTCGGAGTGGCGCCTTCCAACTGAGCCGAAATAAAAAAAACACGCCAAAGTCGATCAAAAATCAAAGTCATGTTGACTGTTTTCTTTGACTATCGCGGTGTTGTGCACTCGGAATTCTTGCCGGAAGGTCAAACGGTAAATAAAGAATATTATTTGAGCGTTATGCGGCATTTAACAGAGCAAATTCCCAGAAAATGGCCAGATTTGTGGCAAGAAAATTCTTGGATTTTTCACCTCGATAATGCGCCTTCGCACAATGCCATCATTGTGAACGAATTTTTGACCAAACACTAAACAAATACCGACTTCTTTCTTTTTCCTAAACTCAAATTACCACTTCGTGGCACCCGTTTTCAACTGAACTCAATTCCGGCAGCAGCGTTTAAAACTGTTTTTGATGATTGGATTATTCGTTGGTACACCACCACGCACGTTTCTGAAGGAGCATACTTTGAAGGTGATGAAGTAAAGTAAGATGAGGAAAATATGAATGAATAACAAACATTTTGTGTATTATTGATCTTTTCCCGGTAATTTCTTGACAGAGTAGTATATGCTGTAGTTTTCTAAAGACTTGGCTATCCCGCAGACTATTTGATGTAGCAGCAAGTTCCACGTTACCATGTCGTGGATGTGGATACCATCAAAGTAACAGTATGCCAAATTTCAGATTAATCGGACCTGCTGATTTTAGTAAGATCCCTTCATCATCTAGGAAGTGAGCTGATGATCTTCAATATTTATAGCTAAGAATAAGAACCATCTCGATCACATTGGCTTTCGAACAAAAAAATCCCCATCGAAATTGGTCCATTCATTCGGGAGCTATGATGCCACAGACAGAGACAGATACACAGGTTAAACTTATTACATCCCTCGTTTTCCGTCGGAGGATAATAAAGGTACCTAAAAAGTCAAGTCTCAATATAAGGACCAGAGCGCCCTCTTAAATATCAAATATTTTAAGAATGGAACAATAAAAATTATTATTACCGTTTGTACGGCGCCGAAAATTGCGTACAGTCTGTCGAGAGCTTCCTCTGGCTTGCCGACGTGTTGCGGGAGTTCGGCGACTAATAGTCGCAGGGAGAATGGGACCAGACTTCCAGAGCGATTCTCGTATGTTTCCGGGTAGAACTGAAATAGATTATTTTCTTTTTTTAAATATCTAAAAGAAAAAAACATTATCGTTTGAGCCACAAGACTTCGATTGCTGGACGAAGGCTTTTTTAAGATCAGTCAGTAAATTCAGGGCTTTTCTATCCTATTTTCTTGAAAGTCATTGAGGGAGCCGATATAGTAAATTGAGTCTTATTTAAGTAAGACAGTAGTAGAATGGTTTGAAAGCTAGATAGGAAGGAAAAATACTAATTGACTATAGGTATTCATCCCGTGGGTGTCGTAAGAGCCGACTAAGGGTGCAAAACAACGCTGGTCACCAGCACCTCAAAAAGAAGGGAAACTTGACACAAACCACTTGACTTGGTATAGGACCAACCCGTCTGGCCAGTGTGGTATAGTAGGCCAAAACCTCCTTTCTAAGAAGAGGGCTATGTCCAGCAGTAGACTATTAAAAGCTGTTGATGATAGGTAGACAATGTTACCGGGTCGACGAATCATGATAAAAACTAGAGACTTAAACTGTCATTGTATAGACTTTGCGTACCAAGACAGGTCAGACATATACTGGATAACTGTAGCTTTATGTAGCAGTTTTCCTATAACTTTGACCTTTTAATACTCGGTTGAGTGGTTAAATCATTAAAAGTAACAAGAACACAACAAAATTACACTTACATTTATAATATTAGTCAGTATTGTTACATCACAAAGTTCACAATTGCTTGACATTTCTTTTTTAAAGACTCCCGCACTAGGAACTTATCATGTGTCCCGGGACTTTTACAAACACACATAAAACGGACACAAAGAACACCCAGAATCAGAACGACAATTTGTGGATCACACAGTGTCGTCCCATGTGGGGATCGGACCCACAACACACAGTACAGTAGGAAGCGGCGTGGCGACCACTTAAACCACTGTGCCGTGCAGTCAAACACATTAGAAGTACTTACTTCATAAAACATATCAGGCTTGTTCAAGTCCCCGAACGGCTCAGCCTCTTTTACCAACGTATCGTAGAGCTTGATCCTCGACATGACAGCGAAACGCGTCAGCCACAGTTGGAGACTCCTTGGAGTATGCTTAGTGGGGCGGTGCATTCGTCCAACACCTGTTCAATTATATAGTTAATTATAATTGAACAGGAAATATAGTTTAGAACAGTAATTATATAGTTTAAAAAAAAACGGCGGGAGGGGTCTATCAAATTCAAATTCATTTTTTTATTACCAAAAAGAAAAGTACAAAATATGTGATACATTGCCGGTGGCCCTACACTAGGCAAGCCTGGCCTGTGGGTGCCAGTTGCGATTACACATTTCGCTATACATTATTGTTCGGTAGACATTACATCGTCGTTTTCAATTTAAAGTACACAGTGTTACTTGCTTACATTTGAGACAGCAATCTATTTCCTACGAGTATGCGTTTGGAAGAAAACAATTGCCGTCCCAAACGAGTTGACAACAAAAAAAAAAAGATAAAAAAAAGATGAAAAATTATTAAAAATTAAAAACAATAATATTGGCAAAACAGCGTTGGTAAATACATGCATGAAGTTATTTTATAGATATCATATTATAAAGATAAAAATAACTAAATGTGTGTGTGTCTATATTGGTTTATGGATATTTCTATGGATAGTTCGTTTGCTATAGACGGCTGTAACTATAGCAAGAAGTGTCGGAAATAAGTCTTGTTACACATTTTTCTGACTAACTCCCATCCGCTCAGTGTGTAAAGCGCGATAAGGAACTTTGGTCGAAAAACACTAAACGAGGCATCGTCATTTGAGCTAATTCGACATCCCGTAGACATGTCGATCGACAAACTAAATCATATGAGCAAAGATTCTATGTGTTCACGTGTGTTGTTAGTAGCCACTGAAGCGTTTCTCCTCCACCACCTGGATCCGTTATCAGATCAGCTCGAACATGCCAAATTACAGTACTACAGTATCCAAACTAAATGCACATATAAATACAAACTTAGATCAATGATATGGAGCTACGCTGTCAACATTGTAAAAGCTTCGAAAAAAACACTAACGTCTAACTGTTGGTCACTGAGTTCCTTTCCGCTGTCGTTATGTGTGTCTGTTACTATAAATGCTCGATTTGCATAAAAAACCGCATAATAAATACTTGTACACTGTGATTATTTTTTAGAAAACTATCCTATTACGATTAAAAGATATGGGTTTTAAACTATTGTGTACTTAACAAGCAATTTTGCTTCTACACTAAAGATAATTTATTGTTAATCGTCCACCGATTTCATATAGCCAATTTACTGAACCCATTGATATGTAATTTAAACGAAAAATATTATATGTTTTACTTACATACCTAAGTATAATTGCCTATTTTGTACCACTAGGTTTTTTTTCTTAATCGTCCATCACTTTTATAATAACCTATTTTTTGCATCCATGCACATACATATGAAATGTTTAGCAAAAACATATCTACGTATTACCTAAGTTCGAAGATTTATTGAACGTAAGATTTATTTTCCAATAAAGGCCGCAATCGTCGACAAATTGCAGCCCATTTCAAGATAAAATAATTAATTGTATATAACCACCATTGTAACCAAGTGAAGTACTCAAGAGGTAAGAAAGTCTTATGGCCACGTTGTGAGATCTTTAATAGTTTGTATTATAATCAAATCGCGACATCTATTAAGATTTACTGTAAATATAATACAAGTGTAAAAGTTTAATGGGTAGTATTAAAAAATGTGGGTAGGCCAACATTTTTGAAATGTCAAAATGTAAAATAAAACAACAAACAACCCACACATTGACGAATGTTCATTAAAAAAACTATACCCCAACTAGTTTCATTACAAATGTCATCAACTTATCTAACAATATATAAGTAATATCATGTGAGTAGATCAGGATCAGCAAAGATCAGACTAAGTTTTTCGACACCACAGATTATGCCCTTTAGAAGTGAAATTATCCCATACGGCATATACGGCAGTCGCGTCGCGTATTAAAAACTAATTTTTAATCTGGTATTTTCTGATAAGTGGTATAAATACAAATAATTTTTAACCTGACATATAGATTTTTTACTAGCTTTTGCTCAACTCGCGTGTATTTAGATTATCGTAGTAAAAAGTAGCCTATGTTACTCGCTGATAATGTAGCTTTCCATTGGTTAAGAATTTTTGAAATCGTTTTAGTGCTTTAGGTGTGGAAGAGTAACAAACAAACTAACTCACTTTCACATTTATAATTTAAATATGGATTATACAGATATTAAAACACTACTATAGACTATAGAAATTCTTTAAAATAATATAATTTGTCCTTGAAAATTCCTTCTTAATCAGATAGCAGAATCATTTTATCGATAGTGTAGCAAACAATTTTCCCACATTCATAGCGTATGATTATAAAGTGAATATATGAGTGTATATGTGTGTTTATATGTATAGTGTGTGTATGTATATAGTGTAAACTGGAATTCAATACATATAAAACAATACACATATATATATAAGTATGTATATTAATACGTAAGGACTCTTTTGTGGGAATTTTTCAAGTAATCATGCTAAGATAGGAATTTAAACCTTGAAAAACAGGTATGAATTTGGAAATGTTAAAGTAACATTCTTAACTTGTACCACCGGGCACTAGCGTTCGACATCACATTCATTCTGTACTGAGCTCGCATTCTAGGACAACCGCCATGTAATGAGTTTTTTCTAACTTAAAACTACCTGCACCGGATTAACATAACTTATTTTTCTTATGTTCTTCGCATGTAAGTGACTATGTCTTAATGAGAAATAAAAATCTTTAAATGGAAGTATTCTTATCAGTAGTCTAGGTACCATAGTGCAGGCTCTGCCCAGTTTGGATTCAGATAGTCATGTGTGAAGTTATTATTATTATAAAACTCATATCATCAATTGAGTGAGTCCTACAATTACATTCTCTATGTTATTTAAATAATTATAATCTTTTTCAAACTTACCTTGTCCCGCAGCTGTTAACAGAACAGCAGTCAGGTTGATAGCAGCGCGCAGATACCCAGTACGGAGAAGCTCTCTCAGACCTGCTTCGTCCCGGCTCACATGTTCAGCTCTTACAACTCCTCGACTTCCAGCTGAACTTACCCCTAGGTATTTGACGGCCACTTCCTGCAGGGCGTCAGCCTAAGAGCATTTGCTCTTTTAAATCAATTCTGTTATTTCAAGCCATATCAAATAGGGACTAATGTAATATAAAGCAAAGAATCTAGTTTTTTAAAGATAGGGAATACAACCAAGCAACCTCGCATAGTTGTATTCCCTACTACGAAGATTACTTTGTGAGTATATATTTACCAATTCTTCTTCCAGAATGAGTCCTGGCATCGTAAGCACCTCTCTTTCAGGAAAGAATGAACCTTTGGGCGAAGACTGGGCCTGTAGATATAAAAGTATTTAAACTGATAAAGCCACTGTGATGTGTGTTGTATTTATATTGTAAGTGTTTTTAACAATTAGATTGTATGCGGTTGAGAATCTTTCCGACAATTTCTATTACTATAAACAACTTCTGGACTTGGAAGTATGAAATTAAAGATAAAGACGAAAAATAATCTAAATAATTCGCCTCAAGAGGGAATCATACCATCAATTTTAACATACAGCAATTCACATATCAACTGCAGTTTAAGTAAAAAAATCTTACCTTCATGAGTGTCTTCTTGGCTTCATCATTTGGTATCCAAGCATCTCTTCTTCTATCAGCTTCTTTGTCTACTGGTTGATTCTAAAAATAGACAAAAAGTCCAATGGAATTTACATACTATTTTAATATGTGTTATCTATCACTCTTTTAGCAATCTATTGGTTATCTATTGCAGATTAATAAAAAAAAAAATTAAAAAATCAAAGGATCAAAATTTTGGTCTATATTTCAACCTTTTGAAGCTTAAGGAACAAATTTTTGGGGATACAATACCCTTGCATAAACCAAAATAATAATTAAAAATGTTGCTAAGAGCAAAACTTGAAACTTTCAGGATGAAAATTCAACTTAAGTTTATGTCTAATATGTCAATTGTCCTAAAAAAATTATAAATCTTGTCTGTCTGTTAAAATATTAGTCTCCATTCCTATTTTCGATTTAAGACTTGTGGTATCTCTTATCCTAGCAATTGGCAATAACTAGAAGGCCAATTCAAGTGATAAAAGATTGGTCATGATTCAGTTCCCATCATCCATCATCACAACAGTTGTGTACCTTGAATGTCAGTTACTGTCATACCAGCTACTTTTGTAATAATGTGGTTATTTCACATTCTAACTGAAAATTGGATTGGTAATCTGCTAGTATATACTAAGTTACTACCAAAATAACTTATGTGAATACTTACTTATACTTGTGTACTGAATTTTGACCAAACTTTTATTACGAGAATTGGTATTCAGTTACTGTTTTAATGTAACATCAATATGATGATGACTAGCAACGACTGAAGAAAATGAAGTATAACTCACTTTAATACTTAATCCATCCATAGCTTCAGTTAATATTGTCGGGTGAGTAATTCCACTTTTTGAGGACATAATCTGTGGTTCAGGACCAATAGTGTCGAAAAACGTTGACGGATCCGGTAGACTCGTCGCAGGAACTGATGCAGATGTACTCACAGTTGGTACGACATTATTAAATGTTAGCTCTTCTGTCATCTTGTGTGGTGTGAATGAGCTGCTCATATTTTGGGGAAACAGATTCGCTGTAGTTGTTTGAATGCCTGAATAACATAAAAGGCTTTAAAATAATCACTTAAATGTTACCTTTCAACAAAGAATTCAAATTAAAATGATAAAATTAAACCACCTTCTGTTTCGCCTAAATAAATACTCTGTATCATGTCAGAAGGCGATGTCCCGATTTCGTCGAAAAACTGGGAGGCCGGTGGCACTTCCTTATCACCGAAATATTGACTCAGAGATGGTTTGTTATCCATCTTCCTGTGTTTTTATTTCGTTTTTATCGCCTTTTTTATTAGCTCTGGCTCATAGAAGTCAGATAAGAAATGACAATGACGTATGACGTTGACACTAGGGATGACGATCTGAGATCCATTAATCGAACAATCATTACTCGATCTAAAAGGTCAATCGCGGCATTATGGATGACGATACCGATTACACAATAAAATTAAAAAGACTGATAATGCACCCAGTTTCACATACACTACACTACACTCACAAAATAATATTCTCACTTTTCAAAATAAAATTAGCGAGACTCGTTACAACACGTAGTCTTACGCACACGATAACATTAATTGATCACACCATTGCCGTGTATTATGACGAAGGCAAAAAGACTAAACAATTATTAACACAACAAAACTTGTCTAAACAAATATCTAACTAACAACAGCAATATTATTATTAAGAAAATTTGATATTAACACGTACACACGTAACAACGTATACAGCTGATCACCGTCTGAGGTCAATGTATTATGACTGCATTTACACATGATGTTGTAAATTACGAAAACAAAAAAATTGTCCTGTTTCTAAACCACTATATATTTTTTGTTCATATCATCATCATATGTGGGTTAAAGATTCGTCAAAAGAAAAAAATACATTGTATACTTGCAAAGTTCTAAGAATCTATCAGAAAAATTACACAAAAAAAGATAATTCATAAACAGTTTAAAACTTATAACGATTCATCATATAACTAGCTGACTCTTTCAAAAGAAATGAATTTTCTCAGTTTTTGCAACATATTTATTGATACTCGTCTAGGTCGTAGCGTGGTCCAACACTTAAATAATATTTCAATTTAAACCAGTAGTTCCTAAGATCAGCGCGTTCCATAAAACGGATTTATTAAAAAAATAAAAATAAACTGCAGACACGAAAAAACATAATTTTTTTGATACCGATTTTAAAAACAATCTTTTTGGGAGATATGGCCACCCCTAGTTAACACAACTTTTATTATCGTTATAAGAAATACCTCAAAAAACTACTAAATGAATTAATAACAGCGTGGTCATTCACGTAACTGCCGAGTTAAAATAAAATTTTATTTAAATTATTTAATAAGAAAATCAATAACTCTAAACCGCCAAAAACATACAACGTAGTTTGAGACTTTTACAGTTATTGAAAGTAAACAATCCTTAAACTTTCTTTCATTTTTTTTAAAGGTAAGAAAATCTCAAGCTTAAACAAAGTAATCCCGTCTTACGTCAAAAAAGAGATCTCTCTCTTCCTTTATTTCAATTACGTAAAGATGTGGTTATGTCTTTTACTTTTCGCTATACACTATTATAAATAATATAGACCACATTCATTCTAAAAATTGTATACCCTTATCAATCAACTGTGATCTGAGACACGTAAATAACAACCATTTTATTAGTGAGAAGTTGATATTTCAAGAGGCATATTAAAAACGACAGAAAACTATAGTAAGTATAGCAACACCAAGAGCTTATGTCAAGGAAGTCTTAACTGTTTACGCTAGTGCATAAGATTTTTTTATTAAATTTCCCTTGAAAAACGTAATCGCTGGCTTCGTTTGTCCTCAGTACACAACACAGGTGCGTTGCGAAATGTTCTATTGTCAATTCAGACTTTAACAGTCCATATGGAGCGCGTAGATCACCCCTTTTTGTATATATGGTCGAGTGTTAGTAGGTGTTACAACTTATCGGGTTTTTTTTCAGGAATGTTTTTTTTTTTTATATGTTTATGTTTTTAGGCACAAATGACGAATCAGGCTTCCCCAGTGGAGGAGCAAGAGAAGCTCTTGGACGAGGCCTTGAATGTTGTCAAAGTCCAGGTTAGTATCCAATTGAGATGAATTAGTTAATTTATGGTTATATTGTAGAACTTTTTTTGAAACGAATGCCCAATTAAACTTGATTCAAGTAGTATTCTATGAGTGATTTTGATGCGAACAATGTCAATGATTTATTAAATTGACTATTATTGTTAATTTAAAGTAAATTTGGTGTTAGAATATTTTTTTAATATATGAAGGAAAATATTGAAGTTATTGAATATGTTTTAAATAAATAGGCACATCTTTTTGAGTATATATGATATCTTTTTTGTTTGTTTACATAAGGGTATGTTCATAGAGATATAAGCATAGAATGAACAAGAGCCCCAATCTTGCATTATAAGCAATGAATGAGATGGATAATATATAGTTCTCTCTATCTCTTTCTAGTCGAGCTCTGTAGCTGGCTGGAGAAATTTTCTAATCTCCTGCCGTTTCTACGACCATAGCCATGCCCGCTTCATGATAGCCAATCGCAGCTTAGCTAAACAGAGATGGAGGGAACTATTGGCCATCGGGCATCCATCTTTCTCATTGCCTGTATTGCTTGCACCTGTAACCTGTATGTGTAACCTGTATAGCTGTAAGCAGCTGTACCCCTCTGTTCTCCATATGCTTATATCTATATGGGCATATCTCTTTTATGTATGGGTCAGCAGGTTTTTGACCTTGGAAAAATTTCTATTCAGCAAGTTCAAAATTCAAAGATGAATTGAAAATAAAAATTAAGAAATTATTTGTCAAAAAATATTAAAATAATAAATAATATTAAATTCACACATCTATGGTCATGCTCATTACATACTTAATAGTTAGTTACTTGACTGGAAATCAAACTACAACCTCTAGTTTAGTAGTCGGAAGCACTAACCACTAGACCTACAATGTAGTTACATGTAAAAATATGGCTAGGGTTGCAAAGGAATTGTATATAAAAAACAATACAGCACAATAAGTAATTTAAATAACATTTAATAGTAACATTTTTTGTTTAAAGTCTAGTTTGCGAATTTACTAAAATACTAGAAGTATGTGACTAAAGAATGTTTATAATATTTAATTTTGTGATTTTGTCTTGCACTATGTTACAGGCATTTCAAATGAAAAGATGCCTAGACAAGTCAAAGCTGATGGATGCTCTGAAGCATGCTTCCACTATGCTTGGAGAACTGAGGACCTCTTTGCTGTCACCAAAAAGCTACTATGAGCTTTGTATCCTTTTTAAACCTAAATATTATTAGGTATAGGTATCGGAAACACGCTTTTTGTAAAAATAATACTTACTGAAATTATTAGTAAACTAGAAGTTTGCCAGGTTTTTATCTGCAATTATTGTCAATAATCTGCTACTAGGCTGTAAGATAATTTTCATAGCTTTTAACCTTCCTTGATGAATATACCAGGGATTCTCAAACTAGTTTTGGGCAAGAGACCTCTTTTCTAAAATGAAGTGATACCTCAGACCCTCAGACCCATGTTGAGTTTTTTAAAAGTACAACAATGATAATTCCTAGTCAATATTAGTAATTCTTACAAGTTACATAGTATAGTATATGTATACCACAACTAATAAAGTTTCTTGAAAGTTTCAAATTAGAACTTGTTTTAATTAATAGGGGTCGATTTTTAGACCTCGTCATCTCCGAAAATTAGTATTCGTTTATGTCGAGTCCTGGGAAACCAATATCGACCACTTTGAGAATGCCTGCTCTACACAATACAAAGTATTATTTAGATTGAAATGTTTATGATAACCAAATAAAAAGTCGGAATTACAGAGGAAATACTTAACATCGTGTTCTGGGCTACGACATTTAGGAGCGACTGTGATAAACCCTAGTATACTATATATAACTGTTAGCTTATTGTTAAAACAGTACTATTATGTACATTTACTTCTTTATACATAATATATTGGTCTAACACATATACAACGTCACATCTTTATCACTGAATGGACAGACAGAGGCAAATTTGATGCCCGCATTTTGCTGACTGTACTGTTAGCCCCATTTACTTAATAGATGTCAGGCCTATTGCCATCAACATACATATATTTCTAAATAAATATACTTGTTGAGGAACGAGTGTAATGTCCCTCCAACACAAAAGGAGGATCCTCCGACCAGGCGAGGTGATTATAACTGGCGGGCTGCGGCCCAACGGTTCATTTTGGAAAGTTGTAAATTTATGCTAATCGGCGTGAGAACTTTTCATATCGTGATACAGGATTACCAGTTACTCCGTAGTTCGGTGTGTCTTCGTTAGATGGCGCTGTAGCATGTTTCTTGGTTTCATTGTATGTCGAAGTTGCCTTATACCTATATATTTCTAAATGAAGTAAAAATACATTTTACATTATTTTGTGTAAGCTTCAAAATCTCAAAAAGTTCTATACCGATTGAGCTCAAACTTTGACAACACTCATCAAAGATGGTTTTTATCTATTATTCACTTCACTCTTATTAACGCAACTCCAATGTGTTACCGAGATGTGTGGCAGGGTATAGCTAGTTATAGATAAATTACGCCTAGACACAATAAATAATCGTGCTCCTTACACAATGCGTGTCCTAACTGAACAGTCAGCATTATACGGCCAGTCCAGAATCGATCTATAAATACAAAAATATTATTTTAACTCTTGTAACAGATATGGCAATAACAGATGAGCTCCGTCATCTAGAGCTTTATCTTCTAGAAGAATTCCAGAAAGGTCGTAAAGTTGCCGACTTGTACGAGCTGGTGCAGTATGCGGGTAACATTGTACCAAGACTGTATCTGCTGATCACTGTCGGTCTTGTCTATATCAAGACTAACTCTAACCTGAGGAGGGATCTTCTGAAGGTAATTTTTTTTTTGTTTTGAGCATATGTGAGCAGAGGGGTGATGATAAGAATTGATTTACGAGTGTGCCTCTGTCAGAGTTCAGACTGAAGAAACTGAGGCTATTGTGACCGTCTCAGACTTCTTCAAATCGATAGACTTTAGTTTCGCGCTGCTGGAAAGGGTTCTCTATAATCCTGACGGTGGATGATGGGAATTTCCGACTTAAGCAACGCTATCGTTATTTGTTAAGTGTATGGTATATAGACGATGTTGTACTTATTTAGATTGTTTCATATATGTGGAAAAGGTTGTTCTTTAATATTTCATTAAATATAGAAATCATAAAAAAAGCATATAATAATGGTTTCTCTAAAACAAAAAATAACTTATCTAATATTTTAATCAATAGACTAAAAACATGAAACTACTTTGTATTTTTCAGGACTTAGTGGAGATGTGCAGAGGAGTCCAGCACCCTTTGCGTGGACTGTTCTTGAGGAATTACCTGCTGCAGTGTACGAGGAACGTATTGCCCGATACCTCGGAGCCTCAGAACGAGAACGAGGGCACAGTGAGTCTACGTACAGGATACTTTATTTACTTTCAACTGTAACTAGTGTAATACATACTTAAGTAAAAATGTGTAAGTGTGTTTGTTTGTTACGCTTTTCTGCCTTAACCACTAAACCGGTTTTAAGAATTCTTTTACCAATGGAAAGCTACATTATCAGCGAGTTAAATAGGTTAATTTTTACTACGATAGGACGATACTACGATAGGATACCCGCGGAGTCGTGGGCAATAGCTAGTCCTATTATATTACCTACTTCCTATTTAGGTTTAGTTACTTTTTTATAAGACAACTCCCGCATTAGGAATATATTCCTGTGTCGCGGAGGACATACTTCCTAGTTACTTACCTTCAGTTAGGTTTAGGCATGAAAGCGTAACAGAACAAACTCACTTTTACATTTTAGGAATGGATTACTAGTAAAATTTAATAAAATTAATAAACGTCGATGATCAGATTCTAAAATAATATATATCGACAGTAGATAGTTAATTTTTTAATGTTTTGAATGAATAAAATTTTACTTTTAAGGCTAATTAATAATAATAAAGTTGAAGTGTCTGTTGTGCCTAATGTCAAAATAATAGGTTTTTTCATGCTCACGCGGTTATTTGCACGATACCTACAAACCAGTTTAAATATTTGTTGTCTCTGTCTGTCTGTTTGTTCCGGGTAATCTTAAAAACGTCTGGACCGATTTAGATAATGTTTTACTACCAGGTAGATAAGGCACACATTTTCAAATTCCACGCTACTCCGGTACCAGCCAGTTAGAAATAATTTTTTTGGTTAGCTAGGTTATAGGGGTAGTTAATTACGTGACATTATTAAAAACTAAAATTAAAACTACCATGTTTTAAAAAGTGTATAAGCAATATTTCTGAATACCGTAAAATTATTAGCCCCGACTGATGGATTCATTAACGCTGAGCCTAAAACTTAAATGGTAGCTGATGCTTTTATATTGTAACCTAACCTAGACTAAGAAAGGATTTTTGGAAATGCCACCCCTAAGGGATTAAAATAAGGAATGAACGGTTGTATGAAAGTTCGTCATTTTCAAAGTTAGAAACACAAAATAATCACGCAAGCGAAGGTGCTGTCAATAGATAGTATTAAATATAAGGTCAGAATTAATTTATAATCCAATGAATAGATAATCTGATGAGAAAAGACTGTGATTACATTATGCATGTATCTTTACTGTACAGGTAAAAGATGCTATAGACTTTGTACTGATGAACTTCGCTGAGATGAACAAGTTATGGGTCCGGATGCAGCATCAAGGACACTCCAGGTAAGTGTAACTTTACTATAATGTTTAACTGTATAAAAAAGGAAATTTATTTTGGTAAAGTTTTATTTATTTATTTATATATATTCACACATCTCTCACTCGGCCGTCTGGTCCCATATTAGGCAGAGCCTGTACCTGTATGGTAACCAGACTGCTGATAAACATACTTATATATTTCTAAATATACATATTATAGATAAATTACACCCAAACACAGAACAACAGGGTGGGAATCGAAGCCACGACCTCCGGTTTAGCGGTCAGGGTCACTAACCAGTAGACCAACAGGTCCAGGTCATAAAAGATTAAGATGCTTGCTTAACGTAAATTATACTTGGAAAACATTAAAATTTAGATCTACAAAGCTTTTTTCCTTTTATAAGTCACTTAGTTGAAGCAGAGAGAGTATTTATTACTTTTATTATTATTTTCTATCCTTCCAAGTTATTGTAACTTATCATGGGAACTCCAAAGTGCTATGTTCAATTTTTTTGGATTGATGTTATTAATCATAGCGTACAAAGACGCAGAAGTTTGATGGTAGGTTTAATTGCACGGATGGCGTAGTGGTTTAAGCGGTCGCCATGCCACTTACTACTACGCTGAGTGTTGTGGGTTCGATGCCCACATGGGACGACACTTTGTGTGATTCACAAATTGTTGTTCTGAGTGTGGGTGTTCTTTGTGTCCGTTTCATGTATGTTTGTAAAGTCTCCCGCGACACGGGATACATTCCTAATGCGGGATTTGTCTTTTAACAAAAAAACCTTCCATCTTAATTTACTGTTTAACTCAGTTAAAAGACATATTATGTGTCTTTCAGGGACAAAGAGCGCCGTGAACGAGAGCGTTCGGAACTTCGGATATTAGTTGGTACCAATCTGGTGCGTTTGTCACAACTGGAGTCTGTGACAGTCGACGACTACCGGCGGTTGGTGCTGCCCGGCATTCTGGAGCAGGTGGTCAGTTGCAGGGACGCGATAGCCCAGGAGTATCTCATGGAATGTATTATACAGGTATGCTGCATAAACTTCTCTGTCATGTATCTACAGTATTTTTACTCGCTGTTTAAAAGTTCTTGAAGAGAGTTCTCATTTATTTTTGGGTATAGGTGTTCCCTGATGAGTTCCACCTGGCGAATCTGCAGCCATTTTTGAAGTCTTGCGCGGAGTTGCAGCCTGGTGTCAACATTAAGAATATCATCATAGCTCTCATTGAAAGACTCGCTACTTACAGCCAGGTAAGCAGATTATGAAGTCTAGTCAGTTCAAACAGAGTCAGGCTTAAAGACTAAGTATCTATTTTCTCATTAAATTGAATACTATTATGAGTATTCGCACATTACACATACCCGTTCGTTTATAATAGCCCAGGCTCAAAAATCCAGTCAGTGATCAATACAAATAATAAAATTTAAGTGTCTGTTTGTAATGTCAAAATACTAGGTTTTTTTTTATGCATGCATGCATGCAATTATTTGCACGATACCTATCCCTAAAAACCAGTTTAAACAACGGCTGGACCAATTTTAATAATATTTAACTACCAGGTAGCTGTCCATGTAAGGTGTAATTTAGGCAATTTTTCCTCTCAGAAAAACCCTAATACTCGGTCCGGGAATCGAACCCGAGACTTCATGGACTGCAGTCGCATTCCGTACTACACCATGCCACTATGTCAGCGCTTTTCAAATTCAACCCGAACGAACTAACGGACACCAGCTAGTTAGAAATAAAACTGATGATCTTCAAACAATTGAATAAATTTTCTTAAATGATGGATAAGAACACTCGATTAATCACTTTTGAAATAAAAAAAAAAAAACAAAATCAATATCGATCTGGCCGTTTAGAAGATCTCACAAACATACACATATTCATACATGCTAAAACATTTCCTTTGAATCGGGTGTTAAAACTTGTCATCTGGTCTAACACAAGGAATACGCTTTCAATGATTTTTTTTTATTATCTTTGCAGCGGAACGAAGGGAACATAAATTTAAGTGTAGTTCTAGAAGATGGAAAAGAACAAGAGGTGCAGCTATTCGAAGTGTTCTCAGATCAAGTTGCTGCCATCACACAGGTATATATTTTAATAAAAATATTGAGCCATCACGGGATGTCTAGCAGATGTGAAACTTTCTAACTGAAAAATAATCTTACGTCTTACTCTGTTTTCGTTTTAGAGTCGCACCGACATGCCCCCAGAAGACATGCTGAGCCTACAGCTGGCGTTGCTTAAATTGGCTCAGCGGTGTCACCCGGACAAGCTGAACTATGTAGACAGGGTACTAGCTCACACCGACAAGATATGCATTGACATACATACTGCCAGGTATGGAACTAATATTGGAACCCGATTACCATTAGTCGTTAATAATAATTTGATAATCTTAAAATTTTACCTGCATCAAAAGTACATAATACATGGTACAGTACAGACTGCACGGATGCCGTAGTGGTTTAAGCGGTCACCAATCCACTTCCTACTACGCCGAGTGTTGTGGGTTCAAACCCCACATGTGACGACACTTTGTGTGATCCACAAAAATTGTTGTTCTGAGTCTGGGTGTTTATTGTGTCCGTTTCATGTATGTTTGTAAAGTGCCCTGCGACACAGGATATATTCCTAATGCGGGAGTTGTCTTTTATTAAAAATGAAATGAAAATGAAATAATGTACTGAAGGCCATTATCAGTATACATACAATATGTAACAAAATAATAAGCATCAATTGTACCTCTACTAGAGCATACTCTTGAGCAGAGATCCACTTGGAACACGTACTGAGAACAAATAAAAGCTACTGTTTTTTTTAAATAAAAACTGATGTATGAATACTTTTTATTGCAAACACGTGTTGCAAAATAGCATTATTAGGAAGTGGTTTGATTATTTTACCTTACTGTAAATAATGCTTCTTTTGTTTTCAGTGGCAAAACTCACCTAGAGCACAACACACCTGTGTTCAAAGAACTGATGAAGATCCTCAAGCTGCCAGCCGATCACTACAAGAACATACTAACTCTGATCAAACTCCAGAACTACTCGCCCCTGATCAAACACCTGAACCATCCCGGCAGGATCATGATCGCTGTACATCTGATAAATGATGTACTGGAGAGTGATTGTTTGATATCTACACCCGAGGATGTAAGTACATGCACAGGACACTCTTGCGATTAGATAGTAGTGGAAGCATATAGAAGAAAAAACCGGTACAATGAATTGACTGCACGGTGGCGTATTGGTTTAAGCGGTCATCGCTTCCTACTGCGCTGAGTGTTGGAACGAAGTTCCTTATCGCGCGTTGTGAAAGGGGGCTAGACGGAAAAAAATCTAACGAAAAGTTGTAACGACACTTTTTATTTTGAATTGTCTTGTTGTCATTCAGCGCCATCTATCGAATAGATAGGAAATCATTACTTTTCATCTCTGTAAAATTCAAATTTATGTTCTTAGGTTGAGCAAAAAATATTGTATTCAACATCATTTCTCAAGGAGATTATACCAATGTATAAATTGTTTTAATTAGAAACCAACTGAAAAATATGTAGGTAATAGCCGCTTTCATAGATGTCGTTGTAATTAAAATCGTGTCGAATCAGTTTTACTCGATCGTCACAACTTCGTTCCTATCGGGTGTCCCACGACACCACACGGCTTTTTTTTGTTGTTGGTTTGATTCCCACATTGGATAACAGTTTGTTATGATCCACAAGTTGTTGTTCTAAGTCTGGGTGTTCTTTGTGTTCACACAAAAGATATATTCCTAGTGCGGGAGTTGTCCTTTTATAAAAACTAAAGGAACAACTAAAACAATGAAGTTAGGATACACAATCTATAGCTATGAGGTTTATACGCGACTAATTAAATCTTTAGTGTTATGGCTTATAATTGTAATGTAATTAAATAGGTGGAGTCAGTGTTATCGATGTTGGACGTTTTAGTGAAAGACCAGCCTGATCAGTCCACTGCGGAACCAGATCTTGAAGATTTTATGGAGGAACAAGGCTTGCTTGCAAGGTAAGAAAAGAAGTTAATATTTTTTACTATGATATTTTTAATTAATAATAACTAACACGCTGTAGAACAAACCACTAAGGGGCTGTGGTCATCTTACCGGAGCCCATACTCCTGTTCCCAAACCCCATGATTCAGGGGGGCATACAGATTTGCAACCACTTGCAACTCTTCAGTTGTAGGTGACCCGTATGTTCGTTTGTTTCTCACCATAAAAAAAAAACAAAAGAAAGAACAAAAAAATCAGACGAATCCTGGACGAAATAAAGTAAATGGAAAGGTTCAATCAAGATTATATCACCTTAGTATGATCCAAGTTATCTCCTGAATTTACTCATTAAACTAAAAAAAATATACGTCTTAATAACACTAAAAATAATCAACACTGCCACATAACTAGTGATGTGCCGAGTCGCTGTTTTGGTGGATCGAATCGACTCGAGTCGGTTTATACGGTATTCGAATCAGGACTCGATTCCGCGATTCAAGCCCAGTACTCGAGTTCTATGTTTGGTATTCGAATGTTAACTCTAGTCCAGGACTTTAGTCTGGAAATTCGATTTAGAACTTGAGTCTAGAAATTCGGGTCCAGAACTCTTCTCCCCTGGGATAGGGCCTGATTAGGCATGGTGTCAATTCGGGGAGGACCTCAAATAACATGGTCCGGGTCCTCCCCAGAGTAGGACACCTGAGGCCGGCCGTCGGGGTGGTTTTTAGTGGAATCACCACATACTCCTGGCTCATAGTCCCTGAGGAGCAGGAGATACGAAGGGATTTTCCACACCAACAACAAAAAAAAAAGGCGTCACATCATTCCTTATGTAAACAGATATCGAGTACGAGCGATTCAACCTAACTCGTATGCTAGATTCGTGTCACATGGAATCGCTAAACAGAAGCGAGTCATCGAGTACAAATTCGATTCTTCCTGACTCCAGTGCCGGAATCGAGTCCGGCGTACTCGAATCAAAATAAATTGGTATTCGAATAAGCGAGGAATCGAGTCAGACTCGAGTCAAACCCTACTCGGCACATCGCTACACATAACTGACTGCACGGACGGCGTAGTGGTTTAAGCGGTCGCCACATGGGGTGACACTTTGTGTGATCCACAAATTGTTGTTCTGAGTCTGGGTGTTCTTTGTGTCCGTTTCATGTATGTTTGTAAAGTCCCCCGCGACTAATTTGTTAATTCCTAGTGCTGGAGTTGTCTTTTTTTAAATAAAAAAATAATTTCAGATTAATCCACCACTTCAAATCGGAGTCAGCGGATCTCCAATACCTGATCCTGAGCGCTGCTCGCAAAGCCCTGCAGGGTGGAGGGGCGAGGAGGATACAGCACACCTTCCCTCCCATACTGTTCCACGCGTACAGGCTCGCCTTCTTGTACAATGAGCTCAAAGATCAGGTAACATAACTCGCTGAGTCTATCAAAAAGGCAAAGGCAAAGGTTGATAAACAACAGAAAATCTTTAATGAAATAAAACTCAACCCCCCCCCCCCCCCCAATCTGAGGCGGAGGGGGGGGGGGGGACCTTGCATCTCTTCCGTTACAGGTCAATAGGCGACGGTAATAACTTACTATCAGATGACCCGTCTGTTCATTTGTCCTTTAATATACAAAAAAAACTTACTATCATTGATTGCCTCGGTCCGAGTTCGATTCCCTTGTCGGACCAAATGTTTGTATTGTATGAACTGCAAATATTTTTTTCGGTGTGTGTGTTTTCGATGTATGTATTTACTAAAAAAAGGAAATAAGAATTCTATCAGTCAATCTAGCTTTAATAGCTCTGTTTAGTTTGAAACTAGATGGCGTTGTGTGTTATACATCCGACATATTATTATTAATACGTTAATTTCGTCTACAACTAATCTGCCAAAGATGAACTACTCCATGTTGACAGGCACATGAACGTTTCATTTTCAATTTCAGGATGAGATGTGGGAGAAGAAATGTCAGAAGATATTCCAGTTCTGTCATCAAACTATCAGTATGCTTGTCAAAGCTGAACTTGCCGAGTTGCCTTTGAGGTATGTTATGCAGAGTTAGACGAGACACGGGGAGATAAGGACAGTTTTAGGGTTACAGTTGGTTATATTCTATTTAAACTAAAATTATAAAATTAAGTGAAGGATAGGGGCTGAGATAAACACAATCACATAATCCTCTTAAAATGTTCGTATGTGAATTTGCGAGCCTAATTTTAAAAAAGTTTGTTTAAGATTAGTTTTTATTCATCATCATCAACAGCCTTTAATAGATACAGGACATAGGTCTCTCCTTAGAAAGGAGGTTTTGGCCTACTATACCACGCTGGCCAGACGGGTTGGTATAGGGTTTGTGTCAAGTTTTCCTTCTTTTTGCAGTGCTGGTGTCCTGCGTTGTTTTACGCCCTCAGTCGACGGGATGAATTGGGGTAGTGACATTCCGTATTCTTAATCCGTCACCACACAGATCATCTCAGAATTTGCAAGTCTAATAAAAAAAAGTTTGTTTAGGATTTTTTTTTATTCAGTTAGCTTTATATCATTTTTTAAGGGGGTTTCGAAAAGTAGTACATTCCCAATAAGACTAATGTTTTTTTGTGTACACAAGCGATATCTTGCATATTTGTTAGCCGATTACAAAATTCTTTGATTTTACTAAAGCTATGTTCCATTAACTTTAAATATTCCACCTTTAAGTGTGTGTGATTCCGTGTGGTGACGGATTAGGAATACGGAGTGTCACCACCCTTATTCGTCCCGTGGGTGTCGTAAGAGCTGACTAAGGGAACTACTTACGCAGGAACAGCACTGCAAAGAGAAGGAAAACTTGAAACAAACCCTAGACCAACCCGTTTGGCCAGTGTGGTATAGTAGGCCGCAACCTCTTTTCTATAGAGAGGCCTATGTCCAGCAGTGGACTATTAAAGGCTGTTGATATGATGATGATGATGTAATGTGATGTTAACTTTTAAGTGAGTAAGACTACAGTTTATTACAAAAAATAAAATACAATTAAAGAGTATAGCATTCGATCATACATTTTTAAATGTAAATTAAATGTTTTTCAGGTTGTACCTTCAAGGAGCTCTCGCCATAAGTGAGATTGGTTTCGCCAACCACGAAACAATTGCTTACGAGTTCTTATCGCAAGCATTTTCGTTGTACGAGGACGAGATATCCGACAGCAAGGCTCAGTTAGCCGCTATAACATTGATCATTGCCACGTTTGAGCAGATCAATTGCTTTGGTAAGTTCTAGTCATTATGTTTACAGATATAGGGCTGCCATTTGTGCGTAGAACTAGAGAGTATCATCATAGATAGATAACTTTTTATCTATACAAATAAATAAAATTGGAGTGTCTGTTTGTAATATTAAAATAACCGCTTTTTACTAAATGCATATGTATGTTTACACGGTACATATGCCAAAATAACATTTTTTACAATTTTTGTCTGTCTGTCTGTTTGTTCCGGGTAATCTCTGGAACGGCTGGACCGATTTCGACGGGACTTTCACTGGCAGATAGCTGATGACATAAGGAGTAACTTAGGCTACTTTTTTTTAGACTAGCTTCGCCCCGCGGCGTTGCCCGCGGTTATAACAACAAACACGGGTAACACCGTGGGTCTCAGCTATTTGTACAATAAAAACATAGTGAAAATACAGTTTATGTATTGGTGAGAGTCTTAAAATCTAAAGTTATATTAGAAAAAACATAGAGAGTAAAATATCAAAAGTTGTACAATTTGCGGCCTTACCGCGATATGCGATCTCTTCCTTCTCCATCATAGCACACGATTTATAAAAATTGAAGTGTGGACAATAGAAATTATGCTAAATGAAAATATTAAAGAACTTGTCGTAAACTGAACAATCCCGACGCTACACAAAGTATGATTTAATTTTTCAAGTGTGACTTGTTCATCGACTGCTGGCGTAGTGGTTTAAGCCTTCCTAGTTCGATCCCCACAATTACACAACTTTGTGCGATCCACAAATTATTGTTCCAATTGTGTCCGTTTTATAAACGTTTACAAAGCTTCCCACGACACAGGAGCTATTCCTAGTGCGGGAGTTGCCATATATCGGTTCGTTCATGCTCTGGTGGTTCCCCAGGCGCGGAGAACGCGGAGCCGATGCGTACTCAGTGCGCGCTGGCGGCGAGCAAGCTGCTGAAGAAGCCCGACCAGAGCCGCGCCGTCGCACTCTGCGCACATCTCTTCTGGAAGGCGCCCAAGGACGGGAAACAGGTGACACTCTTACTAAACCACTTTTATATGCTTCTATTCAGTGAATAATGATTTACACTTCTCTAAATATAAAGACTTTGTGAAAATGTTAAATAAAATAATGGTGTAACTAAGTTATTTAGTGATATTAAACATTTATAAATAGACAGAACCGGAAAATAAAAACTACGAAATAATTTAATCAAAAACCAGCTTTATTTACATATAAATTATATCATCACAAAAAAAACGACGCATAGAGGACCACTCTCGAGTCTAAATGTGGAAATCGGAGCCCACAACCAATCATCATCATCATCAGCCTATCGCAGTCCACTGCTGAACATAGCCCTCTCCCATTGCTCGCCACTTAGATCGATTTTGGGCTTCTCACATCCAGCTCCTGCCAGCCATTTTGCGTAAATCGTGACTCCACCTGTCCTGTGGTCATCCTACACTACGTTTGTCGAGACGCAGTCTCTACTAAAGAACTTGATAAACATCAATACCAATATATCGTTACAATTGGTTTTTTTAAATATAGGTCAATATTCAAAATAAACGTTTTGAAGAAAAATAATAAATATTTCGGATATCTAACACTCAACGTGATCTGGTAAACGAAGCAGAGCTTGTACTATGAAAGCTTGATTAACTGATAAAAAAATTATATATACTTTTGTAAATACATAAATAAAGCATAATATAAAAACGTGTGCGTGTAATCTAAGTGGAACTATTTAATATTAAAAATGTTTAACTCGAGAAAAGCTTAGGTTATTACTTAAATTTTATGTAAATCGTCTGTCCGAAATACGGTTAGCGCTGTGGGTTAGAGTGAGAGAGGAGGAGCCTGCCTACCGCTGCCGTATGCGTGAGAGAAGGTTACGTAACGAAGCGGTTTACCCTCCCGTTAGAAGTTATCACTTCAATACAGCTTATCGTTTGTCATACATATGAATATACTGTTTTTTTTATTAGTAACATCTTTTGACTCAACAAACGCGACTTCTTGAAAACTCACTAGTTATTTGTTAAACAAAGCCTAAAACATATCCAACGTTTTAAGTCACAACAGTCGTTTAATATTCCTTATTCAAAAATGTGTGGTTGTGTCAGTGGGCGCTGAGCGACGCGGTGCGCGCGCTGGACTGCCTGAAGAAGGCAGCGCGCGTGGCGCAGCAGTGCATGGACGGCGGCGTGCAGGCGCAGCTGCTCGCCGAGCTGCTCGGCCGATACGCGCTGCTGCGGGAGCGGGGCAACGCCAGCCTCACCACCAATCTCATCGAAGCTGTGAGTATGCGTCTCAGTATTGTACCGACGTCACATATGTCGGACAAACGTACGTCAATGATTATTTTCATAAAAGTAATATATAATATAATATATTCTACCACATACACACAACGCCATCTAGTCCCAAACTAAGCAGAGCTTGTACTATGGGTACTAGACGACTGATATAAATACATATATACTTTTTTTTTGTAAATACATATTATTATACATAGAAACACCCAGACCAAATCAAACATCAAATATTCATGCACACAAATGTTTGACTCAAGCGGGAATCGAACCCGCGACCCTTGGAATAACAGTCCGTTACACAAACCACTACGCCATCCAGTCGTCAATGTTCTAAGTATTTGTTCTAATTAATTTTTTGTCGAATATATTATAATTTTACCATTCAAAGTTGAAACTTTGACTTGACGATTATGAGTTATCATCGTCTTATGTAGATTACGAGAGCAGTATTAGTTGTGCAATTTAAATGCTCTGAACTTCTTATTTCGAAGCTTCGAAACTACACACGGCGAACGCTTCTACTGAAAGTTTAGCAATCCCACTCCTTAACTAGGTAAAAATACATAACGATAATGTACTAGGGTAGAACAAAACTGATTTCACAATCAATTTTACATAATTGCCTTACTACCAGAACCCTATCTTACTGTGCCCTATCTTTTCTGTTATTCTTTTTTCTACTTCTTAATTAATATATTTATACAAAGTCATCATGATGCTCACGAATTTACAAAATTAAAAATGTTTTCATTTCCACAGGTTATCCAAAAAATCCGGGAGGAGCTGGCAAATCTCGACCAATCAGAAGAGGTGGAACAAATTAGCAAGCACTTCCACAATACTTTGCACCATCTCAAAAACAGGATGGAGTGTCCTGACCCTGAAGGTTTAGGCTACGAAGGTCTCACACTCTCTTAGACCATGCTGATAATTAATTTCATATCAATTAATAAGAAAATACTGGCAACTTTGCCAATAGGGAAATTACAAATTTGGTAGGATTACCAACTGATGGCAATACAACTAATATAATGGCAACATTGGAATGTAAATATCATATACATTCCTAATTTATTTACAGTAATTGTATTTAACAATGGTTTAATCTCAGACATATTGTAAGTGTAAATATATTATAATGAAATAATTATAATTAAGTTATGCAATACAAGTTTTATAGAAGCAATATATATTTCATGTTATTCCAAGTTGTTTATTTTATTTTATTATCCCGTGTTGTAATGTATTATTGTAATTCCAATGTAATATTGTAAATGACATGAGAATTCGTTCAGAAATCGTTATTAAGAAAGTTAAATAGGTAAAATCTTGGCAATTGAATTAAAATGTTAAATGAATATGTTGTGTATGTTCTGTGAGAAATGTGCATATCTATGTAGAGGAATAATATGCTCCTGTACTTGTAGGGTCTATCTTCCCGTCCACCAGACATAATCACTTGAACAGGACCTCAATTCTGCTATTTTATGTTAACGTCAAGCTACTGTCATTCCATTGACACGCTATTGAGATGCCATCGAGTGGCCATTGGCATCGGTATAAATATCGGTGGTTGAAAATATGTTACGTTTTTTGAGGAATATGATTTATTTATTTTTATTATAATAAATTATAAAAATAAATTATTAAAAAAATAAAAAATAAAAATATTAAATTATTAAAAAAAACATTTCCTCAAAAAACGTAATATATTTTCAAATTATAAGGAAATTATTGATTTATTTTAGTAATTTTTTTATTTTTGTTTTTATTATATTAATAATTTATTTATTTTTTTTATAATTTTTTTTTTTATTAATTTATTTATTAATTTTAATAATTTATTTTAATAAAAATAAAAAAATCATTTCCTCAAAAAACGTAATATATTTTCAACTACCGGTATTTATACCGATGCCAATGGCCACTCGATGGCATCTCAATAGCGTGTCAGTGGTATGACACGGGCTTGGCGTGAATATAAAATAGCAGAATTGAGGCCCTGGAGGGACATAACACTCGTTCTTCCACAGGCAACAACTTTGATGTTTATATAAAGAAAACGAATGAAACTACAGACAGACTAATATACATAAATATATTTACTCTTATATAAATATAACGAGACTTCATAATATTCGATTCCCTTGAACATTATTTCTATTGTTCATCATTATTTTCTCTTGTCTCTTCTTCTCTTCTTTGAACGCTTCTTTGTTGGCTTTCTTCTCTATTCTTCGTTCTTTTCTGTACTCTTTGAGTAGACGTTTACGTTCCTTTTTCTCTTCAGGTGTTTCGTCTTTTGGCCTGGAACGCAGAAGTATATTTATGTCACATATATGGTAATGTAAGGCCAAGCAGTTGTTTTTTTTATTTCCGTTTCATTTATTTGTATTAATAATATACTTTTTACCCAAGTGGTTTTGATATCTGAGATATATATTTTCAGTTAAATGTTACATGTACCTAATATGGTATCTTTAAACCACTTCTGGACAATGGTAAGTACAACCTGGTACAAAGTATATAAAACCATTTGATTGTGTTAACGCCTAATAGTTAATTATTTATTATGACGACCAGATGGCTTAGTGGTTTGTGTAACGGACTGTTAATCTAAAGGTCGCGGGTTCGATTCCGCTCAAATCCATCATTTGTGTGCATGAACATTTAATGTTTGATTTGGTCTGGGTGTTTCTATGTATAATATGTATGTATTTACAAAAAAAAGTATGTATGTACTATCAGTTGTCTAGTACCCATAGTACAAGCTTTGCTTAGTTTGGGACTAGATGGCGTTGTGTGAATGTGGTAGAATATTATATTATATTATATATTATTATTATATTATATTATTTATTATGGAACACTATCATATAATCCCATTGGCTGGGGCCTTCCGCATAACCTTCGTTAAGATACCGACATTCAATGACGCCATGACACATGGTGAAGCTCTTGCACATGGCCCTGCGTTTATGTCGGTTACCACGGTAAAAAGGAGCCCATATCCTTTTCCAAGAGATAAAGTATCTCCATGCCATTTTTTTTATTTTTATGTTAGAGGTGGCAGACGAGCAGACGGGTCACCTGATGAAAGTGACCATCGCCGCTCATGAACGTCTGCTACTCAGGAGTGACAAACGCGTTACCGGCCTTTTGGAAGGAGTACGCTCTTTTCTTGAAGGTCGTTTCGGTCCGGAAATACCGCAGAACGTTATTAAAATCGGTTAGCGGTTTAGCCATGAAAACGTAACAAACAGACAGTTACTATTACGTTTATAATATTAGTAGGGATTGCGTCCACGGGACTTTAAAATTAATAGCTTCAGTATCGAACACAGGAGCTCGCTTACATCGAGAAATATTTAATAAGCCCTGAAGCAATAATTACCTTATGGATAACACGCTAAGTGTGGACAGAAGCGATTCAGCGCAGGTTTTGCCGTCCTCATCGCCGCTGGAGTCGCTGTCTTGTTGCATAGAATTAAACTTAGCCAGAGACTTGGCCGTCAGTTTGTTATCGTTGCCTAAAACGTCCTTAGGGATGCCACTCTTGGGATGGATTTGTATTTTCTTTGGCTTCTGTTGAAAAAAAGAATGTGAAAAATCGTGAAAAAAGGTATACAAAGGACGCAACAATAGGTTTCTTTTGAATATGGAAGTTGACCATCAAAGTCATATTGAATCATTAAATGTCAAAGTTTCCTAGGTTTAAACTTTTATGTATAAATAATAAGTTAATAATATAGGAGAAGGTGGTAATGTGGCCCCTGCAGGTATATTGGCCCCCTAACATATTTATGATTTAGAAACGCGCCGTCTAATATAATGCACCTGCAATGCTGAGCTCTTGTGACAGCTACCGAATAGTAACCGACAAATCTGTGAGATGGCGTAACGTTCTTTTGTTATTTAAGGTCATTTGAAACACGCAACGGAAAACATTTAAAACCGCTCTGCATTTTATTCATTTTTTCCGGAAAATCTAAGGTTTAAGTTGAGTGATTTGGACATTGTGTTCGAGAAACGTTTTCCTACTGGATTTTGAAGGTAATTATGCAAAAACATTCGATAATTATATGTATTTTGGTTTGATTTATATATTCATTAATACTTGTAATTTGGCCCCCTCGCATTGTTCCTATTATGGTCCCGGGGGGCCATATAACATGTATGAGCGATATATCATTTCTGTATTCTTTTTAATTTTGTTTTCAGATGCCTCGAATCAGTCTACTACTCCCATCTTCGAAGAAAAGGAAAACATGGGATCCTGATGCAATGAAAATGGCAGTTGAAGCTGTAAGGACAAAGGTCATGGGCTACAAAAAGGCTGTACGCGGCCTTGGACGTGGTCAAGGTGGAATGGGCAGCGGCAGCAGTGCTTATCGACGACGCCAGAGAGTCAGTACATCCAGCGGTAGCTCTGAAAGTGACGCAGTCGTAGAAACTGACTCTGAATATGACCACCATGTCAATTCAGATAGGATCCCTGAAAGCTTGGATACGAGCTGCATATTTTGTGAAGCCAGTCATTTTAGCGACAGACGTGGTGAGGAGTGGATTCAGTGCAAATCTTGCACTTTATGGGCTCATACAGCCTGTGCAGGCCCTGAAGGCGAATATTATATTTGTGATTATTGTCGTTAAATTTCATTAAAGTCCAATACATTTAATTTGGCCCCCAGGGTGCCATATAACCCTCACTTAATGTCATGTTGTGAAAATTTTAGTTTTCAGAATAAATTAAGTTTTTGATTATTCTGTGGTTATTTTCTTTATTCTATAGTTAGGCATGCATAAGCCAATGAGTAAGGAACACTATGACGTACTTGCTTTATTTGTAAGTGTAGTATTTTTTACATGAGGCCTGAAAAACAAAGTAGGGGGCCACATTACCACCTTCTCCCACTAAGTATAATAATTAAAAGCCGTGTGGTGTCGTGGGACACCCGATAGTAACGAAGTTGTGACGATCGAGTAAAACTGATTCGACACGATTTTAATTACAACGCCATCTATGAAAGCGGCTATTACCTACATATTTTTCAGTTGCTTTCTATTTAAAACAATTTATACATTGGTAAAATCTCCTATCAATAGTCGCTAATGTTTTTTTTTTTATTTAGCTAGGATTCAAATGACACGCCATACATGTAAATCTGTTCAGGTGTAGTTACGGTGGAATAAAAAGAACCTAACGCACATATATACATGCATACCCTGAACTATAAAATTTAAAAACATAACACCCCTTTTTAGGATTGTGGGCATATTATTTACCCCACTTTACAAATAATAATAATAAGCCTTTAATTCCGAAGTTATATAGTTTTTTCCATTCTACTAAATAATACCTAGTTCACTAATCATATTATGTCCCTAAGTTCGGTGTGCCTTACGGCATAGGCCTCCTCCAACATCTTCCACTGTTTCCTATCGGTTGCAATTCTTAGCCAAAGTGGACCTAGAGTCAATTTCAGATCATCTGCCCATCTTCTCACTTTGCAACCTCGGCTCCTTGACCCATCTCTTGGATACCAGACCGTTTCCTGTTTGCTCCATTTTTCATGCTTACAACGGAGCTTATGCCCTGTCCATCTCCATTTTTGTCGGTCAATATGTGTTAGGATGTCTGTTAGTTTAGTTTTGCGTCTGATATCCACATTCCTGAATCTATCTTTTAACTTTAATCCCAGTATGCTCTTTTCCATGACTCGTTGACATTTTGCAAGTTTACATAAATTTAAAAAAAATAAAATAATGACCGTAAAGACACCCCAAACCACCACTTTACAAATACTACCTACTATTTGTATGACTGTGTGACAGTTTTGAAAGGCGTCTTTCAGATTTACCTTAGGCTCGTCGATAATTTTAGGATGGTTGTACAAATTAGAATATGTGGACAGTATGGTTTCACAGTCCCACTTCACTTGTGGTTTTACTTCTACATCCACCACATCTCCATCGGATTCCTCACTTATTTCTTGTAATCGTTGCATTCTGTAAACATCATTGTGTGGCGATAAATTTTTATGAAATTTTTGCGTTTTTAGTCAAGAGATATGGAGTCCTATCAATGGAAGAAAAGGTTTATTTTAAGGACAAGAATTTGCGAGATTAAATCTGATCGGAAGAGCTTCCCATTATTAAAGTTTACTTTATAATACGGCAACAAATACTAGTTACGCGTTAAAAGAACAAACCAATGAAAATTTTTCTTCAAACAAAACAAATGCATTTAAATATGGATCTTTAAAAAACTAAGTTTGTACATCGGGAAGCAAAATTTGATTACATGGATGTAACAGCCGAAAACTGGTCAAGTTTAATCTCGTCATGGTCTAAATAGACAGCTGGCGGGAACGGGCCGCGACTTAACGGAAGCTTTTAACGTTTTAATGTAAAACAACATTGTAACAGCTATATTAACAAGTACATTACAAGTTGCTCACGTCGTGTCGTTATTCCGACCCGCCAGATGTCTGACCCAACCTTAAACGAACCATCACTAATATAACTCACTCAAAATAGGAATCCATTTTACTGTTGTTTGAAAATCTTTTTGTAAATTTATATACAGAGTTTAAACCATGCAATTATACCTTATCCATGTAGTGGCGGATTAAGAATACGGAATGTCACTACCCTAATTCATCCCGTGGGTGTCGTAAGAGCCGACTAAGGGCGTAAAACAACGCAGGACACCAACACCTCAAAAACAAGGAAAACTTGACACAAACCCTATACCAACGCGTCTGGCCAGCGTGGTATAGTAGGCCAAAACCTCTTTTCTAAGGAGAGGCCTATGTCCAGCAGTGGACTATTAAAAGCCGTTGATGATGATGAAGAATTATACCTGGCGATTTCCTTCTCCTTATCAAGCTGGTACCGTCTCTTGGACTCCTCAAACTGCTCAGCGGCTTGTAATAACATATCATGCGTTTCAGGCATAAACCCTTCTATCTCTTCGAGGTCCAGAGCTCCCACTTCTGTATCATCATATTCGGCGAACATCTGAAATTGTTTTTATTGTAGTTCAACTGCATCACATCTAATTTCTCAGTTTTGAAATCAGAATCCTAATTAATTTTAATAATCCGAAGCCTGGCTTTTACTTCTTGGGTCTAAGATACAGCTATTTTGCGAAAAAAATTATCCTCCAAATAGACTTAAATTACTCTATAATTAATTAAGGAATTATTTTTTTTTTAAATTGAAATTGGGTCTCAAACTCAGTGTTGTGGTTTCGATCCCCACATGAGACGAAACTTTGTGTGATCCACAAATTGTCGTTCTGAGTCTGGGTGTTCTTTGTGTCCGTTTAATTTATATTTGTAAAGTCCCACGCGACACAGGATATATTACTAGTGCAGGAGATGTCTTTTTTAAAAAGTGAGTGGGTAATACGACGCCTTAGCTATTATGGTACTGCAGCTTAATTTAAGCGTTTTCAATTTGCGGCGTAGGTTCGATCTTAGGTCTCTGTACATTATTTTTATTTACTTATCTCTTTATTGTGACGCTAGAGTATTATTTGTACAGATTTCATATACATTTCGATATGAAAATAGGCGGTCTTATTACTCACGGCGATCTCTTACAGAGAACCTTTATACAGATCAATCAATTTAAATTTAAATTAGGGTTACCTGTGATGTATTTTTACAATATATTCAAAATGATGTACCGACCTTTTCGAATCTGTTGTCAAGCAATGTGAGTCCCTCATTTCGTCGAATCACGCTGGAAGACATGGAGTACTGAGAGAAGCGGGATTTCGTATCATCTTTGTCTCTGGCCTCCCACAAAGGCATACGGCCACCTCTCATAGGTTTGCCACCCTGAAAAATATTTATTTATTATGTATATGTTCAAAACAAGATATTAAAAATATTTCGAATGAATAATTACACCAGCATAACACAAACAAATGTGTTAATGTGTATGGCTGGAAAAGTGATGACAAATAAAAAAAAATGCAACATAACAAACCTGTGAATCACTATCATCATCAGAGTCCAGATCGGAAGCAAATGCCTTGTCAGATTGATCACCATCTGACATATTATCACCATCATAGTCCTCATCATCTTCCTCATCATCACCTGAAAGATTTTATAAAAATATGTTACAAAATACATATCAGCAACAGCTTTTAATAGTTCACTGCTGGACATAGGCCTCTCCTTAGAAAGGAGGTTTTGACACTTTGTATTCTTAATCCATCACCACACGGATACATTAACCCTTTAATAAAATTCTCTTATTAAAACAACAAAAAAATCATTATTCTTATTTGTGTCATAATCAATTTAATTAAATAAATTAGAATATTAACCAGTAACTTATAATTATAAATACTATCAATTTTGTTGACTTGCTATAATTAAGCTTTAAATAATTTATTTTACAGATGTTTAAAAATATTATCAAGAACTACTAAAAAGTTATGTAAGGGATTCATATAGTTTTTTTCTCAAAAACCCATTATATATGGATCCATAGGACATGGATGGATTCGGTGCGTAACTATTAATCATATTAACAAACCTTCAGCCATGGCCAGTTCAATAAAGTTGTCTTCTAACTGATTATCTGGATCTTCAAAGTCGAAGTCTTCATCTAAAGCTGCCACCACCTCAGGGTCCAAATCAAGACATAAACCTATAAAAACAAACATATTAGGACTAGACCGTCTTCGAATTTTCTAGAACTGCACTTTTGGGAATTAATCAAGATATTAGCAAGTTTATCATTGTTAATACTTGGATATATATATATATATCTTATATTTACTACAATAATATATTTTACTACATTCACACAACGCCATCTAGTCCCAAACACCCAGACCAAATCAAACATTAAATGTTCATGCACACAAATGTTTGACTTGAGCGGAAATCGAACCCGCGACCTTTGGAATAGCAGTCCGCTACACAAACCACTATGCCATCCGGTCGTCAAACATAGATAGATGGTCTATCTATTTCTAGGATCTTCAGTGTAGGCTAAGGACAATAGAGTCCAATACCATGGACACTATTTAAAATACTACTGCTCAAAAAATTGTGCAGTGGTTAGTTTATGTGCAGTAAAAACATGTTCACTTTTTAAATGAATAATTTCATAAATTTATTTGATCATAAATCTTGTAGTAGATTAATTCTATTTTTCTTTGTTGTTTGGTTTATGTTTTGCAGGATTGATCCAATCCTAATCAAAATTGAAGTGTTGATTCTAATCTATCAGTATTTATAATTTTACTAACTTCCAGCAGCAACCTTTTTAACATAATGATTAAAAATCCTTCACTTCAGCATAAATACATAATAGTTTTTTTTTTACTATATGTAAATGTTATGTCTATAGTCCATTAAATAGCTGCACCCTGACCAATGAGGTGTCAAGCTTTTGTACGAAACAATAATTTCTTGGAACCTGATTGGTCAGGGGGCGGGGCTTGATTTATTTGTCACTATTTTCTTAAAGCGAATGTGCTTTCAGTTAATTGATATAATTATTTGACCAGTTATTTGATTGAATGTTTTTTATACAGCACGGGTTATTTTAAATATAGCACTTACCTTGTGAAGCAGCCTTGTTAAGTAGACCTACGTCTTCTTCCACCTCTGATGCAAATACGGAACTAGGTAATGTCAAGGACTCAGTCACTGGTATTAATGATGGTTCTTCTCCCTTTTCAGCTTTTTCCTTCCTTTTGTGTATCGGTTTCTAGAAATGATCAGATTATGTGTATCAATGTCTAAGAACATGGGCCAACTAACGAACGCAGCAGTCTAACTAAACCAACCGTGGCTAGAGAAGAATGAACAAAATCAATAGGTTTTACATATCTAGGAGTTGATGATGGATAATATGGTGGATAATTCAGCATGGACAGTCTGTGACCATAATTGCTGCATAAACAGTTAGGTTTTATAAAACGCAAATGTTTCATAGTTATTATATAAAGAATATATGTTTTCATCTATGAGATAAAATTTTACTTAAGATAATAATGTTAAGTACTTAGTTAATTAGCTAGTTTTTCTACTTCATAATACCTATAAAGCATTTTTTTTTTTTGACAACTGTCATTAGGAAAATATATTGTGTCACAGGTGACTTTACAAACATACATGAATCGGACACAAAGAACACCCAGACTCAGAACAACAATTTGTGGATCACACAAAGTGTGATCCCATGTGAGGATTGAACCCACAATGGCAACCGCATAAACCACTATGCCATCCGTGCAGTCAGTATAGTATTAATTCCCTTATTAAAAATGCCTTTGATTTCTAAATAGTGCAAAGCGAAGCATGATCATTGATCATACTTATTAATTTCTGCATTGTAAAGTCGTACGATAGATTTAGTCAGTAATGCTGCCAGTCAGTTTTCTAGGCAGTAATGTTCTGAATACTTACAGGCTGTACAACCAGTGTAACTTCTCTTGTGTCTTTGAGATGTTGAAGGTAATTGTAATCATCATCAAAGTATATCCCATATTTCATTTGTTCCTCTCTACGTTGTTCAATGGTTAATTCCTGTAACAAACAAGAAATAATTTTGTCATCTAATCTATACTAATATTATAAAGCTGAAGAGTTTGTTTGTTTGTTTGTTTGTTTGAACGCGCTAATCTCAGGAACTACTGGTCCGATTTGAAAAATTCTTTCAGTGTTAGATAGCCCATTTATCGAGGAAGGCTATAGGCTATATATCATCACGCTAAGACTAATAGGAGCGGAGTACCAATGAAGAATGTTTTAAAAACGGAGAAAATTTATTACTATTGAGAGACGCAGACGAAGTTGCGCGGGTCAGCTAGTATTATATAAAAACGTTAAGTTTGTTTGTGTATGTTTCAAAAACTCGAAAAGTTCTGCACCAATTGAGCTAAAATTTTGACATGATATACAAACCGCTTCAAAACATTCTTATACATTTTTTTTGCATCAGCTTTGTTGCTCATTTCTCATCAATGCAACCACAATGTGCCGCATTATATTTAATGATTTTATAATTATCTAAATTTGGTGTTCTTTAAATTTAAATTCAACTTTCTTTAACTGTAAACTTGCTTTTGCTTTGAATTATACATAATACTGCATTAAAAAAATTGGTAAAACGCTCTTCGCCATTCAAAACTTTAACAGGAAAATGGGTCAGTTACGCTCTTTTGATGGTCCCATAGATCATCACATCATAGTAAATAAGCAAGAAGATCATGTGTTTAATAAATCTCTTCTACAGAACGACATCAGCGTGGTCTATTTACTACTTCTTACAGGTTGGTTTTCTTTCTTCTGAGGGACATTAGCGCTGACGGGCACCAAAACACGCTGTGGAGCGGTCTCATCGGCTGCTAAAGGATCTCTTTGAGAACGATGGACGAGATTGAAAGTTACTGCTTTCTTCCGATCTATGAATTTCTTTTTTGTCTTAGGCTGAAAATAGGTTATAAAGGTTTAATATAAAAGGAACTAACTATAATTTAGAGATAACTTACAAAGCAACATCATAAAGTTATGATTTACCATCTTGAACGCTTATTTTATTTGTGATAGTAATTATTTGGCAATTTAACACAATATACGCTCATAACATGTGTTGTTTTGAATCGTTTACGTCAAAAGGACAGTGTTGCCAACATTTACATTATCTCTCGACACTGACTCGAGCACGAAAAACTATCGTATGCGTATCGTAAACGTATCGGAGTCCACGAATCAATAACGAAGTTTTACGATAGGCAGCAGCACGAAGCACTAACGTCACGTATCGAGATCATATAATCGTTAGTGACTACCTATTTTTTGGCCATTAAAACAAAATATGGTTAAATAAACACAAAAAAATATAAAATGAGGAATAGGAGATTTTAAAATTCTACAAACATACTACATTTTTGTAGAATATAAATGATTATTATGACATTTTTTTGGTTTCTGAAGAACACGGCTACACTTGACATAGCGTCTTACATCACCAAGGTGAAGTTTCTTCAGTTATAAAAGTTTTGAAACTTCAAGAAGCATTTTATAGAAAATTGTTAGGTTGCAAGCTTCCATCAATAATAGTACTAGATTCCCGATAAGCGCTTCAAAAACGGCCCGAAAAATAAGAGCACAAAAGTGTTTGTGCTCTAATTTCAAATTAGTATAGTCCAATCATAGCCAACAATAGGACGTCAAAATGCCGCAATGCGCGTTCGAAAACTGTGTAAAAAACCACCGTAACACCAAGGTTTTGTAAGGAATATCTTTTTTTCAGTAAGTTAATATCAATAAGTGTTTTTTCATAATATAATAAGTATAAACAGAATTAAACTGTAAATATAATTCAATTAGCGAATGTTATAATTGTTTGGCCAATGTTGGCTACAACGCATCAATTATTGTATCAAACATCGACTGTTCTTGAACAGGGAATGCATGGAGTAGTGTGGTTATTTTGTAATGTTATTTTTGTTTGTAGATTTGCTAGTGACTTATAGACTTTTAAGCTATAGACTTTTGTAATAAAACCTTAAATATTCCCGCATTTAGAGAATCAGAATGCACAGTAGAATTTATTAAGATACTAAATGATCTTTTTGATATCCTAAATACTAGAAATCTTAAGGACTTTGGATTCAAACACCCTTTGAATAAGGGTAGTTCACAAAAAATATTATCGTTCTTGTCCTAAATTAAAGACTACTTATTGTCATCATCAATTAATGTTACAAATAAAAATTCTTAACAGAACTTCAAAATTGGTTGGTTAATTTGATGTGGAATTTAGAGATATTTTATTTAGTATAGTATATCTGTGCGGGTCCTGCTTTTGGTGTCAGGGCGGGTCGCTTAAAGCATTAAATGCCTACATTTTTTTGCATTAGCTTGTTGGTTTGGATGCATTTTATTCGCGAATTTATTCACTCGCGCGTAGTTTTTAATTTAAGATATCTCCTAACATATTCATTTAAATTGTATGGTGTAAGGGGCTATTATAATGTGTATGAATTGCTTAAGATAACTAACGTATTTATTTTGATAACGATTAATACTGTATCCGTCTAAATAGCTTTTGCAAATACCAAATTATATGTGATAAAGTAAATACACATTCATATTACACAAAAACGTAACGTCAATAAAATAATAAGTAATGTAAAGATACTAACAAACATACATAGATGTCCGAAACATAAAAAGTAAGCAACTAATATATTACGTTCATATTATAAATTATTTTAGTGTTCAACGCGACTCCATACCTCCTGTAGTAAAACTAGAAGAAGCAAAAATAAAACAAAACAAAACGATGTAGCTCTCAAGGCAATAACGAGAAAAAGTACTTTATTTTTTGCACCATAAGGTTGATTTTACACTAAATGTTATTTAAGTTATGTCTTTTCATTTGAAAGTGATAGGAGTAATTTATTGCTTTGCTCGTTTTTTGCAAGGAATGATCGTAAGTATTAGATAAAATTTGGAAGAGTTGTGACTTTATTACTGTGTACCATAGTTGTAATTAGGTTGAACTTAAAACTATTTTAAAACTTTTCCATCCGTTTGTTGGTAAACAAATGTAGCTGCATAAGTATATATTCACGCGGACAGCTTTGACTTTGTACGTGACCCTTTATCTAGTTGCTATTGTTGATCGAAGGTTGCAAGGCTGTACACTGATATCCATACCAACTGGCATCGATGACTGTCACTAGTATATTTCTATTCAATTTTAAAATTTAAATATTTCTTAAACTTAAAAAGATTTATATAATAAAAATGTTTTATAAAATTAGTAGGGAACAAAACCCCGTGTTGTGTTCACGATATTTTTATTTCGATCACCACAGAGTTCCTGCGCTACAAAAATATTAATTGTACTACGTCGTGTTCGGTTGCTTTTTAGTGTTTTAAAAGTCATCATGAGGACAAGTCATTTACAATACGTGGCTATGGTGGAATTGATGTAAAGGTGAGGGTATATAAAAATTATTATGTGTATTATTAATCGGCAATCGGAATTTCTTTCCAGTAATGGTGATTTGTCGAAGCCTTCTGGCGGTCCTCGAGGTTGGCATTTCATTGAAATGAAATGGAGAGAATTGACCAACAAATTGAATGGTGATGGAACAGGCGATCCTAGGTCTGAAGAGAAATGGCACAAGGATTGTTATTTCAAGTGTTTTTTTTTTTTATTGGAACTTGGAATTGGAAATTGATTTAGTACATTTTTACTTCTTTAGCTTGAAATAAGTTTTTACTCCTTTTTTTATTATTTTATGAGAATCTTTCGATTGCTTATTTGCTATAAAAAAAAATTGTGGATCAACGTATGGAGTGATTTAAACAATAGAAAGGGTGAGGTTAACAAGTGAAGAGTTATTTAAAAATACTGAGGAAATGAGAGTAAGAGATTATGAGATAAGAGAAAGAGGGAGGCAGAGGGATGTAGAGCTGCAACTGCAAGGTGCTTGGCTGGAGTTCATGAAACAGGCTATGGAAGCGTTTGCTAGGTATATGGAAAAACGTCAGATTAAACTTGTCTTATTCTTTAATCACTTGTTATTAATAATTAACAAGTCGGCTGCGATATTTCCGGACCGATACAACCTTTAAGAAAGAGCGTACTCCTTCCTCAAAGGCTGGCAACTTCACGCTTGTAACTTCTGAGTTGCAAGCGTTCATGGGCTGCGGTAGTCGCTTTTCTATCAGGTGACCCGTCTGCGCGTTTGCCCCCTATTCCAAAAAAAAAGAAAATAATAATAATATTTAACTATTAAATTTTATATACCCTATACCAACCCGTCTGGCCAGCGTGGTATAGTAGGCCAAAACCTCCTTTCTAAGGAGAGGCCTATGTCCAGCAGTGGACTAGTATAGGCTGTTGATGATGATGATGATGATGATTAAATTATATTGAAAATTAAAATTATTTGCTAAGTCTATTAATTGCATTTATTAACATATTTCTAATTGCCCTTCTTCTGAGTAAGTCATCTCCTGTATTTCTTTCGTGAAAAATATATTCAGATCTTTGTTGTGGCATCCTAGGGTCTTGGGGTTCTGAAGCGGTGCGTAGTATAGTGTGTGATCTTTGCATAAACAGCGCCATCGATTTTTCAATTACCCAAAAGTATTTTCTACTGACACCCTGGCCTTTCTATCTACAGTTGTATATCTCTGTGCTGAAGGATCATTAACCATGTTGTGAATAGCCAGAATCACCTGCAAATGATTAAATATGTATGTATGAATAAATAGTGATCATGTAGGGAGGTCAATTTGTTTTGTCAATAAACTAGTATTACACACCTAAATTCACCTAATAACCACACTTGCTCATTCTTCGATGAAACTCTTTCATGTAATTTGCTTTCTACAGTAAAATAAATGTTCTATTTGTTCATTAGGTGTAAATATATGGAAATGACTTGCATCAATCAAACTTATCACGCCAGGGAAACCATATATAGCAAAGAATCTGTAAAATAAAAATACATTTTAATAAGATTACAGTGGCTCATGATTTTTCAACAGCCTATAATAGGACATAGGCCTCTCCTTAGAAAGGAGGTTTAGGCCTACTAATGCTGACTCTTGTTTGCCCTAAATATTTCGCCATTCCCACTATACGCTTGTATGATCCAGTGGCGCAAAAATATAGTGTACATAAAACCTGTAACATTTAAATTATTAGAAAACGATTTGTGATTAAAAACACAACATTGAGTACTTCATATTCAGTTAAAATATTTAAATTATCCACCTTGAGCTCTAGAGTAATCCGGTGGAACTTGATTTTAAAAATGTTTTTTGACGGAGTTTCTCACAGAGAAATATAAAAGATTCTTTGCTTAAGCAATGTCTTTTTAGGGTTCCGTACCTCAAAAGGTAAAAAGGAACCCTTATTTGAACACTTTCTTGACCGTCTGTCCGTGTGTTGACCACCGATTTTCTCAGGAACGGGTAGAACTATCAAGCTGAAATTTATACCAGATATTCTATATCTGGTATAAATTTGTATGTCCCTATTAGGTTTCCAAAAATCAAGGTCCTGAGTCAACACGATAAAAAGATGGGCAAATTTCGATTTTTGCGAAAACTTGCAAGTACCAAAATTTACCTTAATTTTCAACTTATTTTATTTTTCAGAATTTTCTTTTTACTTGTGCTGTAGGACCTTGCTTTTAACCAAAATTGACAATTCTAGGTCAACCGGAAGCATCCTATACATTTTGGGTCGAAAACCTAAATGTTAGTTCCCGTTGACCTAGAATCACGAAATTTGGCAAAAAGAAACGTCTTACAGCACAAATAAAGGAATAATTCCAAAAAATTGAAAATTAAGATAAATTTTGGTACTTACAAGTTTTCGCGAAAATCTACGTAAAATCTGGGTAGGTACGGAACCCTCGGCGCACGAGTTCAACTCTTATCTGACAGGTTTTTTTAATTCAGTGTTATTAATATTTGAAGGATAATCTATCTTTCTTCGTTTAGCTCTGCGCCTAGTTTCACCAAAAAAAACAATTAGATTAATATATATAGAGGTACACACTCAGTACATTACATATTTTTTATACTCGTAATAGAAGTTGCTTCAAAAGTTTTGACGAATGTTTTAGTTTACACTAGTTTATAGCTAAAACAAGATTTGCTTACCTAGAATCCCGTTGTTGAATTCCCTCATTTTCAAGTAAACTTGCTACAAGAACATAATACCTACGTAAGACTACGTTGGAAAACGGTACGGTCTTTGCATTTTATTGTAACCAAAGATAAAACAGTAAATACTTGACAATAATAGTTTTGAATGATGTTTATTGTTTCGAATCTTTTCTCACCGCCAAATCTTAGAATGAATGAATTTATGTATAATGTTGGGATTTAGCACAGATTCACATGTTGACACGATTCGATAGTGAAGAACTGATGACAAGAATAAAAGGAGGTTATATTTCAGTTTATGTTTATTATGTATTTTTTTGAGAAGTTGATTGAATTCGTTATTTCAATCTTCAATTAATAAATTTTGCTTAAAAAATAAAATCACTAAGTAGGTACCTAGTCCAATTCCTCCAAAATAACAACTTGCTAGGGATGAAGAAATAAATGATAGGTATGGATCGTAACATTTTATTTAACATACACAAACAAATACATCAAGTTTACCATAGGCATCAAAATCCGTTGCAGAAATCTGTAAACAATATTATTATCTACCTTTTAAACTAGGTTTGTCCCTGTATCACAAGAGCCAGTGTTAGGATATTAGGTTAGTTTTGAAAATCTGATTTATGCAAAAAATTAATTTAGGTTAGGCGTATAAAAATATTAAAGTGCTTGTGTACGTTACTACTACTTATTTCCTAATGTAGGTGAGAATGTTCCGTATTTGAATAATCTTGTTGTACAAACCGTGTTTTTAAGTGTATCAATAATGTGAAATACTATTTTATCTATTTCATTTCATTTAAACCATTTCATTAGGTACTTTTAACCATGTGTTTGTTCATGATATGTTTAGTTGTCTTTTAATTTTCCTACAGATGTGGGTCCCCAATGCAAATAATTGATGATCAGCAAATGAAGTTGTATGTTGAATTACTGGGAGAAGTTCCCGAAGAAATCTAAATCGAATGCTTGACGATGGTGAATGCTTACGCTACGATAGTAAATTCAAATCGTTCGTGTTGAAAAATTCATTACTTTTACGCACGATACGCTGCACAAATTTCATAAAAAAATTTGACAAAGGCGATACAAATACTTTTTTACGAGTTCTTCGTACTCGAGGCAATTCAACATATAACGCACACGGGTGACGCCTCCGCTAGGAGTATATGTGTTCTGTTTTATTCTTGGCAAATTGGCAATACGATTAGAAAAAAAAGCAGCTGTCAAGTGTCAAAGTAATATAACCACAAATAATGTTTTTCCTCAAAAATTCAAATATTTTGCTATTTAATTACAGAAACAGTGTTACAAAATGGGCAAGAATAAATTATATCCGCTTAAAAAGTACTGCTGCACCAAAAACGAAAACATATTCTCATACGATTCTCTCTCCAAATACAAAATTCCCGGCTAGATCTAGTAACGCTATAAAAGAACAAATTCAGAAGGTAAATGGATGAATAATAAGATAAAAAACATTTATTTAAAAAAAAAACTTATTAGTTGTCAAAAAATTAAAAAGAATTACAAAATAAAGTTGTTATTTCATTATTATAAAGAACTGTGTTTTTCAGACTGCACAATTCGCAGAGCTCTATAATTGGCAAAGAGATAATCTGAAAGGTCCAGAATTTGTTCTTCATGATGGTCCTCCTTATGCTAATGGAGATTTACATATGGGTCATGCTGTTAACAAGGTAAATTTATTACATGCAGCAAATCATATGTTTTATTTGATTGTACTACTCTATTTATATGTTATTGTAGACAGGATTAGGTTTATATCAGATTGTCCTTCGGAGTTGAGAAAGAAGTCAATAATGTGACCCATAATTTTGAGAACATAATACAGGATGGTAGCTATCATCCTGCAGCTAATGTTATCACAACTTATTGCATTAGAACGGACCGACAGGATGATGATTTAAAAATTCAAACTGAACATTATTGGGTCTGGGCAGTCTTGGTTTAATGTTTGTAGTCTAATAAGTTTAGATATCTGTGCTGTTTTACTTGTTATTATATATTATTCTATTGTTTGAAATAAAAAAAAAATACATATACAATAAGATATGTGATTGTAAAATACGTAGATACAGAATTTAAGACTAAAATGACACATTTACTTAAGGAAGCCACTAATTTAATTTATTGATATCTGATTATTGACTTTATACTATGTATTTTTTTAGATAATTAAAGACATTAACAACCGCAGCCAAGTTCTTCAAGGCAACAGAGTACATTACATCCCTGGTTGGGACTGCCACGGGCTCCCTATAGAGTTGAAAGCCTTACAGAAAGCTAAAAAGAGTAAAAAAGAGAAACAAATATCAGATCCAATTCATATCAGAGAAATTGCTCGGACATTTGCTTTAGAAACTGTTCAACGGCAAAAAGATGCTTTTAACAGATGGGGTGTCATGGCCGACTGGGATGAAAACTGCTATTTAACACTAAATAAAGCTTATATACAAAACCAGTTGCGTCAGTTTTATAAGATGTATAAGTCTAAGTTGATATTTCGCGCATTAAAGCCCGTATACTGGTCTCCATCATCTAAGTAAGTTTACTTTTTATATTATTATGTTGGTGAGTATATATCCTATGATGATATAAAAAGTAATCTGTTCAAATCATCATAGGATAAATATACAACTGCACGGATGGCGGAGTGGTTTAAGCGGTCGCCACGCCGCTTCCTACTACGCCGAGTGTTGTGGGTTCAAACCCCACATGGGACGACACTTTGTGTGATCCACAAATTGTTGTTCTGAGTCTGGGTGTTCTTTGTGTCCATTTCATGTATGTTTGTAAAGTCCCCCGCGACACAGGATATATATATTCCTAATGCAGGTGTCTTTTCAAAAAAAAAAAAAAAAAATAGGTTTACCATTACAATCAAGACACAAATAACATAAATATGTTATCCATAGTAAACTATTATGAAAGATTATAAAAACTTAAAAAAAATGCATCTATATTAACCAGGTATAGATCTACAAAAGATGTAGTTTTTTTTTTTACAAAGGAAGTAGATTATTTCACTTTATTTAATGGTAATGTGTTGAACACCACAAGTGTGACAAACATAAATCTGTGGAATCTAGACATGCAGCTTAACATTAACACATGAAATTTGGTTTATACGAGTATATTAATCTAAGGGAGATAAACTATAACCCCAAATTATACAGTTAATGAGATATCAACAACTAAAAGGTGGCATTTTTATCACTGACTGATTGACTGTTATAATTTACTTTGAAATTTAATTTTGTGGAGTCATTATTCAAAAACTTACCTTAATAAAAAAAAAGTCACCATTCTTGTGTTTATTTAATCTTTAAACCTACTTTTCTTTCCAGGACTGCATTAGCAGAGGCTGAGCTAGAATATGATCCTCATCACAAAAGTGTAGAGGTGTATGTCACATTTCCTGTGGAGAATTTACCCAGCGTGGTACAGCATGCTACTGAAGGGTATATTAATTCATAATTTAAAGTTTTGAATCTTTTATTTCAGTGACCAGTGAGTGACTAGCTTTTCAACATTTTCAATTTTTTTTTTGCATCAAATATTTGATGTATTTTTTTTCTGATAACACAAAGTCATCAATTGCTACTAAAAAAAACAAAAAAAAAACGTTCTACGAACTAGCTTAACTCTTTTGTCTACAACTACAACAGATATTTTTTGCATTAACTGCATTCAATTCGTCTTCAACCTTCGCAAATACGACCATGTTTCCTCCTCTCGTCATGAATTGAACTGGCTCACGATTCGTCAGCGCCGTCAGCTGCACGCCCTTACCACCCTCTATTCCATACTCAACTCACCATTTCCCCTTCCTACCTAACATCCTCATTTCATTTTCTATGTGCCAATCAACAGAACTCTCCGTTCATTAAACAATCCACTTCTGTTATGCCCCACTCATACTTCCGCATGTGTCCACTCTTCGTTCTTAATCCAATCTGTCCTCCTCTGGAACGCTCTGCCTTTGGAAATCAGGATAGCACCCAGTCGCCTCTCATTTAAGACGAAAGTCCGAGCTCGAATTCTCGACACTCTAGCAGACTCATCACATCCCTAACGTCTTATATGTTATATGTATATATACGTATGTACTATATGTATGTATGTACCCCAGCAAGTATATATATGTATGTGTATCTCAGTTCAGTATGTATGTAACCTAATTTTAATTTCATGCACCTACTCAGACATTTCCCCACCACCCAAAGGTAGACTGGGAGAAAATGCCTTTGGCATTAAGCCCGCCATTGTACAATGATTTGTTGTTTGTGCAAAAAGAATTAAATAAATAAATATTTATTTAAATTACCTGCTTTAAAAAAAAGATTTTTAATTTGAACACTTAGAATATATATTTTTACTTAAAAGTTAATGCGCAAGTTGTACATAGACAGACTTAATGCCATGGGGCACTCTCTCCCAATCGACCTTTGGGTGATGTGGAAATATGATGCTCTAGGTGCAAAGATAAAATATTGACATGTAGTTTTGTGCATTCAGATAAAAAAAACTGGTGTAGTGGCAATATTTAAATGCCCAAATATTGATTGTTAGGTCTGACTGAAGAGTGGTTCTCCACACAGGTGTCTTGTTGTGTGATCATAGTGGAATGTCTACAATTTAATATTTTTTTGCCCCTCTAGGAGGAATGTTTCTGCAATAATTTGGACAACAACTCCATGGACTCTTATTGCGAACCGTGCAATCTGCTTTAACTCCCAAATGAATTATAGTTTAGTTAGTTTAAGCAACAGACCTGGAGAACTGTTTCTGGTTGGCAGTGCACTTATTGAAGGGTTAGAGAAGATATTGGCAGTTGAGATTATCAAAGAGTTTGAATTCAACGGTAAGTGAGGTTGAAAGAGAGAGTCTGTTTTGTGTTTGTACTTCAAGATATGGCAGGGCTCCGAGTGATCAGTTATTATCCTGTTATGTTGCGTACTCACTCTACCCTAGTGATCCTTACATCAAAATGAAGGTCGTTGGTTCGATTCCCACCACAAATAATTGTGTGATGAGCACGACCATTCCTTCTGTGTTTGGGTGTAATTTATGAATGATATAAATTTAAATAAATCAAATTAGGTATATATTTATGTTCCCAAATAAACGCTTTTGATGAAACCAATATTTTTCAGGACAGCATCTCCAGGGAACTCAATATAGGAATAAGTTAGTTGGCCAAACTCTTCCTTTCCTCGAAGGAGACCACGTGACAGAAGGCAAAGGAACAGGTCTAGTACATACGGCGCCAGCGCACGGTCCTGACGATTTTCTAATTGCTTTGAAGAATAATATGACAGTGGTGAGTTGTTGTGGTGGAAGGAAAAAATAATAGCTTGAGGACTTTGGCTGAACGAACGGCGTAGTTGTTTAAACGGTCGCCACGCCGCTTTCTACTGCGATGAGTGTTGTGGGTTCGATCTCCAAATGGAACAATATTGGGTGTGATCCAAAAATTGTTATTGTGTGTTTGGGCGTTCTTTCTGTCTGTTTCATGTGTATTTGTAAATTACCTTGCGAGACAGGATATTCCTAAGGCAGGAGTTTGTGGTCTACAATGAAAGAATAAAACAAAGTATATACTGTACATTCATCATAATGAAATGATGAATTTTAAGATCTGTGTGTGTGTGTGTGTGTGCGTGTGTGTGTGTGTGTAAATATGTAAGGCTGGAGTATTGGTATAAACGATTAGAGGACACCCAATGCTTTACGTCACACAATAGCTTTTAAGAGTGTTTCCGTATCCGAGTTTTTTTTTTGAACTCTAAAATGAGCTTCACGAATTATTCGACAGGAATGCAATGTAGATGAATCAGGCCGCTACTTCAACTTAGATCCTGAAATCAATGGTCTATACGTCCTTTCGGAAGGGCAAGAAGCCATCATCAACCGACTGGGTGATGACGTCATTCGCCGCGGGGAGTACATCCACTCGTATCCTTTAGACTGGAGGACGAAGAAGCCGGTCATCATCAGAGCTAGTCAACAATGGTTTATCGATACCGCTGCGCTGAAGGAAAAAGCATTGGTGAGATTATTTATTTTTACTTTAGGTTTTTTTATATAAACACACCAAAAATTAAAAAACACCAAAAATTAAATCCAAGTTTTTTTTATAGGTACTCGTCGACCTATAAAAAAAAACTTGGATTTAATTTTTGGTGTTTACTCCTTAAGAATCGATTTTCATATAAGGCGCCGGTTAACAAAATATGACGAGTAAAATTTAATGATCGAATGACTTCGTTACGTTTTTTAGTTCTAAATGTAATTTATAGATGGCGGTTCAACTGTTTTCTTTTACGTGGTTGTAATAATATTTTTTGTGAGTTTGTTATTACTTCTATGATTGCAGTTTGGCGAGTAGTCCACTACAAATTTAAAACGACATTAACTCCAAAATAAATGGCAATTAAAACATGACATAATTATTTTACTAACATTTATGTAGATGGCGCTGGCACTAAATTTGTGTGCAGCCGATGTACACAGGGTATGCGTTCTTAACGAGTAAACTCCGATCGTGAGTCGGAGCTGACACACACACTTTTTTTTTACTCATAATTTGATTTTACATAACTCGTTTTTGTTCTAGGCAGCTCTTGAAAGGGTAGAGATTTTGCCTCCATCCAGCAGCGAGCAATCTCGTCAAGGGTTTAGAGCTCAGTTGGAGAAGCGGCCATATTGGTGTATATCCAGGCAAAGAGCATGGGGCGTGCCTATACCCGCTGTGTATAGCAGGGATAATGTTGTCGTGGATGAGTAAGTACTGTTCATATTATCACGATTCAACATGAAGCTACGAGAGAAAGAGTTCATTAACCGCGAAATACCGCGTAATAATTATAATAATAGCGCAGGAGTGCACAGCGAATGAACTTTATTACTAAATGCATAAGATCGAAAATAGATGTCCCTCGAAGTTGTTTACATTTAAAACGGTCTCTTGATTCTAGAGAACACCTTATAAGAACTTTCTACTACTAAATGACATTTGTCATTTGAGGCCTAGCGAGTAGTATAAATTACCCTTTTTCCTGGGAAGATTAAAAAAGATCCGCTAGGGGCAGCACCGGTGGGGGGGTTCATATGTTTTGAATTCTCTAACTTTCGGCGACTGCAGAAAACATCATGGCCTACCTTTATCAAATCAAAAGGATCTTTAAGCAATTATGATTGTTCTTTTTAGGCGTATCATTGAAAAGCTGTGTACTCTCATAGAGACTGGAGGTCCCGACGTGTGGTGGACGTGTGACGTCGAGGAATTACTACCCGATGATGTCATTAAAGAACATAATTTAGATAAGAAACTTGTTACCAAAGGAGAGGTATGATTTTTGTACAGAACTTCGATATCGCCTAGTAAATAAGTACTTGGGTTGTGGATTATATTAGGAAACAATTATTAATTCTCAGGATATAATGGATATATGGTTCGACTCCGGCATATCCTGGAGCACGCTAGAGGGTCGCACTGCGAGCTTGTACTCCGAAGGTGTTGACCAGCTCACCGGATGGTTCCAGGCTTCACTGTTGACTTCTGTTGCTCTCACGGGTGAAGCACCTTATAAGTAAGTTTTAGATTTTACACGCTTTATATTAGCTTCACTTGTATGTTTGTTTGTAACCGACTCCTTTGGGCGTGATTTTGACTAACTTTAAACGGTCAGAATTCGTTCAAACTTTGTAGATATATCAAGGACCGATGACAATACACTAATAAAAAAAATAAAACAAATGTAACAGTTTTAAAAACTAAAAAACACGCTTTTAATCTATACATCTATATCTATACATCTATACAAATCTATATCTATACAAATAAATATAATTGGAGTGTCTGTTTGTAATATTAAAATAACCGCTTTTTACTAAATGCATATGTATGTTTACACGGTACATATGCCAAAATAATTTTTTTTACAATTTTTGTCTGTCTGTCTGTTTGTTCCGGGTAATCTCTGGAACGGCTGGGCCGATTTCGACAAGACTTTCACTGGCAGATAGCTGATGACATGAGGAGTAACTTAGGCTACTTTTTTTAGACTAGCTTCGCCCCGCGGCGTTGCCCGCGGTTATAACAACAAACGCGGGTAACACCGCGGACCTCAGCTAGTTATGGGGGCGTGGGGTGCTTTTTACTATTGACAACAGGCACAAAACGCTTTTTTTTTTCAAATTTATTAAAATTTATTTTCTATATTTTAGTTTGGTTTTCTATAAAAAGCGTGTTTTTTAGTTTTTTTAAATTTTTTTTTACTCTATGTGTGATTTTAAACTCTAAAAGTGCATATAATTCTTTTGTACTTTTGTATGACAATGAACTCGAACTAAACCGCTGGACAAGTTTTGAACAACTTTGTCGCCGACATTTTTAACTTTGGAAGAGCCATGTTCCGTGGCGTTTACCCGAGTGAGTGCGGTTATTGGAGCTCAAAAACCCCTCGCCCCTTGTTTTAAGGAGGCGGGAACAATTTGCTTTCCACTTTATGTTATTAACTCTAAACCAATCGTCCTATTGAAGTCCACTGCTTAACATAGGCCCCTTTCAATGTGCACCATAGCCCTCTGTCCTCGAATTTCAATCTTTCCAGCTCCCTTCCTCAGGTCATCAGATCATCTGGCTAAGGGCGTCATACCCATTCTGGAAGTAAATATAAGTTATTGGTTTCAGATCAATTTTCGTCCACGGTTTTGTGGTGGATGACAAAAAACGCAAGATGTCCAAGTCTATAGGGAATGTCATAGATCCAACCACGATCATACAAGGCGGGAAGGATAAGAATAATCATCCTGCCTATGGTGTGGATACACTCAGGTAAGGCTGCTGGATTGTAACGATTGAACATACCTGTGTATGACCAAAACTGTGGCGCTCAATACTTATACCAGTTAATAGTTTCATGTCAGCCTATTTACAAAACATTAGGGTTATCAATCAATTTTGAAGTTTAATTTGTCAGTTTAATAAGAGATTTGTATTGTAATAATTTCATTTTTTTTCGCTAATACTGATTTATGTAATACGTTATTCACGGGGTCCATTTAATTTTATTTAAAATATGGCCCCTTCTTTCTGCAACACTCTGTATAATTTAATTTTTATCTGTCTATATGTCTTTTTGCAAGAAGTGACAACAGACACCAAACAATATTTTTTACAGATGGTGGGTAGCAAGTCACTCCACACAACACTCTCAAATCGTAATCAGCAAGAAACTTCTAGATGACTGTCAAACGGAATTGATTCGCATCAGAAACATCATGAAATACCTTCTCGGCGTCATCAATGACGTTCCAAAGACGGTTTTTGTTACAGAACCAACCCTTAATTACTTTGACAGTTATATGGTAAAGGAAACACAAGAATTTGTCAAGCAAATTAACGAAAATTATAATAATTTTAGATATAACCACGTAGCTCAGAGCGTTCTATACTTTATAAGTAATAAAGTCTCAGCCTTGTATTGCCATTGTATAAAAGATAGATTATACTGTTCTTTGAAAAATTCTAATGATAGAATTGCGGCGCAATTAGTTGTTCATTCCATTTTAGTTTCTTTATGCAAAGCTTTAGGGCCCATTTTACCCCATTTAATAGAAGAAGTGTGGCAACACCATCCTTTGTATGAAAAACCTTTCTATTTTACTAAAAATATTTCGCTTGTGAAGGTAAACGATGTTGACACAACAGTAATGGACGCCATTTTAGATTTGAAACGGGATATTTGTGTGTTAGCGAAAAATGAAAACTTAAAAAAGTTTTCAGCAAATTTAATATTAAATTCTGATTATTATGACAAAATAAGTGTTTTAAATACTTCTGATGGTATAAACGATAGTGTGTTATGTGAAATTTTAGAGCTGTCATCTGTCAGTTTAGAAGTTAGAAATGGCGGCAAAGCGTGGGAGATTGAATTATCACAGAGTAAAAATGGTCAGTGCTTACGATGCAGAAAATATAACGTAACAGATGATGACGATAAGTGTGTTCGATGTGATAGAGTATTAAATATGACTTAAAAATTATAAATTTAAATTTATTTATTTATAGAAATAATTGAATTAAGCTTTAAATTGCTGTTTAGAATTGTTTGTAGTCTGAGTTATATTGTAGTATACCTGAGTTAATTGTTAACAATAAATAAGTATATTTAAACCACAAAGAAGTTTTTCTTTTTAATACTATATCTATGAAATATGGCTAGCTTATGTTCATATCCTAGAGGCGTATCCCACCAAGATACGAGTACGTGAAGCCAGCTTCTACGTGCTACTGCGCTCTCAGCCCTTTTTACCCATCCGAAACTTGCAGTTTTGCTTACCCTAGCTGCCTCGCCCTATCCGTTTTCTTTATCCCCATTTACTTTCTTTGTCCGTCTGAAAACCAGAGCCGAAGGATGGCTTTCATTTTATGACTCTCAGGGTGTCCCATCAGTGATGACCGAAGTGACGCACGTGTTCCTTTATATTACTAACCAGCTGACCCACAACTTCAAAAAATTTCCCCGTTTGCAAAAGGAATAAATTATCCCAGATCTTGCAAGATTTTTTTATTGATGCTCGGCTCCTATTGGTCATAGCGTGATGTTATATAGGCTATAGCATTCTTCAATAATAGGCTCTCCAACACTAATTTTTCAATTCGATTCTGTAGTTCTTGAGATTAGCGAATCTCAGGAAACAAACTTTTCAGCTTTGTATAATAATAATAAATAATAATAATATTCTAACCACATTCACACAACGCCATCTAGTCCCAAACCAAGCAGAGCTTGTACTATGGGTACTAGACAACTGATATAAATACATATATACTTTTTTTTGTAAATACATATTATACATAGAAACACCCAGACCAAATCAAACATTAAATGCTCATGCACACAAATGTTTGACTTGAGCGGGAATTGAACCCGCGACCCTTGGAATAGCAGTCCGTTACACAAACCACTACACCATCCGGTCGTCAAATAATATGAGTATAGACTACAAAGACGCGACGTCAACTGACTTGACATCTTATGCTTCACAGTCTCCTTATTAATATTTTAAATGCAATGCCATTAGTTGCCAGGTTTAAAAAAGGACATAGGATAACATCTAAAAAAAGGTTTTCCAAAGAGTTATGCAATTGCCGCGCTCTGAACAGCCCAAGACCGGACATTGTTTAACTTTAGAATGGACACTATCTTCAGCAATGAAGCATACAACTGAGAAAAAAAAGGTTTGAAACTGAATTGACAAAAAAATACAGTAACCAACGGGCAAAAGCCATGCTTCTTTGCAAAAAAATACAGTTTATTCAAATCGATGGTAAAGATCCAGAGTTTCTTGTTTTTATCACAGTTACGACTTTAATGAAAGACATATAAACACGTCTTCTTTTTCGTTTAGTCATTAATTAAGTAATATTTCCGCAATCAGTAACTTTCGACTTTTTTTACAACAAATAGTGTAGCGGATCCGATTCATTCGGTATCTCATCAATCAGAAAAAAAAGCAGGAAAAGTTGGAATGAGCGTTACCTCTATTGTTTGTGTCAGCGATTCTTAACAGAGAGTTGTTATGGCTTATTTTGTTCAGAAAAATAAACGCACAGAAAGTTCACTTAACTATACAAAATTCTCAGTTCCTAAAGTAATAATATGCAATAATTCCAAATAAATAATTCCAGTGCAATGGGAGAGGCTTATGTCCAGCAGTGGACTGCGATAGGCTGATGATGATGATGATGAAAGTAATAATAATAACTATTGCAACAAGAAGTAATCACAAACTGTGTGCAGACGTTCATGGGCGGCGATGGTCACTTTCCATCAGGTGACCCATCTGCTCGTCTGCCCCCTCTAACATAAAAAAAGCCAAACTAACGTGAGCTACATGTTATGAGTCAGTTCCTGCCCAAAAACAAGTGAAATCGAGTACTTACAATGTGATTAGTAGACACGATGTTTAAATATAAATGCCATCAACCCTTTAGCAAAGAGAAAAACAAATATATTCAATTTTCTTTTTATCAAAGACTACGACCTTTTTTCTAGATTAAGACCTCACGTGAGTCCTACGCTAGCGTAATCGTGATCATAACACGCAACGATTTTGTAGATTAATCACAGAGGTGATGCATGGATTTTTAAAAATTTCATTGATCACAGGTGATCGTGATTTAATTATCTCTAATGATGATTTAATACTCTCTAATCTCTATGATAAACATACTTCTATATTTGTAAATACAAAAATATTGTGGAGGAACGGGTGTCATGTCCCTCCAACACAAAGGGAGGATCCTCCGACCAGGCGAGGTGATCATGCCTGGCGGGCCGCGGCCCAAAGGTTGATGTTGGGAAGTTGTATATATTCTAACCGGCGCGGGAATTCTTTATATCGCGATACAGGATTAGCAATTCTTTTTTTGTAGTTACTCGGTAGTTCGGTGTGTCTTCATTAGATGGCGCTGTAGTATGTTTATGTGGGAGTCGCCACAATATTATAGATAAATTACACCCAGACACAGAATCAGATCGTGATCACACAATATTTGTCCTTGGCGGGAATCTCACGACCTCTGTCTTAGCCGTCATGGTCAATAACCAATAGAACAACAGGCCAGTCATTTTATATCAATGTTTGATGCAAATTTTTCACGCATTATTCTAGTTTTTATCAAGCCGTCTGACCTATTCCTCCATCCCTCTAAAATAGTACTATTTGCCGGATATATAAGGCTCCATATTTCTTTTCTATACCATTGATAAATTTCAGAATGGTTAATTGAGTAACTGCGGCAGGAAAGCGTAACAAACTAACGAAAACCATTAAAAAGATCTCCTACTGTACTAATTATTGATGAGTAAATGAAAAGAATTTACGCTCTAAGAAAACAATAAGTAGCGTATTTACTTAGACATAAATAAGCATTTACTCGCCACATTTTTTAGTGACAGTACGTCACTTGTCGAGCAAACAACTTCTCATTTTTATTAAATTTATTCTACAAATAACATATTGAAACTTGTTTTGTTTGATCAATAATTCTCAAAGAAGCTACGAATAACAAAACACTATTGAGATATTTTTGTTTGCATATTTCATTATCCCTCCTGCTTTCGCAAAATATTTTGTTCGCCCGCAGAGCGAAACACTTTAGAACTGATTTTTTAATTTGCCTAGTTATTTTGGAATATCTACTAATATATCTACGTATTTTTAGATGAAAATTTGGACAATCAAGGGTGGTTGTGAAATATTTACTAAAAGATGTGTAAATATATTTAACTGTATGTATGTATATATTCAAGTATTTGTATGTATATTTAACGTATACAATTTCTCATAATATTATAATTTTGATATGACCCTCACCGAATTGTCCAAAGGCCGACTGGTAGATTATTTCATGTTTCATTAAGTTCGCCTCATGCAATGTGTACGCAGGAAGTTTTTAATAAATCTTTACATAGTAAAAAACAAAGTCTTTCTTTTATGCGGTTTTCACCAAAAGAGGGAGTGATCCAAGAGGAAGGTGTATATGCATAACACATGCATATACTAAGTACTATAGTAGAGAAATTCCGAGAATTTCAAAGATTTGTTGTAAAAAACATATTTTTGTACGCTTGCATTGCAAACACTGGCCTTACGATATACACCAAAATAATGTACTACAGAAATGTATATCTTAAAAAGATCTACCTTTTTATCATTTAAAGTATAAAAAAATGATGGGTTTTAAACGATACATTGCTATTCTGATCATTATAATTAAATACGTCAGATACGTTGTGCAGTTAATGTTGATTAAAATTGCTCCTAACTGCATATCATTAAAATCAATAGTTTAAAAAACATTAGAGGTTTAAAATGCGGCTGGCAGCCCGGTAAATCAAATGGACATAAGCCTCTCCATAGAAAGGAGGTTTTGGCCTACTTTACCACGCTGGCCAGACGGGTTGGTAGAGGGTTTGTTTCAAGTTTTTCTTCTCTCTGCAGTGCTGTTGTTCTGCGTAGTATTTTACGACACCCACGGGGTGAATAGGGGTGGTGACACTCTGTATTCTTAATCCGTGACCACACGGAATACTTTATAGTATAATTATTTTGTTTAAACATTTTAGCTTACTGTCTTTCTTCTTTATATAAACATTAAGTGTACTACATATCTGTTTAGGGTCTAGAGATTTTTCTTCGCATAGAAGTATATACACACTTTATAAGTGCGAGTTGGTCATCTAAAGGCCGTAGATGGTCCGGGGTCCGCCGAGGTTCCAGGGATTTCCTTCCTAGGGTACACCTGGTTCCCCGGCTACTGGTACCGAAGGGACTTCCAAACAAACAAAATAAATGAAGTTGTATAAAAAAAAAGTACCAACAGTACGAACGCAAATAAAAATAATGAATTCCAAGTGCGGGTAGTTGCCGAAATTCCCACGTCACGGTAACGTCACTGAGCCCTCATTAATCCAATCAAAGGTAGGTATTGTATATTATAATTACTTTTAGACAAGTATCAATCTCATAGGCCTTCTGTTATTCCTTAATTTTCAACCCTACATCATTAAATTTTTTCACACTTAGGGGTGGTATTTTTTCTTCAAAGTGAGTAGGTGGGTGTTTTGGAGAAAAAAAAGACAGTTTCCAGTGGATAGTGAAACTGACGGTAAAAACTATGTTTAAATATTATATCGATATTCATATTTGGAAATAATTGCGAGCTTAATGGCTATGAGGAAATTTAATTAGAATCAAAAAGGTGAAGAGACTACCGTAGGCGCGGGGCTTCACTCGCAATCGCTCATAATTTCCGTTCAAATGTACACTCACGACGGCAAAAGCGGCGGACGAAACTAGAATTTCGTGAAATTTCCGGTTTAACATGACATTTTCCATGTCACCGTATAGAAGGAAACTTGGACTAATCAATATTTCACTCCTTAAATTAAAATAATTCAATTTTGAAGAAAATCTCCGACTACGACATAATTATATCAATGCTTCTGCAACATGTTTATTGTAATAAACTGAATTCTTCAATCCTTTATTTTCCAGCCTTATGGGTAGAACTTTTTTAAATTGGAAAATGACCTAACGCAAGTACACTCTTCCAAACAAAAAAACCGGTCAGGTACGAGTCGAACTCGTGCGCCGAGGGTTCCGTACCTACCCAGATTTTAAGTAGATTTTCGCGAAAATTTATAAGTACCAAAATTTATCTTAATTTTTAAGTTTTTTTTATTTTTTGTAATTATTCCTTTATTTGTGCTCTAAGACGTTTCTGTTTGCCAAATTTTGTGATTCTAGGTCAACGGGAACTACCATATAGGTTTT